ACATATAGTGGAAAAAACCAAAACAAAAACATAGAAATTAACTTTATATAGGTAAATATTACAAAAATGTGAAGAGAGGGGTTTCTCTCCCCTCTCTACCCCCGTGACGTGATTTTATATTTGGCCCCTAAGGGCCAAAAATCACCCGAGCGACGTGAAAATCATCTGATTGGTTGTCACGATCGTGTGTTGTTTCTTAATTTATTCATTTGACTATCACCTGAACCGTTGGTAGTAGATGTATGAGCGACGCTGAAGAACCTAAGGAAGTATCTTTTTCCAACATCTGGAGGTTGTACTGAGTTAAAATTGAGGTGAGTTCCTATTTGGAAATACCTTGTTTAAAAGAAATCTTGCGTGCGAATCTTGGGCGCTAGGCACCTTTGTGAAGCAAGCACCGTCTTCAAGTATGGTTTGTAATCGATTGGACAAGGATCGAATCCCGGGAAAGCTGTGCTTTACCGAAGAAACTCTCACTAATGTTTTTATCAAAAAGGGATTGATTAAATCTTGTTTTATTCCTATAAATATCTCGTAAGCCCTCAGGAAGAAAAGTGGCAAACGCGGCAAAGATTTTAAGCTGCTTGACAGTGTTGTTACACGTGTTGAAAAAGTACGGGCGGAGTGAAATCCATGCTTCTTCGACGAAAATTTTCTAATTTTGAATGAATGAAAGGGGTTCTAGAGCGCCTAAAGCGAGGGATCTACAACGAACGCTTTAATCACAGAAGTTGTTCTTTGATAGGCGGTATCCATGTCATTAGGACTAGTTGTGTACTGAAGTACGAATATTGTTGACGTTTTCCAAGCTGAAAATGGAAATGCTTGGCAAAATGCGATATTTTGACCTGTTTCTTCAATGCAGGAGAAACATGGAAAACTTTTAGACATATTTATGTTCATTGGATCTTCTCAGATTTTCTACAAGGTTAAGATATGTTGAATTTTTAAAGCCTTATTTAGTACGAAATGTAAACTTGTAGCCGGGCGCTGTCTTGCATAATAATTACGCAAGAAAGAGAGAGAGGACTTTGACTCATTATCACGCCATGTTCATGTTCCAGTTCGAGGGCGTTATTAAGAAATGCGATCAAACTTTACTCGGTCATAAACTGGCTTTCTTTGAACTGTTCAAGAGATGTCAAGTAACCGTTCCAAATTTTTTGCAAACAAACGAGACAGTCACCCTTTGGTAAATATGCTGGGAAAGGTTAGGGTTATCAGATCGCCTATTCAACCGTTATTTGTTTCGGATTTCCTTTTCTTAAAAACAGCTAGATTCAATATCGCTGTGTATCTGTTCAGCAATAGATCATATGACGTCAAAAAGTGATGAGAACAAACACATGGCACTCATGTGCAGCCAAATGTGTCACCGATGTTGTTCCACAACCTTCTGTGATCACCCATGGTAACATGGAATCCATTTGTTTTAATGATAAAAAGCGAGAAAAAGAAATTTAAATGGTGACCTCATTTTGTGTCTCTTCCAAAAGTTCATAAATAAGAACTTATCAGTGATTTAACTTTTTTTTTTTCATTTAAAGTGTGATTATTGTGATGACAACCCGAGCTGAGGTGACAAACTTTAATGATAATCATCTTCATGGAAAAGCCATGACATATTGATAAGGACAGCTTTCCTTTTGCCAAATTATTAATTATATCCATTTTGAATTGGCTCTCATAAGTGTAATTACATTCAAACCAGCAGCACCATATAAAGCAGTCGCCCTGTAGTATATGGTCAGTGTTCAAAATTCCTAAATTTTCCCCTCTTTTCAGTTTTGTCAGAACTATATTTGGCTGTTATTGGTGGCAAAGATTCTACAAGGTGCAAAAGAGGGTTTGTAAAAAAGGTTGGGATTTTTTGGAGACTTGGAAACAACATGGTTATATTGCGAAACATGCAGGAAATCAACTTCGCAGAATATTCTGTTTTTAATTTTGGATGACTTTGATGCATCAGACAATCCTCCAACCATTGCCCTTTTTTTGATTTTGTAATTTGTCATATTGTGTTCCCCAACAGTAAGAGCATTGATATGTCTTTTGTATGACTGCAGTGATGACTTGTACTAATGTCGAAATGATAGTCGCTACAACTTTGGAAAACAGTCCTTCTCCAGACAATTCTTGCCAGTATGATTAGACTTAGATATCAAAATGTCCCTCAATGTTTATTTGTTATTTAGTATAAATTTATTAGTCAAAATTTACTGATGATGTTATTCTTTCTTCTTTTATGACCAGTGAAGTTGTAAGCAACATGACAACTTTCAAAGTCCAAAGTCCAAATGTCCGTTACACTGCAGACTTCATAGAAAGCATTTACACGTATGAAACAACTCAAGTTGACTGCAGCTCAACAGGTTCTTATGTTGCCAGGCCAGTTGAGACACAGTACACATTCCGTACTGAAAGGCAGGTTCCGAAGGTTGGATGCATGTTGGTTGGTTGGGGAGGTAACAATGGATCTACAATCACAGCAGCAGTGCTGGCAAACAAGTTGGGTTTATCTTGGGATACAAAACAAGGCGTCAAGGTTTGCACATTAATTTTCTGTACTTTGTTGATTCTGTTTGGTTAAGGCACCAAACAGAATAATTCTGTTGTTCCGCAGTTCTTGTGGCAATGTGGCAAGAACGAAAAAGTATCACATGAGGCACAGCCAACTATGTCACTGATGTCTTCCTTGATCAATTAATGAACAGACCACATCAACATGAAATCTGTTTGTTTTATTCAATAAATAAGCCAAAAACTGTCAATGATGTGTCTGCCCTTGGTTAGATCATTGATAAGAACCAATCAAACTGTGTGCATTATTCAGCTTACCACATAATGCATAAATGTACATTTTCCACCACAGAAAGCAAACTATGTGGGTTCTCTGACCCAGTCCTCTACCATATGCCTTGGCACAGGACCTGATGGTGATGTATACATACCACTGAAAGATATGCTTCCCATGGTTAATCCTAATGATATTATATTTGATGGTGAGTGATTTTTGGGTGGTTTATCATATGAAATAGGACAGGCTTCAGAGTTGTGACTTGGTTCAGCCAGGAGGTCATTATATAGAATAGAAAAACCTGACATAAATCTAATTTTGTGACTTTGTTATAGAACAAAAAAAAATAGCAAAAAGCCAACCAGGAAATTGATATATGCCCTGCAACTGAACAACTTTTCACAGAATTTCCTCTGAAAAATTCCTTCAAACTTCTAGAGATTATCAGATGTTACTTGGAGATTTCAAGTAATGCTACTCCATCACAAAGATACCCCTAAGCTTTTCATTAAGCTTCCCTGACAATTTGCTGGTACCATTTAAATATATTTCTGGGTGGAGAGAAGCACTTTAAAAGTAAAGCATTTTGCCCAGGAACACAACACAGTGACCAGGCCAGGTTTGGAACCCAGATCTCTCAACCCAGAGTTCAGCTCACTAACCACTCATGGCCACTGCATCTGTGTCTACGTCAGTATGTGTTTGACCTGTAATGCTTTTATTTCAATATTAGGATGGGACATCTCATCACTCAATATAGCTGATGCCACTGAAAGGGCAGAGGTTTTAGATTATGGATTACAGAGACAGCTGAGACCCTACCTGGAAAAAATGACACCACGTCGTTCCATTTACTGCCCTGATTTTATAGCAGCAAATCAAGTGGATCGTGCTGACAACATTTTGTCAGGTAGCAAGCAGGAGATGATGGAGCAGATAAGAGAGGACATACGCGATTTTAAGCAGAAGAATAATCTCGACAAGGTTGGATTTAAAACAGAATTCTGATCTGATTAAATACATACAGAGCCACAAGCATTAATAATAAAGAATAGAGTTAAGCATTAACCCTTTAACTCCCAAGATCTGATTGTTAATTCTCTCCTCTAGCTGCTACACATTTCCTTGCAAATTGGTTACAAGAATTTGATGTTCAATCAAGATAATATCTTGTACCTGATAAATTTGAGTAATCTCACTACCAGTTTGCTGGATAATGTATGGATAAACTATGGGGAGAAGTCGCATGTTAATCACCTCTGGGAATTTAGCATTAAGAATAAAAAATAAAGTTAGTGATTTTTACCTTTTTATTGAGTTGTGATTTAAACCTCAATTTGACACTTGAGATCTTTCTGTTCCATTTCCTTTTGCTGGAAATAGGAGTTATCTACTAGAGGGGTAAAATTGAATAACATGTTTATCTCCAGGTAGACAAAAATTACTTTCCTCGAGCAAGAGGCTTTAAGTGTCAACAAGATAAATGTGTTACATTAACTTTTTTAGGTTATTGTCTTATGGACGGCAAATACTGAGAGATTCTGTGATGTCAGTGAAGGTCTGAATGACACAGCTGAAAATCTGTTGAAGTCCATAGCAAAGAATGAAGAGGAAGTTTCTCCATCAACCATCTTTGCTGTTGCAAGCATCTTAGAGAAGGTATTGATTGTCTCTGATTTGTGTTACACTTTATGCATGGAAACTAATTTTGTAATGCCTTGTTTGAAGCAGTCTGTTTCTCCAAAGTCATTTCCCTTACATCTGTGAACAACACCCATAGAAGATAGCTCAAAATTTACTTTCTTTGTTATTCTACATATGCAGACAATACTTTAAACATTGCTGATCTTAGTCCTCAGATTTCTATTTTTGCTCTCTCACTTAAAGATGACTTATGTATCACTGCATCTGTTATACTTGCATCTAGAATACTGACTCTTTAATTTGCCAATAGGGTAAAGCTTGATGTGCTGAAATGTTTAATTTTGCAGTGCTCATACATTAATGGTTCGCCTCAGAACACAAATGTTCCAGGAGTTGTGGAACTTGCCAAAAAGCATGGAACCTTTATTGGAGGTGATGACTTCAAATCTGGACAAACGAAAATGAAATCTGTCCTTGTGGATTTTTTAGTCAGTGCTGGTTTGAAGGTATGCAAGTCAACGTGCCTTATATTTAGTGCTTCTCTTGACCATTCTTTTGATGAGCTGTCAGCCTGTAAGTTTTTAATTATTGGTATTAGAGGGACTGGTTCGTAGAGGGTGCATGTTCTTCTACAGATGAGCTGAGATTTGAGTGAGATTTTAGTTTTCTCTTATTGGTATTAGTGGGACTGGTCCATAGAAAGCGCATGCTCTCCCACATATGGGCTGAGATTTAAACAAGATTTTTTTTTTCATCCACAGCCTGTTTCTATTGTCAGCTACAACCATCTTGGAAATAATGATGGAAAAAACCTGTCTGCACCGAAACAGTTCAGATCAAAAGAGGTATGTATGGGTGCCGTTCCACATTAGCCTTGACTTCAATGCTGATGATGAAAACTAGGAAATTGTTTATTAAATTCTTTATGGAGCATGTTATTTTATCACCAGTTTATTTGAGGCACATACACCTGAACATGTAGTTTGTGGTGAAGATTGGGGGGAGAAAAAAAAAAATGTCAAAAAAAAAAAAAATGTCAAAAAAAAAAGTCCTGCATTTTGCTTGCTCTGTCCTTTTATTCTATCCACTAGTTGGGTGACTGGAAATGGCTTCCATTTCTAACAGGTTATTGCTGACTGGGTAGATTTGTTTGTGGAGGGTAGCACTGTGATGATAAATTGTCTTGCTCAAGAATTATACAATACTGAGGCTTATAGTTGGATCATCATTTTAACCCTAACCTCAATTCAAGTTTTTATCGAGTTCTTTCATGAGAAAGAAAAACCATCTTAAATTTGTCCCCCTCCCAAAGTGTGGCTTGGTAGCTCAGTTGTTAGCAGCGCTCAGCTGGTATCTGGGAGGCATGGGTTTGAATCCCGCCAAGGTCTGATTTTTTTAAGCTTTTTTTCCTTCAATTGCTTAAATAACAGCTCACCTGTGGGAATAATTTCTGTGCTTGAAAAGAAACTGTTTCTCTCAAGAATTACACAATACAATGACTCGTCTAGGGCTAAAAGTTGGCTCGTTATTATATACGTTATTGTGCTATGTTTTGTTGCTAGATATCCAAGAGCAATGTAGTAGATGATATGGTGGAATCAAACAGCATTCTCTATGAGAAAGGAGAGAAACCTGATCACTGTGTGGTTATCAAGTATGTCCCATATGTGGGAGATAGCAAGCGAGCTCTGGATGAGTACACGTCCGAGATTTTCATGCACGGGCTTAACACCATCGTACTACACAACACTTGTGAGGTATTAAAGTTACGTGGCAAAATTTGCCAATAAATTTAGTCAAGGTTGTCGAAACTATAACGTAAGTGTTAAAAACTTGCGATTGTTTATTCGATTGGCCGTGTTTGACTGACAGTTAAAGTGGACGGTGGGAGAGAGGGCGGGGAAAGACCCCTCTTCCATTTCTTCCTTTGACCATTGCTCATCCCCTTGGTGCAAATTTCTTTCTCTCCCCAGCTTTCCACTATTGTAAAAATCAAAGATGGCAGCTATAGTTTTCACCGTGAAAATACTGAGCACTCGCCCTCCAAAATGAAGGCAGGCTAATGAAGTTACAGTGTGAAAAGAATTTTGTCCTACTTGAAGTGGTATTGGCAACTATTATTTTAGAAATTGTTCCCAATAGTTAAAACCAGCAAGGCACAATCAGGGTGTTAATTAAATGGCGAAACGACGTTTATTAAAACTGTTCGCTTCAGATGATCTTGTTTTCAAACTCTCCTTTGTTTCTTTCACAGGACTCTCTACTTGCGGCACCGATCATTTTGGACCTGGTTATCCTGTGCGAGGTCTGTGAGCGAATCAAGTTTAAAGTGGGAGACGACCCAGAATTCCAGTCGTTCAACCCAGTCTTATCCCTTCTCAGTTACCTCCTTAAGGCTCCATTAGTTCCCAGTGGCACTCCTGTCGTCAACGCCCTGTTTAAGCAAAGAAGCTGCATCGAAAACATTTTCAGGTGAGCTGGTTTTGCACCAGTTTTTCACGCGTTTAACAAATGACACTTGATATTCACGAGGATCACGTGTTCTCAAGAGAGATCGCTTGACCTAGGGTCTCACGTGCCACACGTGATTTTCCATATGTCGTGCGAGGATCACGTGTCAAACTGGCTCTGGAAACCTTGAGTAACCTTTCGTGCAGAACATCAAAGTGCGATCCTATTTTGTGATATTCCATCAGTCACAGTCAAAAGATAAAATATAATTTTTTTTCCTTTTTGTGTTTCTCTTTAGTAAAATGAAGAACATGTCGATATCTGCTTGTTTCGTAACATTGTTTTATGTCTCGTACAATCCAGGCCTACAATCTTAGCTTTTACCGGCGGAATTTTCAGTGTGGTCACTACTTTTCCAGTTCGTCATTTACAAAATTGCCCAAAATTTCGCAGAATAATCCCTTAAAATCACTGCTGGAAAGCCGTCGATATTGTAGCAGAATTTGACAGAAGGTCATAAAATTTGTTTCAGGGCGTGCGTTGGTTTGAAACCCCAAAGTCACATGACACTGGAACACAAACTTTCAAGAGAAGTTGACCAGCCGCTGCAGCAAAATGGAGTCGCAGACAATCATCTGGATAAACGGAAACTTTCAAGGGAAGTTCACCAACCGCTAAGGCAAAATGGAGTCGCTGATAATCATCTGGAAAACGGAATGAAAAAGAATGGTTATGTCAATGGGGAAACAAAGGACTTGAAACGCATGAATGGAGATCTAACGCAAGTGGGAGAAATCAAAATCAAAAGGTCACGTGCTCGCTGATCCGAATTGATGAGTAAAGTTTTTCAAAAATGAAGTTCTTTACTTAAGGATTTCTTATCCATTTGATTTGTGATAGTTATGACTTTCACATTTGTTCTTTAAAACTTTAAACTGCAAAGTTAAACTACAAAAGAAGTTAAGTTTTGTTTTAAAAAAAAACGAAAAACTACCTTTGTGCCCCAGGGAAGTTATTTTTGTGTTAAAAAACATTTTAGTATATAATTGCTTGGTCAAGTTATTTTTGACATTTCTTTAATGGCTCTGGGGTTGAAAGCCCTTTGTGTGATTGTCTAAAGAACAAATTATTTGAATTGGAGGACATGCTATTATCTTACACCAGTTTGGTGTCTGGAATGGGGTTACTTTAAAGACGGTATTGCTGTCTCGTCATGCAATTGAAACAGCGTGAGTGCTAACTTAAAAGAACGTTCTATGGCAGGTAAATAATTTATGTTGGGAATATGTTTTTAAAAGATGTAAAAACTCAGCACAATTAATTATTGGAAAAATATATTCTATTTGTCAAATAATATTTTATACGACCTGTTATTCAATACGAGTCAGGATCGTGTGATGGTCAAACTAAAAGATTATGTTATAAGTATACTTGTCTCAAACTGATTTTTATTCCTGCTGTTTCCGTGTAATTTTTTCAAGCGATTGATTTCCTTCTTAACCTTTTAACTCGGAAGATCTGATTCTAAATTCTCCCTTTTAGCTGGTGTTAGTCTAGAGAACAACTTCTACCTGATAAGTTTTAGTATTCTCATTACCTGTTAGCTGGATAACGTATGGATGGTTTAGGGAGAAGTTAAATGTTATTAACTTCTGAGTAAGCCGTATGTCATTAGGACAGGTCACCGCATGAGCAACATATAAGATTCTTCCACTCGTCCATTAAGAATAGTTTTTAGGAAGCTATATTTTTTTTCAATTCGTGCCTTCGTATAATTGAATGGTTTGTACATGATAAGTCAAATGGTAAACACGCGAGGTAGCACTCGCAAGTAACCGAGCTTATTACGTAGGTACCTCTAAACTAAAGCAGTACGCTCTACAGCTGTTTATGCTTTGCGGGCCTATTACTTGTTCCCGCTACGCAATTAATATTTGAGAAGGTAATGTAAGAATTATTCGCGCTTTACTAATGCCGATGTTGCGCTTGGTTCTCTTTTAGGTGATGATCTTATCAACCTTTAAACATTAGTTTTGTATGTAAGATTTGGGTATTTGGCTAATGGCCTTGCAAAAATAACTAATTTCGTCGTGTTCTTAACCAAACTTCTGGACATTGGAGATAGGTTGTAATTTGTCTATTGATAGAAAACCCAAATTAATTCAGTCTTGCTGTTGGAAGTAAAAGCAACCGTTAGAAATTGTGGATTTTTGCTAACGTTCATTGTAATGAATGGTTTGATCAGTCGATGCTTAAACAAAATCTGTTGAACGTGCACTTTATAGGGAATGATAAGAAAATTTGTAACTGAAGTTGTTATTTCTGTTAGAAATTGTGGATTTTTCTTACGTTCATTGTAGTGAATGGTTTGATCAGTCAATGCTTAAACGAAATCTGTTTAACTTGCACCTTATAGGGAATCATTAAAAAATTTGAAACTGAAGTTGTTATTTCTGTTAATTTACTGTTTTTTTTTTTTAGTTTCTATTATTCCTGTTCTACTTTCCAAACAAGGAAGATAAAAGATTGAGCTATTTATTACGATTCTTACAAGTTACGTCAATCTTTAAGCACAGGGCACCCAAGGCACATGACTACCAACACAAGTCGCGTAATACAGTAACCGCGTGACATAATAGCGTTACACTATTCGTCAAAATCTGACCCCGCACGGTCAATCTGATTAAAGAAAAAGTTGTTTGTTTAGCTTTGACACTAACCAGTTGTAATAAGCGCTTCACTTGCCAACATCAGTATGCAAGGTCACCATACTGTGAACAAGGGGAATTTGTTTAACAATGAAGAGCTTCTTTAGCTGGATGATTTCCTTTAAGCACCTGTACAGTACAATTCTTTTTGTGAAGAATCGGAATTATTGGGTGTTCTAAATAGAATAGAGGAAATTATCCCGAAAAGGCTTTAACACGAAGGAATAAAGAAACCTGGATTAAACCAGCGCCAACCGGCCTTCGAACAGCTGGGCCCATGGGTGATATTGTAAAGAAAAATTTGATGCTAGTTATTAAGGGGTCAAACCAACGGTTAGGTCAATAGACTTATTTAGCTTGTTTTGTTTATTTACCTATTTATACTCTAAGGAACTATTTCTATCAAATTTTAGATTATTCACTCGCATATGTACGCAAAATTTACGAAAGATAAAACTGGGTCTTCCTTTAAGATCTGAAATGGGTCAGCAAGAAATATGTTCATGGCGCAATACAAGCTGACCAACCAGCTTTCTAAAGAACAAACAATAATCCCAAAAATTCACCGATCTAACAGGTCCCCGCCTTCTTCCAGTTCTGAGCTTCTACAATACGTCACGGTTCACCTTGCGTGACTGGCCTTATAGTGACGTTGCATCCTGATCTGACCTCAGTCACGCAGTTTGACCTCAGCAGAAACAAATTTTCAAATTTACATAAATCTGTATTGTTTCATATTCAGTATTTTTATATTGAGTATTGAATCGTTTTTGGAGGGTTTGCGCTATGGCCTCTGGTAAATCTTACTTCAGTGCCACCGTACCCAGGATTGTTGTGCAAAGTTTGTTTAAAAAGTATGACACAGATGGGAATGGTCACCTAAGTAAAAAAGAAGTCCTAATCCTTCTGAAGGATGACCTGGGAATGGATAACAAACAAGCTGAAGCTTGCTACATGCTCGTTGACAAAGATGGCGGGGGGAGCGTCTCCTTCGAGGAGTTTTTCTCTTGGCTTCGAAACGAAAAGGGCTTAGAATGCGTCAATGACAATTCTAGGTACTACTATATAAGGAAAGCTATCGACGAATTCAAGAAATATGACAGAGACGGCAATGGCACCATTGATAAAGACGAGCTGAAGCTCCTACTGAAAGCTGTTGACTACCGCCACGACGTCAACGAGGCACTCCGACAATTGGATACAAGCGGTGATGGGAAAATTTCATTCCCTGAATTTTTAGCCTGGCTGAACTGGTTACCAAACTGAAGTTCTCTACACCAATGTTATTTCCATTGTTAGCTGTAGGTTGCATACTGAAAGCAACTTAAGTGTTTACGATTATGTTTACGATAATTCATAGAGTTTGAGTTACACTCGCTGTGTGCCTATTGATCAAGAATAGTTTCATGTGATTGTAAAAATTTTTGTATAAATAAAACTATCAAATTTAGACTACCCGTCAGCAGTGTTGTAGTAACTGCTCGTGCAAAGCTGTTTTCCTCGTTTTTACTGACTGAGAACCGAGAGAAATTACACTCAACTCGCAGCATATTTAACACTTGAATTAAAGGGGGTAATTTGATTACCTGAGTTGTTAACGTAAATTGGCCACCGTAAAAAGTTATGAATAAAGCTTTGAAACTCTTCACGGTGGCTAACTTACGCAGTATTTGTACAAGCTCGTCTCCTCCCACACCCCTTTAAAAATCTTCGTATAAACTATTTCGGAATTATCAAAAGCAAATCAAAAACAGAGATGCGTAACTGGCCAAAAGAGGATAGATTTAGGAACGCTCTTTCTGCTCAGCGGTATGGAGTACTTTATCCCGACCAGTACCCCCAGAGTAAAGGTAAACTCATTAGCTTACAGTAAAAGATAGATTATCAGTCCAGGATTTAAATAATGTGTACACCCCTCAAGATTCCTTGAGCGTAAATTAGTTACTTCCTTTATTTCCTCATGCAATATCAAGATTTTGATTCGTCAAGAGTGCTGACAGTGAATTAATTCCTTACCCCTCCCCAATCAATGGATTAAATGACCGCTTCATAATTCCACGCTTGGTTCAAATTCTCAGACAGCCTTCACGCATTTTCAAAGTACACAGCGGCCATCAGTTTGTTTTCGATGGAACATTATATTCCAAAGTTTCTTCTTTGAATTCTCAAAGATACGAAGACAAGATGGGTAAATTTATTAGCCAGAACATGGCACAAATCCGATCGAAGTTTGTACTGACACGTCACCCTGGTGTGTTCGAAAATTACGCTATCGTGATTTATGGATAACTTTTCTTCGAAGCTCGAAGCGGTGGAATCTACCGTTGGAATCGTATTGGATAACTAATTCACCATGGCTTTGACACTGATTCTGAGGAGAACTTTCAGATGTCGATCATTCAAAAGAACAGTGATATTTGCGGTTGTCATCTTGGTTCAAGTGTGGTTGGCAATTCCGGTTCTTTTCGGACAGCGCGGGGACATTTGGCCGCAAAAATTCGATATTGTTTTTCCTCAGAATTTCCAAGCCCCTTTTGTCCCTCTGGTTATTTTTAGCTCCTACAGACCAAAGTATTTGGAAAGGACATTGGAGTCAATATCCTCGTCTGGGAGTATCGTTCCTTCTACTCCGTGTTTGTTCATTCTCCACCACACTAAGGCCTCATCAATGGAGGACATAAATGAGACGTACAAGGTCCTTGGTAAAATCACATTTTGTAGAAAACTTGTGTGGACGTTTGGAAATGAGGAAGAAGAACGTAGCCCAGAAGTCTTAAAGACTCATTGGTGGAATACTATGATAAAAGTATTTGATGAACATGGTAAGGTGATAACTTATCCATGTTGATAATTAATGCAAGCCTACAGTGTAGTATTTTCCTAATTTAATGCTGGTAGGTGGGTAAGGTGATGTCTGAAATCGAGCCAAGTGGCCCATCCAGCTGGTGCTTATCCTGTTTTCCCTAACAAAATGCAACAAGAAGGATTACTAATCCCTCCTGAATGGGATACCAGTATATCACAAGGTTACCCTCAGCTTTTTGTCTGGCTTCTCTGAAAATTTTCTGTTACTCAGAAGGATGTTTGTGTTTGTGTTCTTGGGCAAGACACTTTATTCTCATGGTGTGTCTCTCCACCCAAGAGTAAAAATGGATACCAGCCAGTTCTCAGAGGAATCTGAAGAAATGCTGGGGTTGACTTGTAATGACCCAGCAGACTGAGCCAACTCTAAAAACCTCATGTGATTAACCCTAGTTAGGAAGCAATATTAATGCAGTCTTTCAGGGGGGTCTAAAGATCATTTCCATCACTTGCAACTGATGTAAAATTTGCTCTATTGCTCAATGTCAGCCCAAAGTAACTTCTTGTTTGGTAATTTGGAAAATATTTCTTCCATTTTTACCACATATTACTTGATAGTATGTGAAGCCTTGCCCTTCATCAATATAATATTCATGATTGGTTAGCCCAGGGTTCTAAAGTAGTAGTTTATACCATATTCTAAAAATTAAATGACATGTATGTCCAAAATTGTAATGGTTTTCTTTTTACTTCAGATGCGTTCCAGTTAAAGCACAATGAAACTTTCAGTGGAGATGTACTGTTCGTTGAGGATGACTTAGTTGTTGCACCAGATTTTATGGAAGTGATGTGGTACTCCCTCCTTGTCAAAAACTCTGTCCCCAACATCCACTTTAGCACACTGCAAGGTGTAGGAGAAGAGAATTTAGTAGATCATCAACCAGATGCCTTTGTTGTGAGCGAGGTGCCACTTGTTCAAAGCATTGGTTATGCATTTAACACGTCAATGTGGGAGTATATCAAGACATTTCAGGAGGATGCTTTAGGACATGCCGAAAAAGACTGGCCCCTTTATCTAGGTTTAATGCTTCTGTACAATAGGAATTCAACAATTTTCAGGATTGTTTCACCAACCATAAGTCGTATCTGGCATGTAGGTGATAATGATCTTGGTTCCAGTGCTGATCCTGGTGCAAGCAGTAAATATAAACCTGATCAACTTCCTCCATGGAAACGTGCTCGAGAGCGGCGCTATCTTAACAGAGATAAGGCAAATGTTTTACCAGGAGTCAGAGACATGCATGGACGACTGTGCCATCCATGTGAAATGGAGTCAAGGACGTACAAATTTTCTCGGGGAAGCTATAACTGCCGTTGTCTTTGTCCAACAAGTAATTTACAGAAATACGTCAATTGGCAAATGGCAGCATTTGTGCCAGATGTCAATCAAGGAATGCATTGTACTCTGGTGTCACATTTGATGACAATGGTTGTGTTTGTATTTGTTGGTATTTTGTTGTTTGTTTATTTGATGTCCTCACGCTGATCATTCCTCCATATAGCGTTAAAAAAAAAAAAATCTTGGAATGAATAAAGATCAATTCAGTACTTATTTTTAACCCTACCTAAACTTACAGAAGGGCCAAAGTTTGATGCCCTGGTTATTTCCTGAAATGCTTTACTCTTTTGCTCCCAAGATCTTCTTGGTAATTCTCCTTACTGTCCGCCATATTATTCTTATAATGTTAGTTTGGAGATTTTGGTATTGGATCAACTGATAATCCCCTAATTGATATTTTTCTTTATTCTCATTATGTGTCTGCCTGATTTTGTATTGATATTGTAAGGAGAAATTCTTTCTTGGTCACTCATAGGAGGTAAAGGGTTAAGAAGAAAGAATCAGGTCACATTTAAAAGTAGATAACACCAGAGTTTGTTGTGTAGTTTGTTTACAGTATACATTATTTCAAAACGAACATATTCCTTGTATACTCTTGATCGGAGACAAGCTCAGAAAGTTCTGGGAATGTGGCCTCATCTGTCATAAATAAGTGTGAAGTCAATTTACCAGTAGTCTTCAAATTTACTTAATATATGACAATTTTTCAACTGTGAAGCCTTTCCTAAGCTGCCAAAGGGACTTACACCTTTGTAGTGTCTGCAGATAAGGTGCCTCAGAGCTTGGGCTTATCAGGAGGGAAGTGTTATTTGAAAAACAGTTGAGAGCTAGAATTGTTTTCTTCCAATCTTTTACTCAGCAGTAATGAAGACATTTACTCTTTACACCCTAACATCAGCATGCAGATTCTCCTCACTGTACCCTGTACATATCTTATGGTACTTTGCTTAACAATCAAAAAATCCTTCAAATATTGATCATTCTCTTTATTCTCATGACCTTAATATTTGATTCACCAGTGATAAGGAAACGAGAAATCAGATGTTAGTCACTCTCAGGGGTTAAACTTAAACCTACACAATTTTAAATAAGAGCTTAAGCGAGCTTACAAATACAAGTGTATTTTAGACTGACAATTCTAACAAGCTTAAATCATGATATCTCCATTGTGTGGCTACATGCAAGAGAGGTCTGTTTAAAAAAAAGAGGGCTGATAGGAATTAAGGCTGTAGATATGGGAGGCTCGGTCTCAAAGACACAAGAGGGGTGTAGAATTCTAACACTTGTCAGCTTCACAATTCTGCAAAGTAATCGATTTTGCATGGAGAAATTTAAGCTTTATTTTGCCCTGGAAGTCAAAATGTTGTTACATGAGTGGTAGAGTTTTTTCAATGCACCAAATGTAGGCTATTGGAATAGAGTAGTGGCCCCTTATATCGCAAAAAATTGCTAGATTTAAAAGCAGAGTGATAGGCTTAGGTATGTCTCAGTAACGTTACTGGATTTTACATCCCTCTATCTTACAGATACTTTGCAAGCAAATAGAGAGGGGAACGCCCAGTGTTGTGCTTCAAATTTCTTGCAGTTCATGCATGTTAGTTGGACATCCCCCACAAAATATCACCATGATCGTTAATAGTGCATTTACACTTGAAATTCAGCAATCCCAGGCTATTGCTCCGCAAGGTTCTTGACTGGGGTGTCTAAGCTGTTGAATTAAAAAAAATTATACATAAAAAAAAAACTTGTCCGTCGGTCAGTTTAAAATATGTGAGATTTAAACGTCTCTAAAAAGAATCAACAGGAATTTTCTTTTTATCTTTCATTTAACCTGTGAGCAGGCTCTTCTTGGTAGCGCCGCAGGACGCGCGTTTCTCTGCCCGTGGAAAGATTTGAGACGAGTCGGGGCGAGGTATGCCGGGGTCTGGCACTAATAATGAGGTGTAAACTCCTTTACAACTCCAAACAGACCCCTTGCCGGCTGGCGTCACTCAAGGCCTCATAATTCCTCGCAGGAAAAGAGACGCTCGAGAAAAAAAAAACTTGTGATGTGGGCCTGGAGAGTCGCAGGTTAAGTTTTAACTATCTTAAACTCAAAGTCATCAAAAAGCCCCCACGTTTCAAATTTAAACCAAAATATCTCTTCAAATTGTCGGCAGAGGTCTTTCCCAAACTATTCCACGTTGCAGTCCTTTTTCGTTTCCTTTAAGCAGTGAAGGAAGAACTTGAGTAAGAGTCAACCTGAGGAATGAGACGAAAGACTTGGGAAAAAAAAATTGAGCCGACAATGCTTTATATGACTCTTGTGTTGCTCACACTACTCCTGCTGGACTTAAGGGGAAGCAGAAAAAAAACTGCTAGGCATGTTATAATCAAATCTGAATCTACCGCACGGGAAGGAAAAAATTCATACGCTTGCATTACCCTCCCTTGCAACATACGTTGCAAAATGCGACTGCGTTCGTTCAGCACTAAAAAACCTTTTGGAATATTTTTGACAGGAAGACTCATTAGAACAGATGCGCGTATTTAACATGAAAATTTCCACCTGTCTACATCAGAACTAAGCATTTATTTCTCAAAGTTAATTTGAAGATGGTTATCCAACGGCTTAGAAATCCCTTCCTGAAAGAGTAGTTATTTGTCTGGAAGTTTACCTGTGTGACCGGCTTAAGAATAGTAAAACCAGTTTCAAACAGGTCAACTGAATGAGTGCCAACTGTCAAGCAACTGAGAATGTTTAAAAGGATCCACCCAAAACGGTGTTTAAAAAATATAGAAAAGTCTAAAAGAAAACAGACCTCTAAGGAGTTTCCTTGTGGTTTTTTGACAGTTGTAGATGTGCTCAGATGAATTTTCCACCTAAAATGAAAATGCAGGAAACTTCATAAAATGCTTCGCTCCTGATTTATCAAAAGCGACCCAATGCAAAAGAAATTCAAGTTACTAATTTATTGAATGTTAGATTAAACGAAGTTTGACGCCGTAACCATAAAAAAAACTGTTTAACGTTACAAATAGAATCTCATACATCCATAATCTCTCTCTACGGAAAGAATTATGCATCTTGCAACGTATGTAATAGTTGTGATACTGCACGATTCAGATGATGAAAAGCAACTCTTGGTCCAGTAAAGTTAATCAAGTTACGGTAATAGGACCAAGTGGAGTCAAATTCGGCCTGTAATTGTACGTGCGATTAACAAAATCGATTTGACAAAAAAGATTTGTCAGTCATGAGTATGATTACAGAAGGAATAGGACGACACAAAGTCCTGTTACCAATTCTTTATAACTGTTCCAATTTCTGAAAACAACAAATACATTTGGGGCACACATGTCCAGTAGAGACAATGTCTAAAATAAAAAATTCCTCCATTTTGAAATTCCTCATTTTTTTTTCCAGGATAAGCAGTTGTTGCTATGGTTATTGTGATCTATTCTGTGATTGGTGGATTTTGCTGAGTGGACTTAGTATGATTGGCTGCTTCAACTATCCGATTACAGGTGTCCAATTACAGCCAACTGTCCGAATACACTGATCGATTACAGCTGTACAGAACGATTAGTGAACTATAAAGCAGCTAATGCACCAATCACATTTGAGGAAATTGTAATGGTTATTATTCAGGGAGTTATCACAATCTTCTTTTGAAATAACTCAATCTTTATTAGCTTCCTCGACCGACTGTTTTTTAATTTAGTAATTCTATTCTGGTTACTAGAACTTTCTTGTAAATTTTTAACGAGAAATTGTTTTTCTAGTAATTAAGATTACAATCTCCAGCTGATAGGTTTGTCTATTCCGGTTTCTTTGCCCACTGGATAACGTAATAAAAACTGTGAGTGGTATTTGTATGTTTTAAAATTTCTTCTGGAAGTTCAATTAAACCTAATTAACGTCGAACCCTTGATCAAGAAGTTAAAATTCTAAGCCCAAAGAAACTACGTTGGGGCTCAATAACTTTTTCGAAATACAGCTGCCGATGGCGGCTGAGCCCCAAGGCGAAAATCAAACACGGGAGCCTGCTGTTAGGGGTATTTCAGGCGGCGATAGACTGCCGGTTACCGACTTTTATTGAAACTCCTGAAATTGTACTCTTTTCATTCTCAAAAAAAATGCTAAAATTTTTACTGACCTGTTGTAGAAAGAAAATCACTGCTGTTTCTTGTCCACTGGATCGTTCTTTCATCTCTTGAACTCTCCTGCGGGCCAAGTACCCGCGATAAACTATTTACAAACAATGAAGTGGTTAATTATTAATTTCAGGTACGATATTCTGTTTACGACGGGAAAATTTTACATCTTCGTTCTTCTGAACATGTTTGTCGGTCAAACATTTCTTGCCATTTTCATGGAAAATTGGTTGCTACGTAACCAGCATATGATGGCTCACCTGACTGGAGGAAAATGACGGCCTTCAGTTTGTCCACGTCGTTTTCTGTCAAGATACAGGTGTGAGCGCTTTAAAGCTTTTAGTCATCTTAATTGCTCTTTACCACGTTTGAAAATTCATGCCTTTTGTGTTCTTAGTTATAATAGTGTACTTTTTGGAAAATTATGGAATGTATCAATATCATTCTTCAAAATGCGAAGTAAGATTCGGCATCGCAATTTAAGTTTTTTTTTTTACTGTCTCTGTCTTTAAAGAAAAACGACTCATACTATTGTCATAAACGTGGAGACTAGAATGTCAAACTATATTTTAGTCAGCCAATAGCCTTGTTGTATTCAAAAATAGTAGTTCGGTCTTTCTTGTGTCGCTAGAAAGGTCTAGAAAACTTTACGAAGTGTTATTATATATTCTCGGTTTACTCCGCCCAAAAATTCAGTTTTTCTATTGTTACTAAAAGCAATTTTAATTTAATTTTGTTAATTCATCTTCGTCAAACGAATTTTGACAGTTAACTAAGTGATTCATAAAGAAATAAGCTACATGGTTTTCGTTTTGTAGCGTAAGCGTGGGACCATGAAAAAACTCGTGTTCCTGACAAAACGTCGAATTAAAAAACTCGTGTTCCTGATAAAACGTCGAATCCCAGAATGATTTAAGTAGTTTCTTAAAATATGTTGAACATAACTCGATATCTAAGCAGTTAATTTTTTTAACGGTACTCACCTGTGTTTTGTACTGGCAAAAAGTCCATTTTTACTTGAGATTCACGACCGATCTGCACAGTTCAACACGCTTTGATAGGCAAACGCAAAATATGATTTTCTTCTAGTTTTTGTTTATAGCTGAAGATCCAAGTCGCGTCGTAAACAAAGTCCAGTCAGTGGGGCGTTTGTCTTTAATTGACATTTATTGTTCAGCCAGTTTGACCCGTTGGACAAAGCGATTACTATTAACAATTGAAAGAAAATTTTCTGATTAAGAATTAATGAGCGCAGAGGAGTTTTTTCTTTCAAATGCGAGTTTCACCAAGCGCTTCTACTAAGAGGCGCTGCTATGGTTATCTGCAAGGAATAGTAATAAAATGAAGAAAACTGGAATCTAGTTTTGGAATGAGGGAAGAGTCAAGAAAAAGTCTTAATTCATAAGTTGACATGGACGGAGGAAGTTGTCCTTTCGCATTACTGTCGTTGCTTTTTTTTTCATTTTGCTTTTCTTTGCCTTTTTCCCCAACGGCCAAAGGGCAGCTGCACAACACACGACTCGAAGATGTGTATATCGAGCATGTTACGAAAGAATCTGGGCGTAGTTTTCGAAGTTTTTAAGATTATAGACATGCACCCCATTCACGCTAGCAAAAAATATCTACTTTGACCGGGTTTAACTTAATGAAAATCTGAAACAGAACTGAAAAACTGAGTTTTCCGTAGGTTTTAAGTAGTCTCTAACTTGTATTTCAATGTGCTTAATTTGAATTCGGTCTAAACAGGTTCTATGAAGAATGACATTTTCAACCGTGTTTGACAAACAGCTTTAATTTATTTAAGACAAGTCTAAGCTTTGGTGTGAATGGAGCATGAGCACAAGAGTGCATCTAATGCTCCACCGTGGCCTGTGTACTAGCAGGACACTTCCTGTAGAGTAGGTGACGAAGTGGACAACAGGTTTCGGCATATATGAATTGAATATTGGAAATTTTTGAAAACAAATCGCTTTGGAGTTGTTGGAGGCATTAATTCACGCAGGTATAGAGAGTTCCTCTTATTGCTGATCCATTATGGCAGGAACGAGTAGAGCTAAAGATCAAGTTTTCGTTGTTGGTGTAGGAATGACGAAGTAAGTGGTTGATTAACAGTCAAACGTCAGCTAGTAAACAATACAGGGCCACTTTTGGCGGAGCACAGATCTAGAGGCTCCCTTAGGGCGGCAGTGGATAAAAGAACGAGGAGTAATCTATATGCGTGTCAAGTCGTAGGTCTTTATATTTAATGCCTCGATTGGTTCAGCAGTGGACGAGCAAGTGAGGCAAACAAGCAGGCTCGTTTGGTAGATGGTTAAAAGTAGCCCTGTATTCTGTAGTTTAGCCTCGTGATCTAACTTGCATGAGCTGATGATCATGACACCATCTACGGCTTTTGAAAATTCTCTTTTCTTTCAGATTTGAAAAGCCTCTCACCAAGAAATGGGACTATCCAGGTATGTTGATAAGGAAGTATTGGAAGCATTATATTGAAAGTGTGTTTTAATTATTGCAGGTTGTCTGAACACAAATTGACAGTGGAAGGAAAGTTATCCCCATCTTTTATGGAAGAGCTTATTTTTTAAACTTAACTTATCATAAAAATTGAAGCTTTTGGGATTTTGAAGGACACCCCCCTTCCATTCCCTCCCTCTGCTGCAGAGATTGAAGCTCTAAGGTTATGCCTTGCTCTTTAAATGGTGTCCCAACTGAAATCTCTCATGCAACAAGGAGCTGAAATATACAGTCATGTGCCCTGTTGACTTAATCAGCCAAGATACATTGTTTAACCCCTTACACCCCAACATCAGTGTGTATATTCTCCATACTGTTCTCTATACATTTACCAAGGTGCTGACAAGGAGAATTTGTTTAACAATCAAGAGCTCTTTTAGTTTGTGATCATTCCTTTCATTCTCCTGACCTATATGTTTGATTCAGTTGTGATGCTGTAAGGAGAAATTAACTGATGGTCACTCTAAGTTAGAGGAAGGGTTAAGTAGATTGATTACTGACTTCTCAGCTGATAAGCCCTCACATTCAATAATGGTCATTGATTTGAAGAATGTATTCATTGACAGATATGGCTCGAGAGGCAGGGACAGCAGCACTGAATGATGCTGGGATTTCTTACCAGGATGTGGAGGCTGTTGTTGCTAGCTACTGTTATGGAGAACCAACATCAGGTGTGATTGTTATTTTACTGAAAAATGCTACTTTAGTTGGTCACAATTTTCTTTTTCAGGGTAGTCTCAAGCACTATTTATGTCAAAGTCAGTGTCACGCAAACATCACTTTTCATAAAATCTTACAAGAATACCTAATTATTAGCCCTTTACACCCTAAAATAAATATGCCTATTCTTAATAGTATTCTCTATACATTTTCTAAGATGCTGACAAAGAAAGTTTGTTTAACAATCAACAGCTTCTTTGGTTGGTAATCATTTCCTTTTTGCCCTTGACCTTAATGTTTGATTTCAGGGTGATATTGCAAGACGCAATTAGTTACTGGTCTCTCTTAGGGGTTAAGAGGTTAAAATTTGTACTTGAATATTGCCTCATTGAACCTTGCTGTTCCCTTTTATACAGGTCAAAGGGCAGTTTATGGTATGTAAAGTGCATGCTGAATATATATTTTCCCAGAATGTGGGCATTTAATATAATTGAAATTTAAGCAAATCATGCTACACTGAGACCTTCATGTCTGTTATTTGGCAATGTTACTAACCCTTTAACTCCCAAGATCTGATTGTCAATTCTCCCCTTTAGCTGTGACACATTTCCTTTCAAAATAGTTATGAGAATTTAGTGTTAGATCAAGATAAAAACTTCTACCTGACAACTTTGGAGTATTCTCATTACCTGTTTCCTGAATAATGTATGGATATTTTGGAGAGAAGGTACATGTTGATCAATTTTGGGAGTTAAAGGGTTAAAAGTGATTGGATTGACTCTAGAGTACCAACAATTTTCATTTTAATCGAATATAAGTAATTCTGGAACTAAACCAGTCATGTCTTTTTTTACAATTTATTTTTATTATTTGTTTACCTTTCATTCTCTTTGGCTCATTACAATGTTTGTTGTTCACCCTCCTTTACAATTATGTTAACATTCAAGTGGGTTTGATTAAATTCTGATGATTGATAAGCAATCTCTCTAATTTAAAAGGAAAATACACATCTGTCTTATTTCAGAGTTGGGTCTGACTGGGGTTCCTGTGTTTAATACCAATAACAACTGTTCATCTGCATCATCTGCCCTGATGTTGGCAAGGCTGTTGGTTCTCAGTGGACAGTATAGGTGTGTTTTAGCCTTAGGTAAGTCCTTACACTTTCTCTCATGAACAATTTTAAGATTTCTACCAAAGGTCATGCATTGTGCATTGTGTTATTTATTGATTTTGTGGTGTGAAGCAATATGTTTGTCATGAATGTATTAACCAGGTGGTCCTATGCGTGATATAGATCTAATAGAACCAAGTAATGAAAAGTCTTTTTAAATGCATACACACCTTGGCCATGTCACATAGGCCAACAGATAGACAAACAACCAAATTAAGATAGTTTTGTTGTTTGTTTTTTTCTGTAAAGGTTTTGAAAAGATGGAAAGAGGCCTGTCTGAAAGGTACAAAGACCGTGTATCTCCTGTGAAACGTCACATGGATCATATGGTTAATATTGGTGCTGCTCCTGGGCTTGTCAATCCCCAACTAAACTCTATGACCTCAGATGTTATTAAGGTAACCTATAGTTAGCAGCACTGTATTAAGTGGTCACCATGTATTAGGTGCCGCAGAAACCTGGAAAAGGAAAAAGTCACTTTATACTGGGTCTCTATACTGTCTGGTAACACTTCATCTCTTGGCTATAGCCTCACAGATTGGAATCATCCCCTCTAAAACTTATTACAGGCTATGTCCACAAAATCAGGTATCTTTAATTGGTCCATGTTCAAATCATCATGGCTGACAGATAAACTCTGATTCTTTCATTTGCAATTCCCTTCCCTATCTCAATATTTCAAGGCTAGAGAAAACCTGTGTCTAACTTACACTTGCAGTGGACAGATTGTGTTATCATTGACTTTTCCTTCTGTCTCATATTTCAGCTGTTTGCCTATGCTGCACAAGAGCATAGTCAGAAATATGGTAGCACATTTGAACAATGTGCTAAAATCGCTTACAAGAATCATAAGCACAGTGTTCACAACCCAAATGCTTGCCTTAGAAAGGAGCTCCCTTTAAACAGCATTACTCACTCGAAAATGATTTGCAAACCTATCACCTTTGCCATGTCTGCACCCACAGCAGATGGTTCAGCAGCTGCCATAGTGTGCTCAAGAGAATTCATGGAATCAAATGGAATGCAGGTTTGTTTTGAAGAATTCTGTTTTTTCCAGAAGGACACTGTGTCTGCACTGTACCTGATTTTGAAGGCTTTTGAGGGAGCATTTTTTTACCAAGAGGGGTGGGAAAGGGGAAGGTTTTTAGAGGCTCAAAAAAAACTACCACTAGTGGAACAAATCATTGTTATACTATCAAAAATAATAATTTTTTTTAAGTTCAAATTTGTTGGCCTTAATGGAGTAAAGTATGAACTTTTAAGAAAAAATTGAAACAGATATACTTTTAGGCTGTTTTGAATTTGGAATTTTGTGGAAAACTGCAAATTGGATTATGTGACACTTTACAGTTGCCACTTTTATCTGCATGAGCCGATGAGATTCTGGGAACAAACTAGAATTGTGAAATTAACAAATATTATAACTTTTGGTTCAGAACACATGGAAACTGGCTATGAATATGTAATTATGGTCCTTTCACTGGGGGCAGATTGCATTTAATTTACAACCCAGGTTGGTTCACTTCTTTTCTTTCATAGAACAAAGCTGTAGAGATCTTAGCTCAGCAGATGGTTACAGACCTACCATCTTCATTTGAGAAGAGCTTTATGGACCTAGCTGGGGTCACCATGGCTACAAAGGCTGCCATAGACTGCTACAGATCATCAGATCTCACACCCCGTGATGTGGATGTCTTAGAAGTTCATGATTGCTTCTCTTGCAATGAGGTCAGTGGAACTCTCTTGATTTGTTACTGTGTCTAACCATATGTGAAGAACAGAGTAGGCTGTTCCAGTCTGTAGCTTGTGAAAAAAGAATGCTCAATGGCTGTTTTTGTAACTGAAGACTGTGAGAATGACCATACTAAGTTAGTTCCAATGTTTGTTTTTTGGTTTTTCAGTTATTTATGTACGAAGCCATGGGACTTTGCCCAGTAGGGAGGGGTGGGGAGCTCATTGATTCAGCTGAATGGATCAGGAACGAAAATGGTAAGGCCTACATATTACTGTTATACAAATAAAATACTATTTTGAATAAGTGTTGTGTGTGTCAGTGATGTTCTTACCAAAATTTTGTCTGTGATCTATTACTCTACAGACACACGGCAACATGAAATCTATTTGTTTCATAGGATAGGAAAGCAAAATGTTGTTAATGGTGATGTCATATAAGCGTCTGTCCTCCAATAGATCACAAGAAAGAACCAATTAAATTGCGTGTACATTTCAGCTCATAATGAAGTGACTTTTGTTTTCGCTCTCCTTAGGCGGGGAAGTTTGTCGCATTGGCAGTAGATGGGTAGTGAATCCATCGGGAGGTTTGGAGTCGAAAGGTGTGCTCCTTAATTTGTTATTATATTGCATCATGGTAACTTTCTGAAAAGAAAGCAAAGGCGATGCTAAACAAAGCTCAAGATAGTCTTAGTAAGAAATCTCTTCATCTTTGACCAAACAGAGCGGTTGCATGTCAACGATCATGTGGCTAATACGTTTTTTTCTCTTTATTCCCATCAGGACATCCGATCGGCGCCACAGGTCTTGCGCAATGCGCCGAACTTAACTGGCAGGTAGGTGTAATGCATGTTTTTCGGAAAACAAGGAAGAGCATGGGCAAGTGGCGGGAAAAAGAGGGTCGCGTGGGCACTGGGGATTAGGCGAGAAAATAAGGCACCTGCGCTTTTTTTGAGTTTCCATGTTACTCCTGAGGGACAGAACTAAGCGTGGTTTAAATGCTACTAAATCTGCATAAGTAATTTTTTTAAAACTTGTCATTTAATTCTTGTTGCAGCTCAGAGGTGAAGCAGGAAAACGGCAGGTAGACGGAGCAACAGTTGCCTTGCAGCACAACTTTGGAATCGGAGGAGCTGCTGTGGTGACGATGTACAAAAAATTCAAACCTCAAAAAAGGGAACAGCTTCATGCCAAATTATAACAGAGTGTCTCACTTTCGACTGAAGCGAACTTTGAAACGCAATTATCAACCATAGCTTTCCAAACCATTATTTATTGTAAAATGCTGAACATAAAAGGCTGAGTGTAGTCAAGAATACCTAACTCAAGTATAAAGTACTTTTTTTAATAGAGAATGGAAGAAATTGAAGGAGACATGACTAAATTAAGTATTTATAGAAAGAATCTAATTGGTAGTTTCTTGAAATAATTCTTCCATTTATCATTAAGGAAGCTGTCATTTTGTCTGGGTACGAGTTTATATCAGGGGGATATGGCTGGTCATGAAGGCAATTTGCGCCAAGTAAGCAACTGAGTGATTTCGAACGCTTTTCGGTGATCAAAAAACGGCAGGAAGTCAACTTTTGTTTTCTGCCTCTCGGCCGTTTGATTGCGGCACTCTTTACGATGACTAATATACATTATCGACAGTTGATGAAATCAAAATTATTTTGTTATCCTCCCCCACCAACGAACCACCACAGTTTCTCAAGAAACTTACCCCCTTTATTCAATATTTGAACATGTTGTGAATGAGAGATATTTTTAATTTTGTGTCGCAACCCGGAATGGGAGCAAATAAAAAGCAATACAATTTTTTTCCATTTTAGCCAAAGACTCACATTTATTTGCGCAAGAATATGTATATTTTCATGTCCATCATGTGTCTCTCAAGTATTCCCGGCATCCCTCTGGTAAAAGCGTGCGCCATTATTTGTTCAGCTTTGTTTCACATTTGGTACCACCAAGTTTTGCCAACCAAAGTTGAAACTATTTTCAGTTACGAGCAGGTATAAGACTTCCACTAACATTTACAGTGAACTCCTTTTTTCGCTATTAAAATCCTTAAAGAGTGAACTTGAAGTTAAAGCTCAATTAGGTCTCACTAAAATATTATTTACACAAGAGACCTTTTATCGAAGACATGTTTGTCACTCGGTTTTCATTCCAGAGTCACGAAACTAAGTGATTTCAAAAACTGGCAAGTTTTTATCCAAAAGGCTGTAGCGTAGATGCAGTACCAGCACATCACTGAGATTCAGTGAGCTTCCTCAAACGCGCTGCCAGTCAGACTGCAAAGTATGGAAAAACTCGACGAGATCTCGAATGTGCAAAGGCAATTTTTCCCTGTGAAATGTTTGGTAAGAAAGGAAAAAAATTCCGCTTTCATCTACCATCCGCTAGAGACAGGTTTGTCACAAAGTATATGAGTAAAAATTGTGCAAAAGATTTGCCTCCATTCGGATATCAGTATAAGCTAGCGAAGCTCAATTGCCGGTTCTGATGAATTCCGCTTAAAGGCTCTAACCAATGACAGCTTTTGTTCAATGGCCACATTTTTCAGTTCCCGTTTCATATCTTTTTTCAAAAAAGCGTATACTAAAGGATTGACAGCCGAATTTATAATAAAACAGATGTGAATAACTTTTTTTAAAGTCTCTGAAGCGACACACATTTTGAATGTGAAACAGAAACAACGATAGTTCCCTCCAATGTGACAAAGAACGAAGAATAAAATGATTAAGAAAATCATCTTCATAGAAGCTTTCCTTTCTTTGATTTTCTTAACTCGTTTTTTCGGATGTTCACAAAAATTAAACTTGAGTTGGGCGAGTAGAAGTGTCTCTTTTTGCGAAATGCTTCTCGCTATCAGGAAGAGATGTCCTGTTATCAAAACAAACGCGACACTTGGCACAAGCTGAAAAATAAGTACTCTAAATGTTTCAAAAGCAAACGTGAATAAGTCGTTTCTTCCTGAATATGTGAAAAATGAGGGTACTGTGAACAGGAGAAATGGTGTAATCCATGCTAAGGCGAGCGCAGACAAGAGTCGCTTTCGTGTCATGTAGGAATCGTATCTCAACGGCTTCATAACTGTAATATACTTATCCGTTATCAGCACGCACAAATTCACACACGAAGAATAGAGAAATGTATGGCTGATTTTGAACCACAGCCCTGAATGATCGGTGGATATTTGAGCGTTGAAATACGAAGTAAAAATCATGGGAAAATAGCTTAACCCGAAGCAGAAATCGGCCAGTGCAAGAGAAAGAATGAACCAGTTCGTTTTAACATGTAGTCGAGGTCTTGTGATGATCAAATAAATTACCAGGACATTTCCAAGAACAACAAATGCGGTGAAAAACCAACCAAAGATGAAAAACCACATCGTGAGCTTGAAATAAACCAGCTGATCTGCATAAAAGTGTTCGTAGTTATATTTCGCTCTCTGTGGAAGACACTGCGGCCGACCCTTGGCGAACTGCAAACAAACTTGATAGGCCCGTGAGAGGGGGAGGGTGACGCTTTCTAAGCTGACCGTCAGTTATTTAACCCCTCATATCCTTGCGAAGTGAAATTATTTACCTCCTTGAAATTTGTTGAAGAACATTTTTTTAAAGTTTATCTGGAAAGGAGCTTAGCCAAGCTGTAATTGATATGACAACAATTTTTTTGGCAACGTGTCGAAAGGAAATTTAAAAAAATTTAAAAGCAAATATAATGAAAGGCAATTATAAAATTAGTTAAAAACGAATGGGAGCATGAAATGTAAGGAAATCGAATTGTTATAATTTTTGGTTGCCTTGCAATTGTACATATACGAATACCCTGAAAGAGCCCTAAAAGACAAAAAAAAAAAAATTTTGCCAGTTCGCTGTTTCTCTGTACTCTACAGACATGTCTGGGGTGAACTAATCACTTAAGCAAAAAATAAATGATACCATGATATTAATCATTTTAAGAATGCCTTTTTATTCATTATATACATTGTTATTACAATTTTTGTTATTAATTCTCTCGATGTTGTACAAACGCCTAACTTAAGCTGCAATTTTTACCTATTCATTGGTTGCTTGACAATAACAACACGTGATGCTTCACGGTGTAATATCCTACAAGCACTACTTTCCGACATAAACACAAAAACTGGAGATATTACAGGAACAATTTTCATTCTTCAATCAGGAGGTTCATTCTAAAATTACATCAATGATCATATAAACATTATATTTAGTACATGATTTCAGGTGTCATAGTAAACAGTTATTTACATCACAAAACGCGTGCAATTTTAACCGCGACGCGTTTTTTTTGCTCACTTTTCCAAACCAAACACATGTTTAATTAACCAAAAGTTGTAAGAAAAAAACATCGTTTTTTACTAAACCAAAATATGGTTTTCCACTGGCTTTTAAAATGTTTTCAACTAATTTTGTTGGATTTTCGCAATGTTGTATAATGATTTATGAAAAAATTTTAATTTCTCCGATCCCAAACATAGAATCGTTTGTAATCACATCGCACACATTTTCATCAGCTCCCTCTTTATGTCTTTCTTCAAGACAGCGTAAACAACTGGGTTTACGGCCGAGTTCATAACAAAAAAGATGTGGATGGCTCTTTCCAAACCGTCAGAAACGATGCAAGTTTTGAAGACGTAACAAAAACAGCGAAAATTTCCCCCAATGTGGCAAAGGACGAAGAACACAATAATGAATATAATCATATTTACTGAGGCCTTTTTTTCCTTGCATTTCTTTCTAGTCGCATTTTGTTGCGGCTGAAAATTATAGCTGATTTGAGCCATGAGGGCCGCTTCTTTCCGCGAAATGTCTCGGGCTATGAAACAGAGACGGCAGATGACAAAAATAAATAGAATGCTTGGAACAAGCTGGAAGATCGAAACTCTGAACATTTCGAAGCCAAAAATGAGCAGCTCATTCCCGCCAGAATAAACGAATATGGAAGGTAACGTGAAAAGAAATAACGGTGCAATCCACGCCAAAGAGATCAGATAAATCACCTTTTCATTTGTCATGCGTAAGAGGTACTTGAGAGGCATCGTCACTGCTAGGTATCTATCTGCTGTCAAGACGCAAAGATTCGCCGTCGAGGAATAGAGAAATGTATGGCTGATTTTGAACCAATTTCCTGTGTGGTCGACGGGTAGCTGTGACGGAAAGAAACTTGAAACGAAAAGTAGGGGAAAATAGCTTAAACCGACGCAGAAATCAGCCAGTGCGAGGGACAGCACGAACCAGTTTGATGTTACACGAAGTTGTGGTCGTGTAATGATCAAGTACATCACAAAAACGTTTTCAAAAACAGTCAGGACTGTAAATAACCATCCAAAGATAAAAAACCACATTTCAATCACTGTTTTCGGATGCTGATAAAGTCCAACATTGTATATTCGAGGCTTAATTGATCGATATGACAGTGAGCTATTCCTGACTGTATCTAAAAGAAAACGAACTGCATTTGCTTTTAAATCGAAGTCAGCCTCTTACGTTTAGGATCCAGGCACGATCAAAGCAGAAAAAATTCAACTGTTTTTTGCAATTAGCAATTGACGATAGAGTTAATTTACCATACGCAAGTTTCCTGAACCCAGCTGCTTCATTCGTGCAATAATTATGCAGCCAGGTGCAAAAAGTTTTGCAATTTCCTATTTTGATCAGCTGGATTTGACACAGGGTTTTTCAAAAAACCCTCAAGCATTTCAACTTTATTTGGCGCCTGTGACAAGGTTCTTGAACTTTCCAATGAATTTTGAAGGGGACCCACTCATTTCGTTCACAGAGAACGTAAAATTAGATTACTATCGTGTTCTCTTGTCAGAGTTGTCAGGGGGCGATCACGTAATTGTTTCAACATCTTGAAAGTGTGCGGGGTAAAAACTGACGACACTTCAACTCCGCTGAAAAAAAATTCTTCAAATGTACCGTATAACATCAAAATCTTGCGGGATTTCCTGGTTGAAACTAATTTTTTCGAGTTCTGTTCAAATAAAAAAAAAATAACCAACCAAAAAATGTCAAGAATGTTTCATATTTTCTAACTCAGAAAAGCCATATGCAGAAAAAACCGACAGCTTATTAATAATTCTTAGATATATGTATACTTCAATGTAAGGTAGAAAAAAGAGGTCGAACAGACGCTTTATTCTCATGTCGAAATTTTAAAAGATTTCAATGAATGTAGTCAATTTCCCCTTGTTCTTTCTGTGTGATATTTTTTGGACAGCTGTCCGCATCAGAGTAATATTTTGTTCTTACGGAAGGAAACTCCCTCAGACTTATTAGGGGTTTACTTTCGCTGACAGCTCAAAGACATCGGTAATTAACTACATCGATAGGATCAAAGTTGTTGAAAGGTTCTGGAAACAATATTCAGCGGCAAAACAACACTTACGTCATCTCTTGACAGCGAGCTCATGCAAATATACAGGGCCTTAGAGGGATGATAAGACTAATGGCTAATCTCTTACCTTTCTTGTTAAAAAAACAATTTTTTACGGTAAACTTTTTTTACGACCGACTGTTAAGAAAGAAAATCTTTAACGACAACAACGAGATCGCGGTGAGACAAAAACTTTCAGGAGCAGAAATATAGCTCCACACGCACGTGCGTTTGAAACTTGAAACTTTGAACATTTCAAAATCGCTTAGCCATGCGCCGTGAACGTGCATTTAAAATTTTACACCTTTCTTTGTTGTCCTCTGGAAAACAGCGACATGAAATGGCCAAGCTTGCATCGTTGAAGACTGGAGGCCCTAAGGGAAAATAAATGACATCTCTCTTTCGATGACGCCTGCACAAGTCATATCGAAGAATAGGTCTTAGGTCATTTATGAAAAATCATTTTCAAAATGAATTAGTTTTTTTTTAATATACCGTCGAATTGAATGTTATCCCCAGCTTCGCTGGCGATAAGTTTATCGCTGTGTAAGTTCCTTAATAACTGTAAACGGACGCGTTAGAATTAACAATAGCACCCTGTAGCTTTCGTAAATCCAGTGCCACAAGAAGATGGGGTCATTGGTCGTCAGTAAATTTTAGCGCTGATATATGGAACGGTATAAGATAAGCTTCGCGTCGTGGTTTCCTACGCTTATCTCGTGTTCTCCCAACCTCCCGCGTGTTTACATCAGGCTATGTAAACACGGAAACCATTTTACATTTCTTCAATATTTGATGCCGGATGATTAAGTGATTGTATATACTCTTTTAATCTTATACATTTTTTGTATGTTTAACTAGTTCTTAATCTAAACTTAGTATTCTTCTGAGGACCCTTCTGTAAACCATTTCGTGACGTTGGCGTCCTCATTAAAGATTACTATTATTATTATTATTATTAGCTTGCAGCTGTAACCCCTAGACCCCTGAGTGATCAACACCTAATTTCTCCTTTCTACATCAGCCCTAAATCAACCATTAAGGTAATGAGAATGAAGGAAATGACCGCTAACCTAAAAAACTCTTGATTGTTAAACAAATTCTCCTTCTGGTTGCCGCGTGAACTTTAATAAATTCTCCTTTTCAATACGTTAGGAAATGTATAGAGAAAAGTATGGAGAATATGCATGTTGATGTTAGGGTCAGCGAGGAATTATTTTCCGCTCTGTGCTCTGAGTTGCTCTTATAAAGATGACTTTCAGGCTATTTCCGTAAACTTTGAAATTGAATTTTTTTTTGCAATATTTGATGGCGAAATGCCTTTGTTTCTCTTCTTCAAAGGAGAAAGGTATATTAAGAGTAAGTTTCCGCACAACCAACAGAATTCCTTATTGACTAAGAGACTTTCTCTTGTTGTTTTGTTGCTCAGACCCCGCCTTGTTTTTCAAAACATATGGAGCCCAGGCCCCATAAGATTTACAAGTGGCTACGAAGGACTGGGCGAAACCCTGCACCTCACAGACGAAAACAAAGATGGTGGAAGGGAGTGATTTTGTGGAGGAAAGTCCAATTGCGAGAATATCTCACAAAACGTGTTTATAGGCACGCTTTTTATAAGCGCGTTCCAAGCCCAAGATGAGCAGGTGGAGGATCGTACGGTTCGCTAGAGATGTGACTGTAGGCGCTAGTCGCCTCGTTGGAGTCACAGTTGTTCGTTTTTTTATGTCATGTTGTACAGTTTTTGTGATCCTGTGGATCGCTGTATTTCTGTACGTCAGTTTTTACTACGCTTACATGCCAACCGTTAGTCATGTAAGGCCAGTGTTCCTGCTTTTCAAGTAAGTTTGCCCTTTTTTTTTCATTGTCTTTTAAGCTCGGTTATTAAGAAATAGGCGCGTCGAACTGTTTCGTGAATGATAATTTTTTTTTCGTTTCTGTTTACGTTGTTGTAGCTCTAATTGCGATGATTCTCGAGGGAAAACTTTATGTTCCTTCCCTGAAGCCAATTTATCTCTGAGCACTGGAGAACGAGTGAGTAAAAATTTGGAAGCAGTTTCATTGTAATGTTACCGCGAGTAAAACTCGTGACTTGTTGATCCCTTTCATTGTTCTGCACAGTGGTGTTGAAGTCCATTTTGCCCTCGCGCAAGGATTATCCAATGTTTCTCTGTACGATTTCAGAATTACGCGTAGATTAACTGGTTTAGTGTACTGGCTATTGTTAGTTCTCACCTTCACATCCTAAGCTGCCCAATTTTTTTTTTCCCTGTTTGATCCATTGTGTCTTGAAATACTGTACACTACATGTTAGCGCCCCAAATTACGTTGATCGGGGCTTACAAAGCACTTATCAAATTATCACACTTTTCACTCGTTTTTTTTGATAGATATTAATGAGAGGGCAGCGCTATCAGGTTTTTCTGGATCTTGAGATGCCACATTCTCCTGTTAATGAAAAGCTTGGTTAGTAATCAGTAAATGACTGCCAATAGTGATCTGTTCATAAATTCTCTTCACAATTTTAAGATGATTTCAAACAGATAGGTATTGAGAATTAGAGGAATGATCAGCTTTTTTTCAGGACTTGCCCAGTGCATGTAAGAAGAATTAGCTTTTTGATCTTGGCAGTTTAAGTTAACCTTTTCATTTAAAGATCTGTTCACTGTATGTTTCTCATAATTTTAGTTTCTCCTTATCATTTCATTTTATCTTTTATATTTATCTATATTTTAGCTCCTCACTGCAGGTATACATGCAAAATTTCCCAGTCCTAGATTTTATTCACTGCCATGAAGCTTTTTCCAGCTTTTTGTGTGAAATGGAACAAATGCAATATTTATGTCGCAATGTATTGCACAACCAATGATAACAGATTTTGGGGTCTAACTCTATCAAGTGGGTTCTTGAGGTGGAATGAAATCTACTCTACAAGATAATGTTTTTAATACTGCATATCAGAAAAAGTCATTACTGTGTTTGGAAATGTTTGGAAGTTGAACTTAACAGTAAGGTATTCAAATCAAAGTAACATTGGAATATCTTTTTTTTTTCTGGTCATTTCTCCATTTAGGAATGTTCATGGTTAGAGTAACCTTTTTATCTGAATCTGGAAAAGTTTTGGCAAGTTCAGAAAGATCAGTGAGTACATATCGTAGTTATATAATTTTTTTCACTCAAGGGCTGAATTTCTCATGTCTTACAGGTTACAGCTATTGAGATACTGCACTTTTTGTCTATGTAAAATAATAATTATTCTCCAATGACCAAGTTAATATTTTTGAATAATCCTCAAGACAAAGTCGAGGGGACAATTTGATAATATTCATTGAGCCTGAGGGAAATAACTGTACAGTTGTCCAGGTACTTTCAAATTCTGCTGTAAATTTTTTTTTGTTGTTCAAACTGTTCTGTAAATTAAGATAGCAGTGAGCATTTTCTTTTATCATTGTTGTTACTTGTATCTAGAAAGGCAATTAGTTTCCACCAGAATATAACAAGATCTTTTAAATACTTTTGAGAATTGTTAGGCCAAACTTGGCAGCGTCCTTTGTACTCTTTGGAATTGAATTTTGTTTATTCACCTCAATAATCTCCTTGCTGGAGGTGATTATAGTGGTGACATTGAATGCCAGTGGTGATTATGGTGAGATATGATCCAATCCATGACCATTTCTTTAATCAACTGAGCTATCATAGCAATATGTTTTTTATTCCTTACTTGAACAGGGCATGCTTCATTACAAGTCAGCCTTGTTACAATCTCTTGCCACTGTTTTTTACTCTCTGCCAATGGTTTTGGGTTTCACAGAGGAGAAACAGATTGTGCAGATAAACCTGTTTGAAGAATATGTCGAGGACTCGGTATGTATATGATTTTGTTTTGAACCAGCTTTTCACAATCTCTGTTTATCAGTTTTGGTTGCTATTGATTGTCCCTATGATTTGTTGATAAGAGCCTGTAGGTGACCAAAACCACCAACTAGTCTGCAATCTTCAGCCAGCTACTGTTACTTCATTTTTCAGTTTTTATCATCAGTCTAGTGCCACTTGTCAATCTCAGCATAAAATTATGTGAGCAGCATTGAGTGCCAAATGGAAATTAAAATAATTTTCTGTAAGGGTTCCTGTTCTCAAACCATGCAAAATTTTATGTTTTTACATTGCTGTTTTTGCAAATGACAGCTAAGAATGCACACAGTTTAAAAACGCATGTGCTGGGCTATTATTCTGCCCATTAGATATTTTTTTTGTCTTGTCCTTGTTGCTGTCACCGTGGTAGTTTGCTCAATGTCCCTAACGTGTTAGAGTGACTAGCATCTAATTTCTCCTTACAATATCTCCTGTGAATCAAACATCAGGGTGATGAGAATTATCGAAATGATCAACAACTACAGAAGCTCTGGATTGTTAAGCTAATTCTCCTTGTCAGCACCTTAGGAAATGTATAGAGAACAGTATGGAGAATATGCATACTGATATGAGGGTGTAAAGGGTTAAGGGGATGGATGTTGAATTAGATCTCATCCTGCTTTGTTTCGTCCTAGTATCACCCAGCAGTTGGGGCCACTGTGATTGTACTCAGCAAAGAAATTGAAATCTACTCTGCTGCTCTGAGGATTGAAGCTCACTTTGTGGGACTGAGGTTAGTTCATATCTCTTCCGTAGGGGGTGGGAAAGTAGGGAAATCTATCACGTGACCGCATTAGTTTGTCATAATAGTATAAATGAACGAAGCTTCTTCAAAGCAAGTGCTTGCAGGAAATTTCTCGTCTATTAACCCTTTCCACTTTGCATGCTTCGTCTCTAGGTACATCATGATCAACTGGCCTGTAACATCAGCTTTACTGTCGATTACCATAAACTTTTTCATCATCAGCGCCGTGTTCTTCTTCGCGTACAGCGCTTTCTCGCCCGACTCAGGCTACGAAGAGCACGTAGAACAGCCTCAGGCAGATTTAGACACCGTCACCGAAGAACAACAGCGCACGCTCTCACGAAGACGAGCCAGAGGGGGACGGGACAGGCCTGGAACCGAGGATGTTCCCTCGGCCTCTTCAACCCGGCCGCCCAGGACGGGTAGGTTGAAGCCCAAAAAACTTTCTTCGTCACGCACCCAAGCACCCAGTCGTACAAACGGAGGAATGACAAGATGTGCCTCCTTTCCTTCCTCTAGGTGGGACTGGTGCATTCTTCAAAGGGCTCCAACTTCGGCTGCACACAAGGCACCCTGTTCCCTCCATAGAAACGGTCCGCGTTACCATAGTAACGATGATCTGGGTTGCCGGACGGGCCTTTCGTGTCCTGGTGTCGTTGCCGATGGGGATGGTGAGTATGGCGGCCAAGCTGCCCACTTCCAGAATACTCGGCACTCACCAGTCGACACAGAACCCTACTACATCTTGAGTTTCCGTGAGGGAAAAGCGTGGAGAAGTGAAAGGAGGCATGGAAGTGACAGTGGCGATGAATATGCTGTGGCACAGTATAGATCCAGTGAGGATGGGTATCCTGTGGTGCGGCAAAGAGCCGGTGACGATGTATTTCCCGCTCTGCAGCCTGGCTGCAGTGGCTTGAGATCAAGGTGCACCTGGAAGAAAGTTCCGGAACATGACACAATGTCTAGTGGCAGCTCAACAGAGTGCGTTCATACACGAAGGAATCGGCAATTACTGGGGGCAAGACCTCGTGGTAAGAGCTTTGATTCCGTACGCGGATGTAACCACCCTGCATACGGACGTGATTTTGATCATAACTGCCATCACGAGTGCAGAGATGGCAGTGATCCATCTATCTACGAGCACTTGCACAGCAGGGTTCCTGATGGTGCTGCTTCCTCGTCAGAGTACCTTCACAATTTGGCCTCAGGGGCCGTGAGCACACAGGACAGTGGTCTTGTCTCTTCAGAACAAAGCGTGAATCGGCCTGTAAACGACAGCGAGCACGGAGTGTCGATACACAAACGATCGGTGAACAAGACTCGAGCCAGATTTGGACTTTCATTGAAGAGGATGCTTTCAAAAAAAGACGACAAGTCCTCGTGATGAAAATGTTTTGACGCTTCACCTTCACGTGTTTTATTCTTCTTCTTCTTTAGAACGCTCCTAAGTTTGACGCTTGTCTCTGATTGTTCGCTTTTAATTTTTGTGCCTGAACCACGGCCAACCGTAATATTCCTGAAAAAATCGTCAATACCCCTCTCAAAATCAAGAATTTTTATCCACACACAGAGAGACACCTTTGTTTTAGAGAGGCCCGAGGTGAGAAACAAACGCAGTTTTTTTTTTAATTGCTTCAAAAGCATCGGTCATAATTGTGATTCATTTGTTGGTATCTCCTGCGCGGAAATTCCTTGTATAAGACAGTTTCTTGTTACCTTGCAGACACAAAAGGCGCGGGACTTTTCTTGTTCCTGAAAAGTGTGAAAAGTGTGCGCCGAGGGTAATCCGTGTTTAAGTTTAGTCCTGAATATTAGAAATTTTGCGTACTAAAGTTTTATCAACACGGGCGAAATTTGTCGCCAAAGTCAAAGTCAACTTGGAGGGCGACTTATCTAGGTTGTCGTAGCGTATGTTAAGATTACCTTTGTTGGATCCATGCATGATAATTGGAAGTTTACTTTTCTGTTCTTTTGGCATGTGCGCTTTTTCATTAGCGATTTTAGTATGTAGCGTCAAACGATAGATGAGAAGGTTCATCTCAATTTACCCCCTTGGTGCGCATGGCTTAAATTTGTCTCAGTACACAACTCTTGAACGAATAATTCAGGACTATTCTTTCCAGAGGAGTAAGATAATTGTTCTTGGCGCTCTTTTAACTGAAATATTGGGCAGAAAATTTGTGTTGACAGAGGAAGGTGCGTTGATTTCGGTGATACCAAGGAAAAGAATACCGATGAGAAATTCTGTCACGGATAACAGACTTTGTTTTATTTGAGACCCGTTTTATTTGAATAGATTGTTTTACTTTTTCAGATGTTGTGTAAATTAAAATGTTTTGGGTTCTTGGGAGAAGATTCTTATTTAAAATTAAATGACATTAATAGAAAGGTGTTCTACATTATTTGTAGAAATTCTCGCGCGCAAGAACTATTGTCAATAAGGTTAGATATATGATTTTAGAAATTTAAAGTCACTTAAGGTTAGAGATAATAGATTGACTTAATAGGTAATTCAAAGATCGGCATACTTGAAGAAATTTTGAAGAAGAACTTGTCGTGATAGAAGATAAAGCGGAGGAAACTCTTTAGAATTACGAATCCGGTTATCAGTTCGCAAAGTTGAAAGACAGACAACCACGTAGAAATACTTCCCGAAGCCGAAGCAAATGGCGCCAAAATTAAAATCAAGAGGGCCATATAAAAACGATTCAGGGCAACAGAGTCAATTGCCATCCATTTCTTTTCTGGCAAATCAAAACAAACAGCGAAGCAACCGTCGATCATGTAACGCGCGCTCAATTTTTCAAACAAATTTGGCGCATTCACTTGGCATAAATGTAAATGTAAATTTCATGTAAAAATCAAATTGATCAAAATTTTCCATTGCTATAACCTTATTGATCATAAAAATGACGTCAGAAATGTTCAAAACTTTGCAGTGAAACTACTCGGCTGCGTCTTGTGGTTTCACTTCAGATTTGAACATTGTTGACGTCATTTCAATCATCATTAAGGTTATCGACGATGGAAAATTGTAGTCAATTGTTTAGTCAGATGCACTCGTGCGTTGAACGCATGACCCTCAGCAAGGAAGAACGGAGTTACGTTAACGCTGAACTGGGCAAATTGTCTCTTGGTTGCAAAAATTTACTAGCCATGGATTATGTACGCTCCTCTCTAATGAAGCTAGCGAACCGGTTTGAATTTTAATTTCAAATTAGTTTCCTATGGCACTTACAAGAAGAATTTGATAATAGAGAGCTTAATCTTTGAGTTTGCGATAATTTCCTTCATTCTCATGACCTCAATGTATGCTTCAGGGCCGATATTGTAGGGAGAAATAAGATGCTTATCACTTGGGCATCAAAGGGTCAAACAATGATTACTGCAATTAGCTGATTTTGCAGCCAAACAGCTGTCCAGGAAGATTTCCTTTTGCAAACGAAAAAAAGGGGAGACGCAAAAAAAGGTCTGGCATTAATTGCGAATCTTTTGCACGTCCTTTCCAACGGCCTGGTAGAGTAAGTATTTCTCGTTTCGTGCCGGAAACGAATATTCGGAATTTACTGTGTATTGCGGATTCTGAAGCTCAGTACATATAAGAAAACACTCATATCCTTTTAAACCCGTCCGATAATTGGCAGTGATGCAGCTGTCAATCACCGTGGGATATACACAATGCGATTGGTGGATTTTATTCCATTGTTTTGTATGTATGTTGGTTATTGCTAGTATATCACGAACGGAAACTTAAATTAGAAAAATCAGTTTTAAGTAAAAAATAACTTGAATTGATTTTATTTTTTGGATTAACCACAAATAAAGATAGACAGGAAAACTTATGATGTGATAAATAAGTGAAAATAAAACAGTCTATCTTGGCCAATTTCCTAGTTTTCATAACAAACACAAAGTTCATGTTCGTCGACGACAATGCTCGCGTTTAAGACTGGAATCAGTTTCCCTTGTACGTTACCGGTGTATAAAACCTGAATGCATCTTTCTCCTACCAAAATTTACTAAACTGAGTTTTTGACGGTTAATTCCAAATCATTTCATCATCAAGATGCAACCTTTTTGAAGTGTAAGATTTAAGTTTCACTATTATGAAAGTGTTCATTGTGGTGTGAGCTACCTCCGGTCCGAAGCCCTTAAAACAATGTAACAAAAAGAGAATTCATTGGGCTTTTATCTTCAATTAGAGCGTTATTTTCAAATTTAGCCAATCGCAGCAAAGTGCCGAGGACTAACGTCTACAGTTTAACAAAGCAAAGAAGGCTAGCTCACATCTTTTCATTTTCAAAACTTTCAAGTTTTACGCAATCTGTTCAGAAACAGCTGTGAATTTCGGTGGCAGTTTTTAGTCTTGCGAGCGAAAGGTGAAGAAGATGCCTTTTATACGAGAAGCGATTTCCCTTTTGGCAGTTTGTGCTGTTTTTTATGGGTTAATTACGATTTTATTCGCAATCTATTGCTGCAGGATATTCGTTAAATGTGCGAGGAAAGGCAACGATATGGAAAAGAATGCTGACGACCTGGATAGATCCATGGAATTTGAGAGCATTACCGAAACGTCGGTGTGCATCGACGAGTCCGGAAATAGGACCTTCACCCATCAAGGGAACGTTAATATCTTTCAGGATGACAACAAACTGAGAAGGTTAACGCTTTCGAATCTCGACCAAGGAAACAACCTGCGGTTCTCTCAACCAGAAGGAAAAGACATGAAAAGGTCGAAAAAAGTTAAAAATCACGAGCAAACAGGTTCAGTACGATCTTGTTTGTACAACGACTTCTCTATGGACACACGTCTTTAAACGCGAAATTCAAATTTCAACCGGTAAATTTACCTGTTTTTGGTGTTGATCTATTTATGTTACACATTCAAGACTACACATCTTGGTTAGAACTGTAAGCAGAGACCGCTTTTGAATAATTTAAGAACAGCCTTTGTAAACCGACGTAATGTAAAAAAACGCGATGGTGAAATTCCCGGAACTTGAAACAACGGAATAGAGAGGCCTTCCTTGTTAAACAAGTTCAAATTTTCCTGTAACTTAATAATTGTGACGGTACGTAGATTTTCACGAATTTCGTACTTAATGACTAAAAGATATATTATGTTATTGTCTTGAACTGACAGGATCGTAATCATATCAACATTATATTTAAAGCAAAATTTCACCATTGCCGGCCTTAAAAACAAAAATAAAGGGGAAAAGTTGCTTAAGAAACTGTAGTGTTACATCTGTGAGAGAGACGGAGGGGTATAACAAGATATTTTGGTTTTATCGTTTTGACGAAAGAGCCAATGCTTCAAACGTCAGCCTTAGAAATTCTTCATGGTGGACAATTTAAATTGAATACTAAGTTACATTCTTTTTGAAAAACTATCTCAAATGTTACTGATTACTGTGAAACATTTGCTCTGTCTCATATTTTCTTTAACTGTTATATTATCAAATAATCAAATAACATTTTCCGCCCTCATCACTGCATCAGTACCGCCATATTTAATTTCGATTCCAGTCTCTTCCCTGGAGCCTCCCGTTTTTACTTATGAACACGTAACGAAAGAGACGTGGACTCTGGGAGAGAGTTAATTTTCGATCCCAGAGGTCCTTCCAAATTGTTGTCGTCAGTCATGCGCGATAGAGGAGAGAGCCTTGGGCATGTTAGGGAATGGGATTGCGTCTTATGAATGATGAGCGCTGTTTCCATTTATTCACCATACGCGAGCGCATATGATGATCTTAGGAGAACTGTAGAGGTGATAACATGTTCCTGTAATGTAATTGAAAACCTCTACTTCTCAGCCAACTCTATACCAGCCTCGAACTCGTGCATCAAACCAGTTTTCCTGACTCATTATGTTACGAGAATCTTAAAACTTTACTCTCTTCACCAGCGCCTCTCAGTTTTCTATAAACGCAAAGGGAGGCTCTGGGGGCGAGATGGAGTCAAGCGTTATCTCTTCAATATCTATCAACGGTCTTCAGGGAAGAAATGTTTGCTCCATCCGTTAAAAGTAAACACTCTCGTAAGGCAAATTGAAAAGCTTGTGATGAAGTTTTTTCTCCATTTATTCAAACTGTCAGTTTCATTTGACATAATAAATGCGAAATACATTAAAGACACCTTTACTTTGACGGATGAGTTGACAAAGTTTCGACAGATAAATCAATTTAACCTGATGACGTATCCGCTTGCTCTTAAACAAAGATGGTTATGGCCGGAAAAGCTTTTAATTTCCGAGTATAAGTTCCCATCATTAATGCGGCATTTTATACTTCAAAATTTAAATTTCATATGAGATTGGGCAACAAAATAAGTGCCAATCATGATACGATCTGCAATTGAATGAAGCCAGGAAACTTATTTCTGACTAACGACATTTTGAAATAACAATAACAACAAAAAGAAATGCCAATTGAAAACAAAACAAATAAACAAATGGAAACGAGTTTTTAAAAGGCCAGCAACATTTAATATGCACGAGAGATAACGTTGCTTACCGGCCTATGGGTTTGATGAAATTATTGTGATAAGGTTATTTTTAATACTTCGAAACTGGCGCATTTATTTTCGATGAGTTTAGAATCCAGCGCGGAACTATTTAGAGTCTGGAAACCTTGATATACATTACCGTGGTTGAAAATGTAAAGAAATCGATTTGAATATGGTACTCTGTAGAGAAAAGGTAAATTTGTTCTGGTGCACGTGGGGTTTCTTGTTACAAAAAAAGAATAACAACCCCTTACCAAGCTCAACAATACAGGGGAGCAAAAATCGCCTGTAATGTTTGATAGAGTGCGTGGAAAGCCCACAAAGAAAATTAAAGCCATGTCTTTTCTATTTGTTTTAGCGGTCTAATTTTTTTCCGGCTGGAAAAGCTGAAAATATAGAGATGACGGCGAGCAGTATGACTCTCTAAGGCCTTGTCTTTCTGTCAGTCTGTAGACAATTGGTTTGATGTAAAGATCAGAAATGGAAATACAAAAACTGACTTTTGATATCGACAAATTGTGAAAACCTTTTCGAAGCCATATGCCATTTTTCAAGGAGTGAGCGGAAAAATCAAATAGTTATTTAAAATTCAATTACGCGTACACCGCAAAGCACCGAGTGTTGACGAAAAAAAACCGGTTGCGACGGTATAGAGTGACTTGTTCGAAGAGCAACGTTGAATTGTTAAGGATTTGGTCGTTAAAGCTGAATTCATTTGGGGTGCAATTCGAACCGAGCCACGGGGATATCAGTAGATTAATCAGTTCGGGAGAAATTCATTTGGAGTTCTGTTTTGAAAATAAGAGGAACTAAAAGTGTATCCGACGTAACAAGATTCAAGTCAAAAGACAACAACTGTATTTGAATTCCACGTTTTAAGGAAACAAAAAAATGTGTACAGGCTAGAAGGGTCATCATATTTGGCGCAGGCATCGTGGATTTGAAGTCGACTGATTTAAAATGTCAGATGCAAACGTTTCGCCCATCGTTGGACAAGAAATATGGGCTGCAGTATCTGTTGTGTTTTGTGTTGCGGTTATTTTGATTTTTCTACTCATTTTGTGCTGTGCTTACCGAAGACATCGAAGGGTTAGGGACCTGACTATGTTCATGCCAACAGAAAACACTCCAGCACCATGGCTTGTTTGTAATGGTAAAGACAAACGCGAAGATAGTGATAGATTCACTTCCCAAGTGTAGGGAGCACGTTTACATGATAAATATACATCGAATACATAAAGAAAGATTTGACGATTTTCGTTGTTTCACAAATACTACGCAAAAGCGACAAAAATGGTTGATTCATCTGATGAAGAAGCTCTTAATTCCGAGCCGTTGGCAAATTTATTTACCTTCACGAACCTCGGGCCGGGTAAAGGGAACACAAGTTCACAGAGTGAAACGATGGCGCGCAAGTTCGACAAGCGTTTTGAATGAAAATCGTTGCAGACTTCAGTGAGGAAGCAGGGTTGGATAATAAGATAAAATTTCCCAATTCTACTAGGTCCTAACTAGGTCAAAGATAAAAAAAAGCTTTATGGTGAAACATTCTGTTAGTCTTCAAACTATATACATTTCTTTAAAAATGAAATGGACACACTTGTCCTTTATAACTAACCTACAAGCTTTCTCCCTAAAAATTTCGTGACATTTCTCATTTTTCAACTTGTGCGTAAATTAGCCGCTATTCATATGCTGATTTTTATAACCGTTTGATCTTTGGGAGGTTATACAACAATTCACAAGACAGTTTAAACCTAGTTAAAACAAACTTCGGTTACAGAGGGTTTACATAATGCAATATTTCATTTTTCCTTTTTTTTAAGAATTAAATGATACACCGAAAAACTGAAAATTTAAGTTTTTAACGTCAGTCATTCACTAAAAACTACAGGAAAAAAATGTACTAAGCGTGCGCTCGACACTTTTGAATTTTCCCCCAGGGCAAATAATTCATCTATGTTAAATTAAGTACATTTTGATTTGCTTTGGTCCACGTCCGCTTCTTTGAATTTAAAAAGAAGTTTCTGTTAAATAAAAAAAAAAAAGACGGCAGTGGAATTTAAGACAGTGTTGATGAAAACTGAATTTTTTTATTGAAAACTGTTGCAATTGCCAGTTTTCTTGATATAAATGTGTTAATAAAATGCTACAACTAAAGTAAATAATCGAATGCCTTTGACAGATACATAGAATTATTATCATTTTTAATACTAAATGTAAGGCACAAATTGTAAATGCCAGTTTGTTCGCATCAGGCAATCAGTCAAGTTTTATCAACAAATTTGTCTTTCATAATGCGCTTTGATCTTTCATCTTGATAAATTAATTCATTTTGAATTCAATTCTTTATTGCGAATGTGTTCTGCGTTTTAAGTGCGTCAGCGTTGGAGAACCAAAGTATATTATTGCGCGAATTGACGTTTCCTGAGTGAAGAGTGAAAACATACCGGCGGGTTTAACAATTTTCTTCATCTGTTTTTTCTGGCGAGTTCAAGCCTTAAATAATTTGAAATCTGAAATGTAACCATGAAATAGTTCTGACACCTTTTCGACTCGGGCTTTGTGGCTTAGCTTTTTGACATGATTGTAACAATTAAATGTTCGCTTTAGCGCTCAACAACATCTGCATGCATTCGCATGAAGTAGATTCACATAGAATTTGAAAACAAGCTAACTTTGCGAGACGATGCACAATGGTTCTCTTCCCCGAAAACCGCGAAAGAGAAAAACGAAATTAATTCAAAACTCAGTGATCCAGATACTTGAAAACATGGTAAATGCAATTCCTATTGATGAGTTGAAATCTCGAATGCTCTTTTTCAACCAGCCGCGAGTTATTGTGTCGTCTTGAAACTATATTGCGAAACGTAAGGATGCTGAAATTTTTACATTTTATTGATATTTCGCCCGAGAAAACGAGATGAAAATATATGAATTATACGCCATTTAATAAATACCGTCAAACTAAGCTCTATGTCTCATGGAAAGAGTTCCCTTTTAGATAACGTAAGCGAAAGGGAAGCTATATTGGTGCTCTTTGGCTTCTCGGAGGTTAATAATACTTGACTACAACGACCTTCGAACAGTCTAATCACGTGCGCGCGAATAGACTGTATTTTTTATCGATTTACTGGCGTAATAGACCACGTAGGATGTTGAGAGAGCAGGAGAAACGGTTTCCGAATTACTCGGCTCCTGCTCATGAGTTACAAAAGCGCCGGATAGAAAATGCGGTCGTTGCTTTCATAAAATGAATTTTAACGAAACACATTATGTTTCAATTTTTTATGGGTTTACCATTTCTACTTATCAGGGCTCTTTAACGACACTTAAAATTCAGGGTAATAAGATGACATTAGGTTTTTCGTCATCCCTTCTTTACTAAAGAAAGCTATTTTATATCGCTAGACTAAAATAAGAAACTTAAAACTACAAGCTGTTTGAAAACCCCTCTTTATTTAGCGAATATACTACAAAATTTAATTAAAACTTTGTGCCTGTCGAAAAAGACCACCAACGTTTTTGATCATTTTTTCCATGTTAAAGTATTCTATCATTAACCTCTCTCTTCTTAAAGGATTTTTTTCAATCTTGTGGCGCTAAGCAAAATATCCCTCAAAAATGAATAGTCAAGAATAAATTGAATAAATTGAAAAGTTAATTCAACTCCAATTTGAAGAGTTATCCCTTAAACATAAAAAAACAAACAAACAAATAAAAAAACCCAATATTGCCTAGAGATCGCCCATTATTTATCAGTGGGGAGTGGGGGGGGGGGGGGGGGAGTTGGGGAAGGGAGGGGGGTCCTGAAGATCATGGTTGTTTCACAACAAGATTTACCTGATCCCCCTATAAGGCTCTTTAGAATTCTAATGACCCATCATTGACAGTTTTAATTTTAGAGTTCCTCCCCTCCCCTTCCATGTTAGGTTATTAAAAAATCTTGGCAATTAATTTCTCTTAATATTTGCAACAAAGTCTGCGTAGCGAGGCTCCTTAAACAGGGAACAGGGAGGAGAGCGGATTCATGGGATGACAGAACACTCCATATTCTATCGTCCCCTTCCCCTCTTCATACTCTGTTAGTGACGCCTGATCTCCTCCCCCCCGTTCTCTCTGAAAACCACGTGCCCCCTCAAGTCCTTACACTTCCGCTCCCCCCTAAGACGACTGATAATGATCGATTCCTCAAGAACTCACAAATATTTCTTTAGAAACCTCTAACCGTGTTAAAAAAAGATAATAATAGAACAAAAAACAACAAAAATAAGGTGAAAAACCCCCGTACACAGCTAACGTTAAACGGAAATTCATTAAACCATCCGTTACAACTGTTACATCTCACGTTGTCAAAACGAGTCTTTTTAAGGTATTCTTGCAGATCAGTTCTCTCTGATGTTGAGCGTCACGCGTTTACTAGTCATTGCCTCACGATGAATTTCCATCTCAGGCCAAGGTCCTTGGCTTATCAACAAGCCTTTGGCGCGTAAAATTTTCAGGAGAAACATGAGGGACCAAACACGTGACTATAACTCTGAGCACGCATTCTCAATAGCGCCAGGCTTTTGGATGACCAATCATTTCGTGTCAAACTGAGAGACGTCGAACCTTCTTTCTCATAAAGAGGGCTCTTAGATGGCGAAAGTGGCCGTGCAAAGCCTGGACTCCAAGGGGGAGTAGGCGCCGGACCCGCACCACAGCAAAGGCTCCCGGGCGGACAAGATCGGCAGGGGGAGCGGACTGGGCGTGAGGAAGGGCTATGACTTTCGAGGAAATTCTTAGAGCCTGGTAAAGAGCTGACTGGGCAGGTCATGGGAGGGACTGGAAAGTAAAGATGAGAAGCTGGAGAGTAGAGTCCTTCATGTGGATAATAAATGCCTGAGTGGTACGGGAACGACGTCCGAGGGTGTTGGCGTTCTTGTTTTCGATGTTTCGCCCGCCGATTTTGAAACCAGACCTGAAAAAAAAATTATTTCAATCAGATCTTTACTTGCTTTTAAGAAGTACTCACATTTATCGCTAAATTTTATCTCTACTATCTCCCGCGCGCGGTAACTCGCCAGCAAAACGCGATGATGCATGCACTAGGATCGCGCCGACTCCAGTCGAACATTGAAAAGGAAAAACATATTTTTTGAATCAGTGAGCATTGCGTAAATAGATATTTTACTACGTGGACAGTAGTGAAACGGAAGCTTAAGATAGTTTAGAAGGAGAACAATAGGAACATAGTGACAATAAAATACAGAACTGAATAGCCAAATAAGAATATGTCCTAAGGGATAATAAAATAAGTGAAGCATGCACCTTACAAAGGACACGACGCAATCATCAACAGACACGTGTATTTACAATGGCGTCGAAATAATCGTGAATCGTAGGGAGATTAATTTTGTCTCAAAACTTTTATACAGCAGATCCAATTTCTTCACCGAAAAGAAAATTGCTAAAAAGAATTACGGTTTTTATTTTAAAAGGCACAAATATAGCCCCATTCTTTTAGTTGTTAGTATGAATTTCCGGAAGAGAAAACAATCGGACAGGTTTTTTTACTCTTTACAAATGAAAAGAAGAAAAGAAGATTTCAGGGATTAATTTCGAAATATTACAACGGAATTTTGCAGGTATATGAACACTTGAAAACCAAAATTAACGAAGTGCGAAAATCTTGCAGCCATTTATGATCCATTGTCGTTAAAACGAGAGCAATGAAACTGGGTTTGAAACTTTCTGTGTTACTTTTAATTTGCAATCTTCAGTAATTTCTAAGCACCGTTCTTTGGTCTTTGTTAATTAGGGCAAGGTGTCTCAGCATGTCAAAGTACATGATGTTACAGCACAAAGAGAAAGGCTTTAGAAACTCTCATGTGTATGTACTACTGTTCGAAAAACTAAAAAAAAAAACCAAAAACGAATCTGTCCGCGAGCGAAAACTGTTTGATCGCCCCTTCAGCCATGTATTTTTCAAGCGAGAAAACCCAATTGTAACACGTGGCACGCGTAAAGCTCAGCGAGTTCTTTCCCGTGCCAATAAATAGCGTATCATTTCAAAAACTCACAGCTCGCAAATATATCAACCTCATCTTTTATTTCAACTTTTGTGCGGAGTGGTAAATTGTTTGTCAAAACACGACAACACAGCCTGCATTTGAATAATAGATGTTTAGGAAAACTCAACCCAGCTTATTAACTGCCTACTCGACTAATGAAAGAACTCTATTCTCCCGCCGAGATGATATTCAACAGGCAATACGAAACTTATTTACCTGAAATATTAATAACACGTGCCATACGGTAAATTGTATCAAAAGAGCTAATGAGCTATCTGTTACACAGCTTATTCTAGGGCAAAACTTCCTATCAATAATGATCAATTATCACAATAAAGTACAGAATCGTCCAGAAATTGACAGAGCTCCGCTGTATTTTTCCATTTTACAATCAGAAACGTTGCCATTTATACCTTCATGTATTTTACTTGCGTAAAACGTAAAAATTTCCGTCCTGGTTTCAGCACAAACGTATAGGAAACGTAATGTAAGACAACTCATCGAAATTTAAGAGGTGTGTCTCTAAAAAGAATTGATTAGACCAAGCTATTTAAAATTCTATTTGGAAAAGGAATATTTAGTTAAATTTTGAATTAGCCCTGTTGGTATAACGGTTCTCTGGGTCTGAACGTGTTGTTCTTATTTGAAAAATAAACAATAGATTAGTAAATTCATAATCATAGCTGGCTCAGTTTCTTTCGACATCACGAAAGCAGGTTTGCGGTAAATGAAGCGTTGCAAATTTGGCAAATTTACACATGGAGAAGTCCCAAATTCGCTTTCATAAATCTCTTTATCTCTCTGTTTCTGGTCGGGACTTAGTGAATATTTTTCACACAAGGAATTCTTTTTAATTCGCCGTTACACTAATATCCAAAAATCTCAAACGGTTTCTTAAGACTTAAGAAGTGGCTAAACGAAGCGTACACGTACGCTCATTGGAATTAGGCGGCCGTGTGTAAGAGATTGGCTTTTCTTCACCGCTCTTGAAATTAATCAGTTATCTGAGGCTTCTATCAACAACTGCGACGAAGTTAAATTCGTTATCTTGTTTCAATTTGACCAAATGCTTGTTCTGCTTAAAAATTTACGAAATAGTGCGGGTTCGCTTTGAGATTGGACAAAAGAGTCATTCAAGTGGGTAATTTCGGAAAAACTAATTCTCTGCGATTCGAGATTCACCAACAATTTGTGTAACCGCTTAACTAGCAAGTACGAAAAAATTATCTTCAATTATTTTATTCACGTTTTTCGGCCAAAGGTTAGTGCCAAATTTTTTTCAATGTTTATTTTAACTGCTTAGCAGGTTGAGTTCTGTCAAGCCCTTCACACCTATCGGACAATACTTGTTTTTCAAGTGCTTACTGTTTATTAATGACATCCAAAGATGAATGAATTTAAAAAGCCACTTATGGTTTTTTTAAACTCTATTTACTAAGATATTCGATCAAGCCATAGACCTCAGCCTAAACCTCAGAATTATAACATGTTGCAACAATGAATCCGGTGTAGAATTCGCCAGAAGAAGTTTGACGCGAGCAAAAACGCAGCCGTGTTCTTTCCCAGCGAATTTGCCCGATAATTCAATTTCCACTTCGCCCAGACCTCCGATATAATAATTTGCTAATGGCAAACTTAAGAAATTGTAAAAAGTGTCATTTGCGTCTAAATACGCTTTCACAAAACAAATGCCGCCCTTATTCATATTGATACAAAAGGTACTCCTTGAATAATAGATGCGCGAAATTCTTCAACTTAGGTAAACAGAAACCTTGACAATTTGCCCTGTTCTAGAGAAAACCATTGTATTCTCCAGACGGACTAGATAAGACGCCTACACTTTGGACTTGAAAAGTGGAAACATTTTTCTTCCCTGACCACAATAATTTCTGCGTTCAATTTTAAGGCCTCTTGAGTCAGATCGATGCGGTAAGTTTACTTTCCGTAATAACTTCCAACAGCTGCTAATTAAACTGTCTGTTCACACCATATACACACGTGCGCCGCAAAGCAGGTGGAAGCTTTACTGCGCTTGCGTGGTATCGTCATAAGCTAATTTAAGCTTTACAGATTAACACTTAACATTTCTCTCAACAGAAATTCTCCTTAAAGCGACGCGCCCATCAGGGTCAATCACCAAAAAGTGCGCGCTTTTGAAATAAGTTTAATCCCAGCGCTGTTAATTCCAATTCTCTTTTTTCCTCGAACGTGCAGGTAGCCCAAGATGTTTTTGTGTCCTTTTAATTGAAAGTAATAACAAAAACAAAGATAGCTATTGATTCGATTAGCCTTGGCCGCCCATGAGCGCAGGCCTAGAAGACAAGAAATAGAGAGAGAGAGAGAGAGAGAGAGAGAGAGAGAGAGAGAGAGAGAGAGACAAGAGACAATTTGTGGTTCTTTCAAGTTTCGTACCTGTACTCGGGCCTCGTTCAAGTTGATTCCCTTTGCAAGCTGTTCCCTCGTGAATACATCAGGATACTGGGAGCGGTTAAATGCTTCTTCCAAAGCATCAAGTTGAGCCTGCGTAAATGTCGTTCTGTGGCGGCGTTTGCTGATGCTAAGCTCTTCTGTTGATGTTTCTTCTTCTTCTCGTTTCCTCTTTGCGTGGAAACCTTTATGAACAACGTGAATTAACAAGCACGCTTGGGAATTTTTTCAAATGCTCACAAAGTCACCAACACAACCCAAGTATCTTCGATTTGTATTCATACCAGTAATGAAAAGAAAAAAATGTCCACAGTAATATTGGTAACAGCTTTATATTTGAAATAAATATGAGTTTTATCTATTCCAGAAGAGCTTTGTGGCGCGCAGCAGATTCCGTGCTGTAAATAGCAGCTTGGTCTTCTCCAAAATGACATACAATGAGCTTTGTGCCACAAGCAAGCAGTTACAAAGGAGAGACGTATCCTATATCCTCGACCATTGACTTTGCAATGAGGTGTTACTTTGCTTAATGTTTTCTGTGTCACTTGAAACTTTTCAACATTACATTATAGCCTGTCTGATCTAAATTAAGAATTTACCTTTTAATAAGGGGTCTTTGACTTCTATGTCGTCCTTCTCCTGCTTGGTATGCATCGGATTCGATTTCTGATCGTCCGAATCGGCTGGAATTTCCCGGTGGAATTCCGAGACACTGCCAAATTGCGAGAAATGGTCTCGATCTGACATGGCGCTCTAAACCATTCGCGTACGACAAACCTCTCTGGGCCAATGTTAGTTGCAAGTGTAAGAGAAACTGTCGAAAGATAATTGCTTTGTAAAAACTATTTGCATTGCAATGAGCTTGTCGACCAATCACAGAGCTGTGTTTAATTGTGTCGCTGTCTGGCTTGTCTTTGTTCCCATCTGATTGGTCGAGAGTCAGTGCCACAGTAGTAATTTAATTAGATTCAATTGATAGTTAAGAGCCTATTTGGGCCATCGGTCCCGCTGTTTTGTTTGAATAACGTTTTGACAGAAGCTATTAAGCGGCAACCGTCTGAAAGAAATAACACCAAACTCCCTCCCCGGGTGATTCACTAAGGTCCACAATTCCATTAATCAAATTAGCGACAAACAAAGGGCTTTTCGTAGGACGGGTAAACGAATGTATTTACAAGCACTCCAGCCCGTTTCTGCTCTGTCGCTCAGGGCAGAAAACAATACAAACAACTGACAGCAAATGTTTGCTCTCGACGCAATTTATTGGTTGACGCGATTTGGACAAAGTAAATCCACTTCAAAGTAGATAACTACTGGCCGACGCTCAAGATAAATTATAGCAGGTTTAATCTTGGAGATAAGCCTGCAAATTATCTGTGAGGTACAGAAAGACCATTTCATTGAACAAAATTAACAATTTGCATGTTATTATCTTTCCTAAAAATTCAATTAACTTTTTCTCTCTTTTTTGGATGTTTAAAACGCAGGTCGGTCGGACCGTCCTCACAGGTGTTAAATGAAGTCTAAACAAGAGGTACGCGACTTTATATTTACCTCGTAAAGGAATTTTATGATCCAAAGACTTCGAGACTTTGTTAGAAAGAAGACGTGGGAGATAATATTCAATTGGTAAATGAAATTCACTCAAGAAAACCACTTTTAAATATTAATTAAAATCCATCCACCAGTACACGTAATATTTACTTGGCAGAATAAAGTCAAGTGCTTTTATCAACACGCGGCTTTGAAAATTTGCCGAGATTTCAGTGAAAACACCCTTGAAACTCACAAAGGAGATTTCGAAGAAAATTTATCTACGCCCTTAACTTGCGAAATACTACTTCAGGCGTTTGTAATTCAAGGCAATTTATTCGTTGCATTTAATGTCGTCAATTGCCAAAAAGCCTTTGAGCTAATTACATTAAAGGAACAATTTTAATATCTGAATAATTTTATCATTAAGAGAGTCTGCCATGACTAAAAGATCCATCAGGTGATTTTTGTTTTTTTACATTTTTGAATTTTTTTTAACGTAAGCAAAACATGCAAATACAGATGTCTTTGTAAATGTACGTTACCCCCGTAACTAGGATAGGCCTGAAAAAAATGTCAATTTAAAAAGCGATTTTTAAGAAAATTGTTGAATTAAACAGGTCTCTCGTTAACAAGAATTTTATTCGTTTGTTCGATTTTTTATCATCGCAAGGCTCCAATTATTAAAGAAGAAGAAAAAACTTAAGAAACGAAACTGGCTAAACTAAAGTAATTGACTTTAAGTAAGCAGTCATAAATATAGGCCTGTTTTGGTTATAATTAGGATTCTTAATCTTTAATGATTTGGAGCAAATTGCTTTTGAGTGTGGCGAGCCGAATGGACCTGGAGGAAAAATGATAATAATTTATCGAGCAAAGTGGCTTGGTATGAATAGCGAGGTGTTTACAGAAACCTCAGGTTTTTGAGAAAAAAAGTGAGAACGAAGTAGATTATCGACCTTTCCGAAAGTAACTAAGTAAACATTGTTTTCATGTTGATAGCTTCGTAACCATTTCAAAAGATGTCGGCAAATTGCCCACGCAAATTTTGTTAATTCTACGTTTAGTGATAATGAGTTTCAACTACATAAAGGATGTTTAATCGATTGTATTCAACTCAATTGTGAGGCAGATCGAGAAAATTTCTCTTACGCAGCACGAATTTAAAAGCCTATCCAAAATTTTGGGCCGATTGTGGCGGAATTTAAGCAAAAAGCCAATTTCTATTTTGTACAAACTTACCACAGATAACAGTTTCTTTCGAATTGTAGATAACCAAATAATTAATCTTAACTTACTTGAACAACGTGCTCGAAAAATATAACTTACAAAGTAAAATTGCTCATTAAAAACTTTCATTGTCCAATAGTTAATTATATGAATTGTAAAATGTATTTCTAATAGGGTCTTGGGATAACACAGATTCAAAACATTACTGCTTCCCTGAAGAAATCGTGAATTCACCAAAACAGACTGAATCTTCTTCTTTGAAAAAAAGTTTTTACAACAGACGAATGAAAAGAACCTTTCATGTTCCATAGCGTTTAATATTTTAAGCGTGGAAATATTCAGAACTTTTAAATAAGTTTATCTGTTTAATTATTGTTAATAACGCATGATGTTATAATTGATAAATATTGACTCCTTCTTCGACCGTAAAATAACTTTACGTTTGGAATTGAAATTGGTAATTTCAATCACTTAATATTTGAAATTTAAAATCTTATTTTAAACTTAAACGCACATCGATCAGTTAAACTGTTCATTAAAGAACTTATTGTAACGTTTGTTTGCATTCTCATGTTTCATTAAACCTGTGAATGGCTTTCAATTTTGCAAAACTCCTCGTCCACAAAAGAGTTCTAGAAGGTACCTGCTTATTGCATTTTTCAAGAAGAAAAAAAACAGTGACCCATGAAAGAAAAACAAAAAACGCAGAGTTACTATAAGCGAAGAGAAGACATTCTTCCTACACAATTATGAGAAACAAATAGTGGTGAAAATATATATTTTTAAAAGGAAAAAGTCGTAAAACTCATAAGAGATTTGGATGAAAACGTCACTGGTGTTTTACAACTTCACCTGCCTTCGCACTAGTAACACATGCAAATGCTGCCTCTTAACTGAACAAAAACTGCCGTAATGAGATACATCAGCTAAATTCAAGTAATCCTTCTATATTTTACAAGCTCGATGTGAAGCTGTTAAAAAAATTAATGCAGCTATCACGACTAAACAAGCCTAATTATAACTATCAAGAAAACATGTGTTTTTCAAAACCGGGAAATTATGAGTTTAAAAAATCAGCTTTCAAATTCCGACGTAAGAAATTGCTCATTCAAACTTATTTCGTGCTTTTTATTACAAAGCGACAGCGTCAGGAGCAGGTACAAAAAATATAATTTTTTTGATGAAAACAAAAAGTTCTGTTCTACCCTTAAGTCTAAAAAAACCGTAGACAAATAACTTTGTTATCAGAGAACAGAAAAGTTGAATATGGAAACATCGTTTGAAATGAAATGCAAATTCAAAGAAAATTAGCCCTAGGGATATTCAAAGCTCATTGGAAAAGAAAGAGCGCAAAAAAAGAAAAAAAAGTTTCCTATTACAGTCAAATTATCTAACTACCCACGCAAGATCCAACCTTAATGGCAGTTATTCACTGTAACTTCAAGCGACCTTTTAATCAATTAGATCGAAATTTCTTTAATACGATAAAGAAGAGTTCTTTCTCTTGAAACTGCTTTGTTTGCCACTTTGCAATTAAAACACAGTCTGCAAGAGAACTCGGCTATTTGGACGGAAAGAGACAAATTTGAAAAAAAAAATTGTTTTATCAATGGCTTCAATCTGAAGATCTTTACTTCACGAATTTAATCCGTGTTTAACAAAGTCAAGTTGCTACGTGAAAAGGTGTTCATAGATAAGGTTGTTGAGACTAAATTTCCTGGAAACTGGTTCATGAGTCGGTTAAACGTTTCACTACGAAGATTATCCCTTTTAACTTCACTGAACCACGGGCACGCTATGATCTGCAATCAGGTTCGAAAATTCACAATTTTTGTAAGTCGTCGAGATGAAACGTAATTTATTCAAGCTTGTCTTTAACTCAAATGGCCTTTTAAAAATTTCTAAATGAATGGTTTCTAGTTTAGCAATATGTCCATAAATTTCAAATTCTCTCGAAAGGAAAGATCAGCATTGAATGGAACAGAAAGCGAAACGTCTCAAAATCGTTTTCTTAAGTTGCCTTGATGAACGAACGCTCGCAGATTATTCGACTTTCAATGAATTAAAACTTCGCCCGAGAGACAGCGAAATTTTCCTCGACTGAAAGACTGGTTAAATCATTGTTATGCTAATCTTTTGTCCAACAATTACCTGGAGAAGACCACTTTAACATATAACGACAATGAGTTTAAAACAAAGACAAAAGTTTTTACTATTTGCTCGCTATATCTTTAAGCAAGTAAACCAACCACCGTCGTGGCATCTTGATCACCAAACTTTAAAATCCAGACCCTTCAGTCTAAAGTCGTTCGCACTGTCCTCAGAGGCAAATTCTCTTGGTTTTGAAATTGCAGACTGGTCGTCAAGTACTCATTGAAATTGAATTGTTAGATGAAAAGGGGTTAATTAGTCTGTCTGTGGAGTCTTCTTTGAAAAGAAAATTCCATAGGAAAATTTTCAGTCTCTGGAAAAGTTCATAACTGACTATCACAGTTTTAATACCGTTTCAAATTATAATTTAGGTGTTGGTCTTGATAGTAAATGAGCTATATTTTCTTAAAATTCACCCGCAAAAAATGCAGTGTAGACTTAATGAATCTTAAACCCCTGTCTGAAAATTCCTTTTTTTAATTTCCGTTTTTGTTTCTGTTGAGAAAAATAAACTTAATGTCAGAATGCGGTGATAGTGCTAAACAAAAACATGTGGGCCAATTTTATATTTATAAAAATTTTGGACACAATTCAAATGTCTTTCATAGTCTCATGTGATGACCCGTAACCACGCAAGTCTGATTCTACATCACGTTGTGTTTACACCTTGACTAAGAAGGGTTAGAGTTCTTTCAGCGATGGAGTTACAAGCTATGGTAACCTTTCTTCTTAAGCTCATAATTGATTTGAAAATTCGAGTGGAATTTTATATATAATCAACAATTTTTGAAATTGCCCTTTTTGGTACCAACAGGAAAACTGCATCTTCTTTCACTCGATTCTGTTCTTCTTAAAAAGACGTCCCGAAATAGCACAGCAGCCATTTTGGATATTACCGCTTCAGTAAACATAAGTATGTGATATAAAAAAGGGTTGACTCAAATTCCCCGCCAACTCGAACAAGATCCGATTTTCCTTGGATTTGACCCCATTTTCCCATTCATTATAATGACCATCAGCTAACTCGACTTAAATCGAACTCCCCGTTCACTCGAATTAAGTTTACCTTCCCTTGGCTCAGGTTTAATTTGATAACTCGAACTTAATATGAAAACTTCGGTCGTTAAATGTCTAAGTGTCAGAGCAGAGCTAATTGACACGCCTTAACCTTCAATCGTGATGGAAACGAACGTGATGAAATTTATGAAAACAAATTAAATGCATTTAGCTCAACTTCCCGACCTAAAATTTCTCATGAAAAAGTTCTTATAGAACAAACTAGGAGCTGGTCAATTGACAATTCATTGATTGTCAATTGGTAGAGCGCTGCACCGGTATCGCAGAGGTCATGGGTTCAAATCCCGTACGGGCCTGAAATTTTTTTCAGGTCCTAAGCTCAACTTCCCAACCAAAAATTTCTCATGAAAAAGTTCTTATAGAACAAACTAAAAGACTGTTGATTGTGCAATGATGGAAAAATACATGATTCGTTATCGACTATTAACAGGATAATTAAAATTCAACAAACCATAACAAACGTGAAGACCACAACAAAAACAGTATGCGCACTGCATACTGGCCAATACTGGGTCTTTAAGTAAACAGTTATTAAACCCCTGCTACCATTGTTAACTTTTTATTGTTCATTTCCACTCTTGAAAGGGCCGCGGAAATGGTTTTTACAGACGAATTTTATTTACAAACAGCATTTGTTTGACAAATATATCTTTTATAATAGAGGTCTTTAGTTTCTTTGACGAGGCAAATTGTTCAAATCGTTTAACCACATGCGCCCCCATCGTCAACAAATTAACTGGCACATGGAGCTCTCTTTTGAAAGAAAGAAAGCCGCTGTAGGTTTATCACGGGCGCAGTCGCCCCTCACTGAAAGCAAATGTCAACGTTGAAATTGCAAGTCCTATAATGTAACCTACAAGTGCTCCTATCACACAAGGAATGGGCCACACCTGAAAAAAATGAAAAATATGATTCATTAAGTAGCTTTTTGCTTCACCCACCCATTATTAGTATTAATATTATTATTATTACAATTATTATCATCATAAAAGGATGAGGATTCTCTTTGTTGGCATGAGTGAGGAAAAAAAACACTCAGCAGTGATTTATTATGCCTGGAATTTGGTAAATAGTGTCCAATGTTCCTACAAATATCTATCAGAAAAAACTCAAAATAAATAGCCCCAGTCCTCTCCCGGCCTAACCTGCCAGGGTCTGTCCCAGTCCAAAGGAATGGGAAAGGCTCCAAGCCATGCTCCTAACAGTGTGAATATAATAGAACATTGGAAATATGCTTCAGGAGTACCATCTGACCTGTAAATACAAACACATATAATGTTTATCATGGTCTCACAAAAGAAAATGTGGAGTGAAATGAGCTTTATCACCACTAAATTCCAAACCCTTCATCATGAACAGGCCAAACAAGATTAAAAGGGAGCTTTGTCACTTTCTTTTGGAAAAATGCACCAAGTCCTGAATTATATTGAACAAGACGCCTGGAGACATTAATGTGGGATGCGTTGGTCTTTATCTTCAGTCACTCTGGTTTTGTGTAGAAAACAATAAATTTAACGCTGACTCTTCTTATTACAGGGAATGAAATCCTTAAAATTTAATATATGCTTCATTGTTAATTTTTCTAAATTCTTGGTGTTTGCCCACATGATGGTGGAATAGAACCATGAATAAAATTTATCTGTTGATCAATTTTCCAAGTTGAAGGCTTTAACCCTTTACACTCTAACATCAGTATTCAAATTCTCCATACTTATCTCTGTACATTTACTAAGGTGCTGACAAGGAGAATTTGTCTAACAATCAGGAGTTTCATTCGTTGGTGATCATTTCCTTTAATCTCATGACATTAATGTGGGATTCAGTGGTGATATTGTAAGGAGAAATTAGACACTAGTCACTCTTAAGGGTGAAAGGGTTAATGATGAACAGGGACAAGGGGTTTGAAATTTGTGACATGAAAAAATTTCCTTGGAAATGGAGATCAAAAGTTTTCACTAGTCCAGCATACTTATCCATAAACAAGAACCTAGCACTTACCAAGAACTGAAAAATATCCTAGGAAAGAGTTCCAAATGTGCTCCTAGCAGACTACAGGCAGGAAGGACAACTAAATGTGACATTAATAATGCCCAGCAGAAGGTTTCCTCAGTTTGTCTGCATAAGAGTTAAGATAAAAGTCGTCAGTGAAGGAACAAGGTAATTTTCCATAGAAACTGTGGTGCTGGGTCAATGAGGGGTATCAGAAGATAAGTTGATTTTACCAACTAAGTTTAAAATGTAAATTGGCCTCCACAGAGCAGTGGCCCATTGACATTATCAACTCAATTATCATAAGTGAAGGTTGCCAAGCAAAGCCACTTGCTAGTCTGCCATCTCTAGCCAGTTACTTTCAACTCATTTTACAATAATTGTTAATGAACAATTATGCAATTCATAAAATACCATCAAAAAATCTTTTTCCCTGCAGCCATTTCCTATTTTGGACTTACAGGTACTTGGTGTTCCAAGCATAGCATGCATGCATAGCTTCAATTAAAAAAAAAACAAAAAAACCAACAGAAAAACAAAAAAAAATCATACTCTGTGATTGAAGCTCCAAACAATACAGCAATAACATGAAAAATTGCAGCTGATCCAAATACAAAAAACATAAGCTTCAAAACTTGGGCTATCTGTAAAATGACAAACAAAATGATTATCCACATTGTGTACGGCATCTATGAGGTGTTATAAAAATAAAAACTAAAGCAATCTTGATGATCTATCAAAAGTAAGCGAACATCACAAAGGGCCATTAAGAGATAGGGCAAAATTTCCACACAACCCCATACTTCATTATGCATCCACATATGGGGCTTTGTTATTCAGTGTATCATTAATAAGATGTGGATGAATAATTAAGTATGAGGCTGTGTAGAAATTTTTCCAGAAATAGAAGAAAAACCATCAATTGTAACTGAGAGAGGGAAATTTAAGTCAAACGAAAACCTAAAACACGAGCTAAGAACTTAAGGTGACAAAAGATTTCAGAGAAAAGTTATTCAAAATTCTAGTTAGGTTAAAAGTAATAATACTAACCAAGTTAGCATTTGAGCTGATATGTTCATGAAAAAAGTGACAAAACACAACCCCTTCTTGCAAAGTTAAACCATGTCTTGACAAGGTTTAGCCTGTAAGGAGGGCTGAGTTGATCAAATACTTCTCTCACGTGTACCCTTTAAAACATTTGACTGGATACCATTTGTTGTGATTCAACCCAAGCCAACAATTAATAATGGTAATTGAACTGAGTGGAGTGCAATTTGGGCTTAAATCATACGTGTGATTTCAAAATTGAACAAGCGCACGACATGAGTTCAATTTGAAATCACAAGTATGATTTCAGACCAAAATTGCACAACAGGAGGTTCAATTACTACTTTATAACATCCATTTTGAAATCACCCAAATACAGGACTTGGTCAGTTCAAATATTTAATTACTACAATACTGAGCCAGTTTGAAATTAAATTCATCCATTTTTTGGGAGGAAAAAATAAGAGTTTTGGAAACGAAAGTTGAAAAATTTGCCACATGATCCTTCATGTCTTTCATCTTCCTGCAATTTGATCGGTTACTTTAAACAAGCCTTGAAGTCTGATTGGTTGTTTTGTTTTTAGTGTAGCCTCCTCATTGGCTGGAAAAAAGGTGCAATTTAAAGCAAAAAATGGTGCAATTCGTGAATAAATTGCACCAATTAGAGCCAATCAGATTACAGGGACCACCAGTGATTTCAAAATGGGTGTAATAAACACCTAAATAAGACCAAATTTTTCCCAACTTTAGCAGCGAAAAGCAATGAGAGAGAAGAAGATTAGATAACCATTACCAAGTCAGATCTTGAACTACAAAAGGGGAAAAACTCACCGACAATCTCATCCTAGATTTTGTACGGATAAGTGTAAAACACAACATGGCAAACACGAAACAAAATAACCTCAGAGATGCTGCTGAGCACGTTAATAATGAGACAGAAGTTGAAGCAAAGTTTGAAACCGCAACAGAAGTCCACGCCGCCAATACTTGCACCAAACTAATGGTAAAAAAGTCTTTTGTAGAGTAAAGATGCAGAAACGCTGGTGCAAGGCCCGCCATCTTGTGATCTATGGTCCAGACTGCTCGCGTCCGTTCCTGACCGAGTTCCAGTTTCTCCTCGAAAGTAAAAATTAACATAATTTTTCGCTGTGTTCCTTGTCTCGCGTTTCGGACATTGTCCTACAGTCTCGGGTTGGTTTATCACTGCCTACCCTTTAAATTTCGACTTGCTGACAAATCAACGGGTAATAATAATTATTATATGCGTACTGTGATGTACAGTTTTGTTGTGGCTACTGCCTCCCAGTGGAGGCCTCCTGTGGCATGCTCTCTCGGGAGTTTTAAAGAGAAATTTCTAAGGCAAACAGACAAAAGGGCCAATTACGGCAAAGGCTTCCACCCTAATAAAAACAACTTCTCAAAGACCAGAACGTTGAATCAGCCAACTCATTCACCTAACAACAGCACAATTGAAGACTTTATTTAATTCTCACTGATTGGATATATTTTTCATTCACAACAGAAAGCAATCTATGACCCTTCTTCTTTCACTGGCGCACGAACATAGCGACTCAGTAGCTTTCTTCGCAAAATTAAAAAGTAACAAACTTCTACTGCTACGAAAGCTCATACTAAAACAAAAATAGGTGTATCACTAAGAGAAATTACTTCCCCGTTTGCACAAGCCAAGTGTGAGTTTAAATCTATGTACAATACAGCTACAGGCAACGAAACAGTATCTGCCCCCTTTGTACAATACTGAAAATGATGTACATATACAACATATTCCTACAATTATAAAACGGCTGTACAGTTTCTTTGCAGGTACAGGTTTTCAGGTAGAAAAGCATTTGCATAATTTCCTACCCCATTGAAAAAACAGAAAGCTATTAAGTTGTTGGATAAAAGTCAGTATCTGAGTATCAAGCGCACCTACCCTCCCCTAACCTAACATTAATCCCAACTTGTTATCAGTTGACTGTTGATGGATTAAGGGAGGGGTAGGTGGGCAGTTGTTCAGATACTGACATTGAACCAAGTCTTTCCTCCGCAGATAAATAAATGTCTCCCTTAACGACAACACACAACGCAAATTTCTCCCTTGCCTTTGAAGTGTACACTTACATTCACAACTATGACTACAGTGAATTTTTACCGAGTAACGGCTAGATTCTAGGTTATCAATCGTCTAATGTAGAGTCTAAATAAAAAGAAAAAAAAATTGAATTTCAATCCTAAAATAATGACTACGATACTTCATGTTCAAGAACAATGCTGAGATAAAGTGAGCCCGCAATTATGTCAAAAAGTTGCTAGGCAACTGAGATTATCCGTAGCCCAAGCCTAACGTCACAAATTTCCGAATGGTCCTTATTGTTAAACCTCCGAACTCAATTTCGTTTTCTGATTGGAGGAGAAGTTGGGAGGTGTGACAAAACTTTTTAGAAACTGGCCCCACGGGAAACAGTTAGCTTTATTTCCTTGGGGCCAGTCATTAAGTGCTTATTGTGCGCACTCTACTACGAAAGGTAATGACCTAAGATCATAAAAATTTTTCATCGATCGTTAAGACACGGAAACAAGAAGCCAATAAATTCTACTATTCCTTTACAATTTGACCTCCTACGAACTTGAAATAAAATACTAAAAATTGTAAAAGGTGCAAAACAAAAGGGTAGAACAGTTTGTAATCAAACGAATAAACTGTCCAAGGCTTTGCCAACAGACATTCTTCATCTGACCAACAGACCAGATATCTACCAGCATATATAATAGACTACTAAAGAAGAGATTCTAAAAACGTCAACATGCTTTAACTCTTAAGGGCTTGCTCTCCATTTTTCCGCGGCCTCTCGTCTAGCATCGGGAAGGATTTGATTACGGACTCCTCCCAGGACACTAGAGGTGGCCTCTGTAGCCAGAATAAAGGGCTGAACTACGGTCGCTGGGACCTGGCGCAGGACACCACCCACAGCACCTGTTACTCCCTTCTGTTCGTGTTCATCTTTAGCCACTTGAACAATGTTTGTGGCTGTTTGACCCAGTCCCTGAAAACCAAAGAACCAGTATTTTTTAAAAAAATATTTTTAATTCTTGTTTTCTCGTCGTCATATTCCCACCAATATCGTAGCTCCACTTTCTGCACATAAACACACACACAACCCACAATTCTTCCAATCGCTCTGATGAAGGGCTAACGCTCAAAACGTCAGCATTGAAACTCTCTACGGTGGCCAGTTCACATTATCAACTCAGTTGATAATACTAAATTACCCAGTATTTTAAAGGTCATTCAGAGGTGTTGCATATTTTAACTCACGCGACGGACTTCGCCGAAAGCAGGGACTGCTAGTGGTATTAATAATCTAAGTCGCACAAACCATATTTTGAAATTAAGACGGCCGGAATAAACCTGAAATTTGAAAGAGCTCGTAAAATAGAGTGATAATGATCCTATAAGGAATTTTAGCGTGTATAAAATATATGTCTGACCTCTCTGAAGACTTGGTAGGCATTGGATACTCCTTCACGTAAATCAAACGGCTGTTGTGCCAGCCGATTCTGGCCCCGTTTCACTGGAGAGTCTGGACTCACTACGTCATATGCTGTCTCTGCTGCGGACTGAAAGGAAAACACATCACCCCAAAAATAAGTAAATGGGTAAATAGATTAAAAGATAAATAAAATAAAGAAAACACTGGAGAGGCCACTAATTCCGAGAGTATATCGAAGAGATAGTATTAAAAGTAAATGCAAAAGTTCCGTCTGCCAACGGTTCACTTGGAAGAAAAAGATGGGAAGGTGGGGGGGGGGGGGGGTGATAGCTTGAAGTCTGCCGCTTGAATTTTAACTATTACTAATAACAGTATTTTACCTTTTGAGACTGCAAGAGCTTATTTGCATAAAGTTGTTCACCGCAGGAGTCACATTTTGAAAGATAAATACTTCCAGGTCGAGCTAAGCAGGTGCTGTTACATAATATTCCGTCTCGATGAATTTAGTGGTAAGCACATTTCTTTTGATAAAGAAAAAATTATCTGAGGTTTTCATCAAAGCTACACGCTAAGCAAACTCACCTGCTTTTGGCTGAAATTCACAGTGTTAAATTTCTTAGGACATTTCCTCTTACCTGTATTATCTGCACCACTCGGTTAGTCAGTTCAAGAAAGGCCATCGCAGATGAAGTAGTGAAGGAGTTGGCTCCCCTCTGCAGCCCCCTCATGACACGCCCATCCCGCCGGTACTGATCAATAGGCAGCCATACCAGGTCCACTAATCCCTGGAACAGCTGAAGAAAGGAGTGCACAGGACCGACTCCACCCAGTATCCTAGGCAGTTGGGTGCTCCTTATGTCCGCAAGCCACTCAGACAACGCGTAGTTGATCACTCTGTCCATTCCAAGCAAGCCGCTACGACAACACAGGCGTTTGAGACGCAGCTCAGAGCAATTGAGCTGACCAAGACCGATTAACAGACCAGCCAAGGTGCCCTGGAGAAAAAGAATTCTTGTAAGCGAGAATAAGGGCGAGCGAAGTCGTATAAGCATTAAAGCTGGTACCCCGATTTTACAGTGGAACGCATATGGAAATATCGCTACTGCTACTTTTAGGGGGATTGGGGCGAGAAAAAGGTGTCCACTTCAGAATTGTAAACAGAAATTCAAAAAAAGACCTTCCTTGAAGCGTGATTTTAACTTACAAACAAAACAAAACCAGCATAAAGATTATTTTCTGTGACCCATCAAACATCAAACTCATCTTACCTGCTCCATGTCGACTCTCTTTCCCTGATAATCCAACCTAATTGGTACCTCGGGAGAAAATATAAAGGACCGAAAGAAGGTAGGGGCTGGCTGGAGGGTGTCTGTTTCTGACTCACTTGCTGACTCTACCAGGGTCTCTTCGGCGCCTGGGGTCTCCAATAACCACTCAGAAGACGGGGGCGGCCTAACAGGACTGGAATCAACTGAACTAGATCCTAACAGAGGCCAAGAAAAAAAAAGAAAAAATGAACGATAAATGCAGAAACGGACGAGCGAAAGAACAGAACCAACATGGCTAAAAGCTCTTTCCCTTGAGTGAAACCAAACCAAATCTTTGATTGGGGGCAGAAGCTTATAACCTTGAACAGGTTCTACGCTTCTGAATGAGGCCAATGAGAAATTAAAACAAAGTCGGCATCAACAAGTGATTGAACGCCGCTCCAACATGTACGGTTGCAAATCCTCAAATAATTTCCGTTAAAAATTAGGCACCCTGGTATTTGGGAAAATATTAAAAAATGTACCTTTTGGGTTTTTTGCAGCTTCTCCCATGACTTCTGAGAAGAAATTCCTCAAGAAAAATAAAGCATCCTTAAAAAAGAAGATAACACAAATAAGCGTAGATAAAGGTTTTGAAGGCCATTTCAGTAAGAAAGATTCGTTTTAATCGCTTGTTTATTAAACGGCTGCGTAAACAGAAGAAAACCCTTCAACGTATTCATACTCATTCTCTGATTGCGTGACGGTGACGTCAGTAGATCAGGAGCACTGCGTGACTTTACCTGGTCAACATTTAGCCTCAGAGGCTGTATAGAAACTCTCAGATTACACTCTTGTGCTTTGAGACCAGGATCAGGCCGAATATGAAGCATCTTGAGCAGGATCTAAACAAGAAAATTGTTAAAAAAAAGAAAGGTGAATGTCTATAGTGCTTATTCGAGGAAGAAGACCAGCAACTGTAATCCACCACAAAGGTATTTTCCTACGCAACCTGAACTAGCATTGCCTTCAGTTTTTTAACGAAAGATCTGAATGGAAAAAAAAGTTAATTTTCCAACAAAAAGAAATCATTTTTAGACTTTTCTGCCACTTTTTTTTCTTACTTTTTATTTCAGTAAATTTCATCCTCAAATCTTTAAAAAAAAAAATTCACAAACATTTCTTACGCCTCGAAATAAACCAACAGGGGCATGTTCAGTACCGGATCTTTCTGATCACCGACGACGTTTTATGTCTGTTAATGACCAAGAGCCAGGTTACTTACCATGTTGGCATGGGTCTGTTTCGGACAGGCCTCAGAGGTGTACTGGTATAGGAACTTGTTTATCTGAGAAAGTGCCAAGCGGTCCCTGATCTCAACATCTTGCACGAGCACTACAATCCGTGAGGCCTGTTCTGTGTCCTCGGGGTACTCCTCGTACTGCAGACGAATCTAAAGAAAAGAAGGCGCAAATATTTACCCTCCGCTGAAGTAAAAATTACTCGGTGCTAACCTCACTCTACCTTAACCAAACAATGTCATTTCATTCATGTTGTGAAAACTCGACTGACGCCAAAAGACGCTTCTTAGAAAGACATACAGTGTTAGCCAGATGGAACAATGTCCTTTATTTTCCACTCGGCTCTCAACCCACCCCTGGAGGCAGGTATAATCTTTTGCAATTTCCCTGAGTGGGATTGGAGAAAAGCGCGAGGCGAACGCAAAGGGAAAGTTGGCAAATTATAAAACGTTCTCATTCATTGATGCTATAGGAAGGCATCTAAAGGCGGATAAGCACATATAAAAGTCCCTTTTTTTCGCATCCCCTTCTCGCACGTGGACCACGTTTAGCTCGTGCCTCGGGCGTGTCACGCAATGCCTCTGCTGGTCTGAATTACCCCTGATCTGAATCGCTTTCCCCCTCCTTACTTGTGTTCCTGGATAGCGTTGGTTCAGTCCGTTGATAGCACATTCGCAAGGGCGAAATCTGAACTGACTTAGGTTTGAATCCTTGCGGAGGATTCCGAAAGTGCAATTTTAAAATAGTGCATTTTATTCAGCTATAAGAAAGTTTCAAGCTACGGCGACTCTTTCGGTTTTACTCCTTACTCCACTCAGTGAATCCCTGAAGCATTTTCACCTCTCACCTTCTCCATAACATTCAGTTACTTCTATCCATGCGCCTCTTTGCAGATACTAGTTAGGATACCAATGCTCACCTTGTTTAAATAAAACTCCATCAGCACATCGTTGTTTCTGTTTGGTCCTCCACTGAGTTTGTTTGCAGTTCTCGCGGGTGCAGTGTTTTTAGTGAGTAGCGTTGTGGGTCTCTTCACAAAGGAACTGTCCACAGCCTGTCCTCTTTCATCCAATGCAAAGCTTATCCTATAAACAGAACTTATCAATTACAAAATTGTTTTTCAACCGTCGACGAGGTGAGGGAAGACGGCTTACTAACGTCGCATTTTGCTTTCGACCTATTCCACACAAGAAAAATCTAATCAATATCAAAATTTTCAACACACTTGCCTCTTAGTCGTTGCAGCAGGAAACTGTAAATATTTCTCAGGGTCAATTTTTTTTAGATTAGTTCTTTACTAACCCAAAGAATCTCCGTGAGAATTGTCTTAAAATATTTCTTTTGGTGGAAAAATATATACTTTCCACACTTAAGTTAAGAAAGCAAAGTTATCTTAACTCACTTCTTCCTGGTGTCACGTGATACTGATCCACCAAAGTCCCGGCCGCCATATAGATGCCATACAACAGACATTTCCTTAAGCGTGCAGCAGAACACCGCTGGTGGAAAATGACTCGGGGCGCAGAGTTGGTCGCTTGGACCCAGCTATGAAACAAGCAAACACAACCAGAACAAGTAAATTAAACTATAAAAAGGTGCCCAACTCAGTAGAGTGATAAAAAGAAAGAAACCAGCCGATATCGACCTTAAGGAAGTATATATGTCAAAGAAACTGGGAACGCTAGGCTTTACAGCGTTCATTCGCTAATGAAGCAAAACCGTTTCCGAATTTCGTCATGTCGTCTATTCCTTGCAAGAGCTTGTTCTTTGACGCTAAAGAAATGTCAGGAGCCAGTAAGAAGTCAAGCTAAACTTTCGCAATAAACCTGCAAGGCGGAAAAGTTAAGAATTATTCCAGCTTATGACATTCTGCCTCACGTACAATTCAGTAAAGTTACGCGCGGAAACAGAGCGAAACAGAAAGAGTTAATTCAACTGCACAAGACACAACCTCGTCGTAAAATACGTACGGGAACAGTAAAATGATTGTCCACAATGCTGACTTGTTCATCTATGAGGCGTTTGATGATTACTTCATGACTCAAACCCTCAGGTTCTTTATCTGGGTGTTCCAGAATACAGAAATCGTCATCACTATCCTCTTCTTCTTCCTCCACCTCCCCCGGATTTGGTAACTCTGCGTTTGTTTCTTCCGGGGGGTAATACTCCTCCACAGGGCTGCTCAGCTCGTCATCAGGGAACAAGAAGAGATCTCGTCTTGGTGATCTGGAAAGCTGATGACTGAGTTCTCCTTTGACGCTCTGACATAAACAAACAAACAAAAAAAAAACGCTGATTTAACGCCAGTAAGTTGCGATAGGAAGAAATTTCTCCCAAATGTGAATCAGAACACACACTCCTGTGGAACTGAATCTGTAATAAATTATAGTACCTTGTCGTGTAGGGTTTCTTCATCAGAGCGACTATCCACCATGGCCTCGGTCATGATATTGCTCAGTTCTCCCTCATCTATGGACCCTTGCTTGACTGGCGGCTCGGCTGGACAGCGGCTTGGAGTCTAAAAAAAATGTATGCGGGTTACATGCGAAGGATACATGTCGCATGAACAAAACTACGAAGCTTGAATACAAGAAGTTCAAATAATGCACGAGAGCGAAGAGAAGAGCAATTCTCTCGCAACATTCTACTACGCAACGGAAATGAGTACCTCTTTACGCAGTTCTCCTACAATGAAAAGATTGACAATTTTGCTACTTACCGGGGGGTTTTTCGTGGCATCGGGTACTTCTGGTTCGTAGCTAGGTACCAGATCCCCGTCCGCTGCAATGTACTGAATCAGTTGAAGCAGAGCGGAGCATGAGTCCGAGCATGTTCGGACATTGACTATGTTGTTGGACATGCGTAGTTCTAACTGTGGGTGACCCTGAATGGATATTTAATGAATTCCTTCAGTAACTTTAACGTTGCAGAATTAAAAAAGAGTTTCAAAACGTCTTCTTTAGAAGCTACTTTCGTTTGATTAGATAAAAATTTAGGAAAGTGTGCCACTATGAGCTCAGTAGGCGCTCTCAGCCAGCGGTCAATCTTACAAGAGCAGGCTCACGAAGACGGTTGCAACTTCGTGATGGCTGCATTTCTCGACTGGATAAGAAATGTTTAATTTTCAGTAGCCCTGAACAGTTTTGTAGCGGAGTAGAGGCTCATTCATGATTTGTTCGGCATTTGTGGGACAGAATTCTCCCTGGCGATTGACTGGCCATTTAAGCGACGCAGCAGTTTGTTCGAATAAATGTATTATCGCAGCAAAATTTAATTTGATACTCAAGGGTTAGAGCGCTTATGCAGATTTAATATATGTGTGATCATCTTCGAAAATGCGTGCGATAAAATCTCGATTAACAAGCATCTGATTGATTGAGAGTGCAGGGAGGTTGTTCCAGACAAACCTCGGCGCGAAGGAAGCAAAACCGATTGAATCCTACATTATTTCGACATTTAAATGAAAATTGTTCGGCTAAGTAAAAATGCAAAATGTTCTAACCTGTTCACTACCATCACTGGTGAATAAAGAGAGTTCAAACATTCCGAGATCGAGAACACAGACGTAGTCTGGAACAAAGATAATCATACCACCTGAATCAGCTTCACGTGAATAACAACAACGCAACCAAAAGTAAAAACAAAACAAACCCAAAGACAAAAATAAGAAACTACGAAGAAAACAATTTCAGATTGAACCTACTTCTGATGTTCGCAGCGCCACTGCATTTGTCGGAGAGATATAGCGCTGCGTCATCGATAATAAACCTGTCAGGAAAAAAACAAAAAAAATCAGTCAGTCAAGTAGTCTACAGATCAATGACTCAGTCAATTATATAATCAACAAAATGTAACCGGTCCCGTTTTAGCGCAATAACACAGTTTAAAACACCCTTAGCTGGCAACTCAAGTTAGTTTTGTCTTTTGAACAGAATTGATGATGCAAATTGGCCACCATAGAGATTCTCTGAGGTTGACGTTTCCTTCGTTAGGCTTCGTGTATTCGCTCTAAACCCCTGACCAGGGCTAACGTTCGAAACGTCTACTTTAGAAACGGACGAGAAACACGCAGTTACAAAGTCGTTTACGTCGCTTTTTTTTTCACTGTTGTCTAAATTTCACCCTTTTCCTAATTGCTGAAATGTCGTAGTTTTAAGCTTACAAAATTTCGCTAAAGAGAACAAGGCAAGTAAATTTCCTTACCTCAAAAGAGAAACATTAGACTCGATGGTGATGTTGCTCGACACGCTGAAAGTACCCATAGTTACAAGAACCCGTAATGGTAAGTGAATTGGCCTGAAAAATAGAAAAATTAAAAAAATTACTCTCAACCAACAAATAACAACAAAATAACGCAGCGACGAATGAATGGAATGGACGGATTCCAAAAATGCTGCAGATTCCACTCACCTGTAGTCAATGGTTCCCTCCCATACATGAGTATGGAACACTGTTACAACCGCTGGGGGACTGAAACCCAGCACTGGATCATCCTTCACGTCGAAAAAATCGCGAACCTGTAAAGAATGAATTTTTTTTAAACAACTGTTAACTGCTTTACACTACTCTCTTTCACTTTCAACACAGTTGTTGAGTGAATAAAGAATCGCTTTTGGAAGAAAGGGATTGGAAACTTAAAAAAACGTAACAGTGCATACCTGAGTGAGCCACATCTGTTTAGAAGCCAGCATTCTGTGGCGAAGAGTGCTTCTACGCAGTCCAAGAGAGAACAAAATCTCCTAAAATATCAAAAACAGCAGAAGTAAGGGATTAGTCATTATTCATAACATGGAAGGCGAGGGGATGGTCAGAGGATTCGGGGGAAATTCCCATGATTTTCAAGGGGGAACGGAGGGGAAATCAGTCATCGATAACAGAGTATAATAGAATACTACAGAATACTATACTGTAATATATTAAGATACTACAGAGCCTCGGGGGGGGGGGAGGGAAATCAGGTAAATTTTATTAAAACATAATCAAAATCCTTCCAAAATGCGACTCCCCCCCCCGGCCATAAAGAAAAGGAAAATTTAAAGTAACATTTTCTCCTGCCACTACAGTGAAATAGGGTTACAAGACAAATCAGTCTTTTTTTACCTTAATGTTCTTCGAAGTATCTGCAGAGACTTTAATGGCAAACGCAAACATCGGTTCACCAGTCCTCCCATCACCTTGTCTCACACCAGATTCAGTGTGATAGAGGGTAGACTGGAGCTCAGCTCCACTAAACGCAGACTCCATAGACTCATGGGATGCCTGTGGAACCACAGGCGCGTGCTGAAAAGCGACCTTTTGTGACTGCAGGCTCAGATAGGTAAGGTCTGCTTGGCTCTTGTAACAAGCCGCTAAGAAGAATGAGACGTCATTAAACTCGGCTGCTATTTCTCCCAACACCTCCTCAGAGCATGAGCTAAAATCCTTGGAACTTCCACTTGGAGACCAAATCTAGAAAAAAATGCAAAACTTCATAGAACCTTTAAACAAATTTTTGAAAAATGCTCATGCTTGCGTGCAAATCGTACCTCACTCTTAGGAAACATTGCCAGTCTACCCTTGTTCACACTAAGCGTCAGAGTAAACGCTGTCTGTCCGTTTGGGTTGGATTTTGCACGTTTGTACTTGTTCTCCAGCGATGTGAAATTGCTGCTGTCTTCTTCGTCGGAGGAAGAAGCATCTGCATACGAAGAAAAGGTGGGTCTGTTATGTCAAACCGTCATAACGTTCTTCCCACTTAGGTTAATATGCATAACAACTCGACCGCCCAAAGAAGAATGAAGTATATGATTCCCTGAGTGGCAAAAACAGTTAACTTAAAAGTTTTAAAAGATGTTTGACCCTTATAAACTCCTAAAATTCAGTATAAGGTTATTCTCCCGTCTAGCTGTAATTGTTTACAGTTATCATTTTTCAACCCAACGTGCTTACAACAATCCACGCATGCACAATCCTTAGGAGTGTACACCTCAGAGGAACTACGTAACGGTATGGTTACTTGTATCTCGGTTGAAAATATAGCCTTAATTTTTTGTGCTCTTCATTTGAAATCTGTTTCAATATTTTCCATCCTCGACTATCCTCAACATGAAAGGAACTTTGCACGTCGTTATAAACGACCCATGCCATGCCAGAGCGAGTTTAGCCTTACCATCATCGTAACTCCGAAGCCCTGATCGACACATGACAAACCGATCCGGTCCTTGAGCCCGCAGCATCTGACTCGCCAAATCCAACCCTGTGCTTACACTGAAACTAAACGGGTCCGGCCGGTCAGTAGGCGAGGGCGCCATGGGTTCCCATAGCAAAAGGTCACTGGCCAGCCTAGCAATAAGATAAAACAACAAAGCTACATTTCTGTGTTTACAGTAATTGGGGAGCTGTCATACTCTGATTCATTTTAATTTGATTAGACTGAGAGCGCCCGAAGTAAGCAACTTGCAATATAGTCTATTAAAACATGATAAAACTTAAACGAATTAAATCACATATTTGACCTGTGAATGGAAAGCAAGTAGAGATATGATCATCACAGGTAAGCGGCAATTAAAGAAATCCCAGACGAAGAGCCTGAAAAAAATTCGGAAACCCCTTACTACCAACAGGGCTACGAATCCACATTTTAAGAGCGAGCCAAATTTTAGTGGGTTCTTCATTTACATAATGGTTTCTGAGCACAATTGAATGAAATGAATAACATTTTTGACCAGCAATGATAAACAAATAAAGATATGATCCTTATAAGCAAGCTGAAATTAAAGAAAAGGCACAAAAAAGAGCCTTCTAAATCATGGTAACTATGACTCACTCCGTTAGCTAATAAGATATAACGCAAACTCGGAATTGCTCACTAAGAGGGCAAGATGAATTCATCTTGCGTGCTCGAGTTTACCAACTTTCTGCTTGCGAAAAAAAATGCCAGCTGTGTCATAACACCACTTATGAGAGGCCGACGCAATTTAAGATCTAAATTTCCCGAGAAACAACTCAGTAATGCTTCAAGTTAGCCGTAAAGCTCAGATACGTAGTGACACCAAAAGCTTGTGGTGGAACCATTTCGCAGGGTTGAGAGATCTGACCTTCTATATCTCTGATGTTTTATCCAAGCACGGAATAGGGAAATCTTTACAGTTCTCAATTGCCAGTATATGTTAGCTTAAATCACCTGTTATAGATGTTCTCAAACACATCCTTCGTGTGCAAGTTCACATCAAACCTTGAAAAGGAGCATTCCACATGTACTCTTGAAGTTGCCACAGTGTCCTCTTGGAATTTTCTCATTTCCTCTTGTGAGCCAGGCATTAGCAGCTAAAAAGGAAAAAAAAACCTGATTGAAGAATCATTGAGGATGAAGCTTCATTTCATAGCCACGCTCTTGAATAACTATTTGCATACCTGAATATGAAAGTACTCTTTGCAGTCATGAACATTACCTAGGCAATAGCGATACCGGTGCAGTGCTCTACCAACCGAGCTAACAAGCCAACTGGGAGCTGGTCATTTTGTTGGTTCGTTAGAAACACATGAAGTGATGAACATTAAGCACTGTAAATATATGTAACAATCGTATGTGTGAACTGCGCATGAATATGAGAAAGACACGATCATCAATCTCATTTACTTATTAATTCGCAGTTCACATGAACGACTTTCCTACATTCACAGTCATTCATTTGTATACCGTTAGCACCAAAAATGTACACACACTGCTATTACTACTTACCTCCTCTGTCTCAAACATAACAGGTCTAGAGGAGAATGGCGACGGCTCAGCTTTCATCACAGGATACGCATCAAGAGAACTAAGAGGCGAGTTATCTGAGGACGGAACTTCCTCCAAAGCTGATAGAGGAGCCGGGGGCTGGACTGTTATCACAATTCTTAGGAGAAAAAAAAAAGGTAATTTTTTTAACCTAGGTACTAAGTCCCACAGCCATACAACTATTGGCCTTCCCTTCTGCCTATAGCGATCTTATACCGATAATTCACTCGTGACAGTACAGGGACGGATCCCAGAATTCTTGAAGAGGGAAAGGGGGTGAAGTCCACACTTTGCTTCAATAAAAAAAACACATTTTGCTCTTACGCTATGTAGCCTACCCAAGCTAGGAAATATTTCGAAATAAGCAAATTTCAAAGACTCCATATGGAGCATAAAGACACTATCTTCTTAAAGCAAGAAGTTTGGTGTCAGACAGATGGCGAAAAAACCTAAAGGTCTGAAGGGAGAGAATGTATCCAGACCATCCCCTCCCCCCCTCGACCACCCCTTCACTGAAGTACCGGTATTCTGACAGATAACATGAAATATGAAGCGGGCCTCTTAACTTGTATGCAAGACTTCCAAACATCTCATAGAACGATAATCAAGAATTACCTTGGCCGACCAAACTCTCCACTCCCTGTCTCATTGTCCGACTGACAATGTGTTACACGAATAACTGGCATTTTACCACTGCTTGTATCCTCCTGGAAATAACCTTTTTGAATGCAAAAAAAAAGGGTAAAGAGGAAGAAGAAAGAAATCAAGATGAGTTTGTGACATCCTAATTACAACGACCTCCTTTTTCGCACGGGTTTATGGATGTTTCGCCCTTCAAAGATTCGCCCCCTACCACCTTCGCGAGTTCACTCTCCTGCCAATTCGCCCCCAAATCTTCCAACTCGTTTCCTTGCAGTAGAACGTAATTATTCTCTTTAAAAATCATGTGCTTCAACCAACATGCAAAGATCGATCTAAATGCAAATTATTGGGCGGGTTTAACGACGCACGACCCTTGCAGAGTAATGCGAAGCCGCTACATTACTCCGGTCTTCAAATAACTAGTTTGACATCGAGCCAAATAGTTTTTCCTTGTGGTGCTCCCTCTTAGTTGATAGGTGCATACAGAGGTGACCGTATTTCAAGTGTTGCATATATCAGAAAACATCTATACCTTCTAATTCTTTGAAACTGAAATCGTACTGGCAAGAGCTTTCTGAGCCAGAATACAATGTACTGAATTCAACAGCTGAGAAGTCAAATATGAAACGCTCTTTTCTCAAGGATTTTTGCCACCAAGGTCGTCGGTCCACAGCTGGCCGTAAATCAGGAATTGGAACTCTTAAATGATAACACAGAACAAAATATTTCATATCAGATGACTTGAATGCATCAACAGACTTGCCTTAGTTAAAATTAGATTTTTACCCTTGAACACACGACTGGTCGAAGCAGAAATCCTGAATTTTTACTGTTGAAAGTCCACGGTTGAGTGTCAAAAAATAATAATCCCCATTACTAGCTTTAAGCCTGTGTAGAGGTGTATCTATCGTTTCCGTTCGCGCTCAAACCATGAGCAACGAGGGGCTTGGGACGAAAGATCTCGCATGTAGCTTTGCATTTCATCACTTAGCGCTCACAAAACCTCCAGCTACCAAAGTTAAGTAACTTTCCTGGATTTCCCAATTAAGAGTTGAAAACAATATTATTTTGTTTGAATAAATGCTTCCTCTGCTTGCCTTACTGAAGAGCTCACCTTACGACTAGTGTTAGTGAAGGGCAAGTGAGGTTAATGTTAAAAGGCTGTTCTACTGAGGGAGTGTCATCCATGGCTTGAGTAAACACAGCCTGCTGGTTCTGCAAAGAACACAAAATAATCTTTAACGTCAGTATAGAATGTTACCACTGAAGAAAGATGAAATCCCACGTGAAAAGAGTGTTATATAAATTTGTTATCTAACTCTAATTTTGTATGCTAAGCTAAATCATGCACCACGCATTTTGATTAGATCTTATATATGATCTATAGGAAGACAGATACGTAGATGACGTCACTAATAACAGCATTTTGCTTTTTCATCTTAAAAAAACACTGTCAAAGTTACCATAGGTCTGTACAGTAATAAATCACAGACAACGTCAAAATGTGGTAAGAACATCAGTGACACACTCTGCTGCACCTTGTGTGCCACTTTTTTGTTTTAACCACATTTTGACATCATCTGTAAGCTTTTACTGAACAGAGGCAAGGTAGCATGAACAGATAATTTTTAAATTACTCTTATTACCAAAATGAGGTGAAGCGCACATAAAATTGTCTGCAAGTAGAATAAGGAAGATGGTAAGTTCTGAGCTCTTGTCACGAGCGTGGGACAAAGATTCCCCATGTGCAGAATATTTCTTTGTCTCACGCTCGCCACAAGACGAAAAACATCTTTCTCTGAAAAATTTGTCGTTGATAAATCTGAGCACAAGTAGGGGCTTAGTAGCAACATACCACAACTGATGGATTGCAGGATTTAAACACGTGGGATTGCATGTTGGAGGGATGGTTCATGAAGACTGGTTGCGGGTTTAAGAGTGCGGTCAGTCTGTCAACAATGGAGACGTCCAGTTCACAAAGAAATCCACCGAGCTCCAAAGATAAATCCAGTTTGGGCAGTACAATGTTGCGACCTTGAACAACCCCCTAGAAATTGCAGAGGAAACTTTCATCAAAGTTGTCACAATGTCTTACACACCAGCTACATCTCATGGGAGAGGAGAGGGGTGGGATACGATTGAAGACTGCCAACGTTTTTTTCCAGATGTGTCCTAATTTTTTTATGGAGAGGGGGTACTGGTGAATGTGCTCTTACGTAAAGTTGGTGCTAGCACCCTAACATCAGTATGCATATTCTCCAAACCGTTCTCTACATTTCTTTAGGTGCTGACAAGGAGAACTTTTTTAACAATCAAGAACTCCTTTACTTGGTGATCATTTCCTTCATTCTTGTGACCTTAACCCTTTAACTCCCAGATCAAATTTGTAATTCTCCTTACTGTCAACCATACAATTCTTCTAATGTTAGTTTAGAGAATTTAGTTTTGAATCAACTAATTATCCCCAAATTGATATTTTTCTTGATTCTCATCACTCATCTGGTTGATTTTGTATTGATATTGCCAGGAGAAATTATTTCTTGGCCACTCATGGGAGTTAAAGGCTTAATGTGTGATTCAGGGGTGAAAATGCAGGGAGAAATTAGATGCTAGTCACTCTTAGTCTGTGCTGGAACAGAAAATATACAATGCAGCTGAAAAATAATTTATATGAAAACTATAATTGCAAGAGGACTGAGTTCACTCACTGGAGACGTAGTTCTTTGTGTGCTTCTGTATTTAATCCTCAAGCAGGGACGGGAAAATGTTGGATTCATCCCAATATATGGTGTGGTTTGACTATCACCAGAAAATGACTTCAGCAACTGAAAGAGAACAAAAAGTAACTTTACTACACATCTGTGTGAGAAACAAAATAGAACAAAGAATTATCAGAGGCCTGTTACAAAGTCATTCTCAACAACAGCAAAAATTGAAAATAGTAAATCTAGGAGGTGATTTCAAAGAGTAAACTATGGGTGACTAAGACAGAATTTCTCCATACTACACCAATACAATATCAAGCAGAAAAGTGATGAGAATAAATTAAAATATCAATTGGGAGATAATTAGTTGATCCAATACCAAAATCTCCAAACTAACTTCCTACATATTGCATGAAAGAGTGTAAGGAGAATAACTAATGAGATTTTGGGAGTGAAAGGGTTAATAGAGTGGTTGTGTAACTCTCTAACTCCCAGATCAAATTTGTAATTCTCCTTACTGTCAACCATACAATTCTTATTCTGTTAGTTCAGAGAATTTAGTATTGGATCAACTTATAATCCCCAAATTGATATTTTTCTTTATTTTCATCACTTGTTTAGTTGAAATTGTATTGAAATAGTATGAAGAAATTCTCTCTTGGTCACTCATGGGAATTAAAGGGTTTAATAAAGAGAAAATTGACTGTATTTACCTGTGTAGAGGAATAAGGCATTGAAATGGATGTTGAAGAAGATGAACGCTCAAACAGATACTCAGTTAGCTCCAGTTTCCCTGCAGACAGTTCACCATTTCCAGTCTGATGTGAGCTATTAACCACTCTTTCGAACTCAAACGACAGCGGAGCAGCCATGCACCTTAAAGGATAGATACAAGGTCAGAAAATTTCTACACAAACAATAAATAATAACTGTTGCAGGATATTGCACAAAGTGTCCTTTGCCATTTTTTTTTCTGCCCATCAAAAGTTTGCCTCTAGCAACCTTTTTATGATTTGAGGTTGCCAAATGGCCACTCTGAATCATTGTGAGCTTGAAGCCCTGTTAAACATTTATAAAACCACATGACACATACCTCAGATGGTCTGCACAGCATGCTGATGTAAATTTTGCAGCCATATCCTCAAAGTCCTTCCCTCCAAATCCATAAGTGCCAATACCAGCGAAAAACTTTTCAGCCATTTGGGACAATGGATGAATCTGACTGCTATCATCACCAGAAGGACTGCCCCCTGCATCAGGCACTGGAGACAGCACTGGGTCAATGTGAAGCACTGTCACAGCCACACTGGAGAGCTTCAGACATACCTTAGTCACATCTGGACAGGGGTCATCCAAGGCTGCTATTCCAGCAAGACCAGGATTGCTTGATGAAGACAGACTTCGTCTTGAAACATTGCTTTGAGGGGTGTCTAAAAAAGAATTGTGTATAATACACATTTGAACTTGATACACCAAATAATGCTATTAGACCACTGGTAATAGGACTACACAAAGTTTGCTTCCAATTACAACTGTAAATCCTTGGATTGATTGATGCCTAGCACATTTACTTCAACTTCAGAAATGTCATGGGGTGTTAATTTGAGGGAAGGACAGAAACTTAAAACCCAAAATGTGGCCAGAGATAATTGCTATAATGGCTTTTTGAATGTTAATGCATTTGTGCAAAAACAACAATTTAGAGAATTCAAAAAAGACAAAGTTGACCCTTCCAAACTTAGCCTGAAGCAAGGAGACTACAAATTCACATACAAACTCATGATTTACTTACTACTAGTACTATCTGGAACAAGTACGGTTTGTTTTGCACGGACAAAAACTGTATTGGCAGCTTCTGCTAGAGAGGTACCTGGAGTAAACATATTAGAATAAAAACATCAAACAATTCTTTAACAAACTTTAAGCTTATTCATCTTTAATCGAGCTTTCTGATAGGTTCCAAAATAATTTGAAATGACATAATCATAATTATTATCATCATTGTCATCATCATCATCACTATTACTAAAGTACATTACTATAATCATTATTATTATTAAAATTATTAGAGAGATCAGTACAGAGAATATGCATGGTGATGTTAAGATATAAAGGGTTAATTGCACGTTACTGCGAGGATCACTTTCATTCACGTCTTTATCTGCAGTTCAAATATATGACTTTCATATATTCTTAACCGTTTATTTCATCACTTCACGGGTTTATTTAGAACCAACATCATGACCAGCTCCCAGTTGGCTTGTTAGCTCAGTTGGTAGAGTGCTGCACCAGTGTTGCAGAGGTCATGGGTACAGGCCTGAATTTTTTTCAGGTATACACTTTCATTTTATAATCATGGCATCTCCTTTCTTGTACAAACGATGCTGTCATTTATATTGTATCATTAGCTCACCTGGTATTTGTGTTTTGTGGCTCATGAATCTCTTATCACATCCTAAAGAGTTCATCAAGTTATACTGGGAAGACTGCACCCCACCCAGAGTTCCTAACGATGAAAACTCTGCTGAATGCAGCAAACTTCCCGACGATTTTACCGGCAGCATGTCAGCTGGTAAGACTGGTTCTTCCAGAGGAGGTAGGACATCATGATTGGATGACATGGAATAAAATGTATCCTCTCCCTCCTCTCCTAGGATGCTGTCATAATCGGCACCTGGGGAGTAATGTGAAGGTGTATCATTTACTATGGCAGAGTCAAAGGAGAAGTTCCAGGAGTCTACACGTTGCCGCCCTTGTCGCTGTCTCTGCTCCTGCTGTCTTGTGGACGTCATTTGGTTCTGCAAGTCTTGTTCTACTTTCTGGTAGTCCTCTGGTTGCATGGGTTTGTTGACACCATGGCCTTTGTCAGAAGTATGGCTGGACACATCTGAAAGGAAAACAAAAGCACCTTTTTATTCCATTGTTCTATTTTCCAATATCAGTCCTGAAGGTGTTCATCATCACAGCAACTAAAGAAGAAAAATTTATCAATGAAAGTGACAGAAAATTAAATTACAATAGATTATCTGCAAGTTATACTTATATCACTGTATTTATCTGCCTACAAATTACCTCAAACTTGTTTTAATCTTCCTGTATGTCTGTCTGCATACATATATGTGCTTGTTTGCTTTTCTGTAACTTACCTGGAGAAGAAAATCCACTGCAAAGTTCTAAGAGCAGATGAAGTTGTTTGGGTGACAAGAAAACATTCATTGTTCCAACAAAACATTCAACATCCACCTAACGAAACAAAAATTAACCATCATGATAACCACTTTGAAGTATATAACAATAGTGCTGAAAATGATGTCAGTGCTTGATGATATCCTAGACTACTAACCCTAAACAAAGACAGTGTCCATAAAAAGACACTACATTGTAGAGTCATGCAGCTAATAGTTCCAACGACATTTAAATCATATGCTGTTAATCTCCCATAACGATTCCCTACACCTCTTTAAATTTACAACTTTATGGTCAAGGGGGGGGGGGTGTTAGAAACTGAACCTCAGTTAACCCTTTACACCCTAACATCAGTATTTGTATTCTCCCTTCTGTTCTCCATACATTTGCTCAAGTGCTGAGAAGGAGAATTTGTTTAAAAATCAAGATCTTGTTTAGTTTGGTGATCATTTCCTTTATTCTCATGACCTTATACATGATTCTGTGATGATATTGTAAGGAGAAATTAGATGCTTGTCACTCTTGGGGTCAAAGGGTTATCTACTTAGAAACTGAAGTCCTGTCATAACAACAGAGTAATTGTTTCTATCAATGGTATATCACAATTAATTTATTGCCTATTTTTAAATGTGACAATGGTATATAAGATCAATAATTTTATCACCTTATTTGCTTTTTTTAGACTTGAAAGTGGTAAATAGGAACTACAGTTCTTTCATAATTTTACCATTACTGTGTATTACATCAATTTGGTCATAATCATATTAATAGTAATTGTACGTAGAGTTCCATAATTGTTTATTCTTAAACTTTACAGTGGATACATAGAACTGAAATGTTATACATATTGTTTAGATCAAGAATTGCACAATACTATTATTGCAATGGTGCATTAAATAAAAACTAAAAATTCTGTCATACTTGTATGGTAATTAAACAGTACACTTATTATTTAGTTTTAGATTTGACAGTAACTAGTGTTACATAAAAACTTAAAATCTAGTCATCATACGCTAATTGTACAATGCCTTGACCTCAGTTCATTGCTGTGAACATCACTTTCATATTCAATGGTACAGTGTAGAGTGCAATGCATTAATTTTAAGAGCTGACAAAGGTGTAGAGTAAAATTCATTTTCCATCATCATACACTAACCTTTGGTCCTGGCACAGTGACATTCTGTTTCAGTTTCAGTTTAATCTCAGAGTGACCAGCAAATGTCACAATCTTAATTTGCGGCAATAAGCTCCCTGAGAGTGAAGGTTTGCTGATCTGATCTGCTGATAATGAGAGTCTTCCAAGAGGATTTGATGGGTTATGGAGAAGAGGAGAGCATGACCCGCTAATAAGGGAGGGTGGGGGTGAATGAGAGAAGTCAGGGACTTGAGACACTGTTCTTGACTCCTCTGGAAATTCATCAAGATGGACAGAAACTCCAAAGATCTTGAGGTTTTTGCATGCACAAGCAGCAGGTTCATAAACACTCTTGGCTTTAAAGTGACTATTCTCCTCAGCCAGCTCCGTAGAGAGATCTAGATAATCAATTCTGCAAATGGGGTTGACATTGCCGATTAAAAATATTTCAAAGAATCAACAACAACACTAACAATATAAAACTCATCCATTACAATTCCAAAGTGAGCGATGTGTTTGTACCTTTTAATGTGTATCTCTAATCCTATTCCTGTCACTGTGTCTTTGGGTAAATGCTCAAATCTAATTACTGTGTCTGTGAAAGACAATTTCACTCTTGCTAACACTGTGACCAAGGGAGAGAAAAATGTTTGTCAGTATATAGAAAAAAAAAGGATTGCTTTCACTGTGACAATATCATTCATTCATAGCTGTACAAAAATAACTGAGACATTTGCAAAAGGCTTCATGCAAGAAAATAGATGATTTGGTTTCATCAACTGAGTTGATAACTAAAAACAATTGGCCACTGTAGAGAGTTTCTAAAGCAGATGGCTGGAGTGAACTGATGCATTCTGACAAAGGGCTGTTGCTTGAAAAGTCAGCTTTAGAATCTTTTTATGGTGGTCAATTCACATTATCAACTCAGTTGATAGAACCAAATTACGTTGTTCATAATACCACTCACCGTCACAGCACCACTGCAGCTTCTCTTATGAAAAACTTACCCAAGTGATTCACAAGAAAAAAAGGGTTGAGTAAAAACAACTCACCAGACTCTATAGTTTGTGCAAAGGACTCTAAACCCTCAAAGGGTTGGCTAGCTTCAGCTTGTTCTTCCCCACTGGACGGACTTTCCTTTAGGCACTCCTGAGCCAGTTGCATACTTGTAGTCATTGCATTGAAGATCATTGAATCAGTCATACTTCCTCCTATTGGAAAAAAGTTTGGATTTTGCTCCTGTAACATTTACAAAGAATTCATACTTAAAAAGAAACCTTACAGCGAGGACAAGAACCCACAACAAACTCAACAGCAGGTCTGGGAATCAAACCCAGGCCACGGTGGAGGAAGGTAAGCACTCTCACCACTGCACCAAACTCAACTGATAAATATAGCTCAGAATACCTGTATCTACTCTCTGTCTCGGCATGATAGTAACTTCAAGACCTTGGATGTCCATACAACAGCTTTCACTAAGAAGAGCTGTCCAAGGAACAGACACTGAAATGCTTCCAATAAACCCATCAATGATCTCCAGGGGTATTCCAGCATTGTCTAGCATTTCATTCACTGACTGAAATTAAGGAAACACAGCACAAAAAAAATCAATATCTAATTGAATTAGCCTGCACTACAATGTAATCACCCTCAAAAAAACACAGACAAATGTTAGGCAACCCAAAAAAATTAAAGAACAAACAAGATTCACAGTAAACACAAAAACATCAGGAAATATTCCAGCCATAAATTTTGCTTACAGAAGCCAGATTACTTTTAATTAATTCAACATTTCGAGTTTGAGCACATAGTGCTCTCCATTATTTTAACCACATCAAGTAAAATAAATTTTCAACCTGTTAGATTTTTCAAGAATTCCTAGCCATTTTAGGCAGTATTGAGAGGCATTTCAGTTAGTAGATTTATATCTCTTACCAACACAATTCAAGATCTGTACTGTAAGTTACAGACCAAGTTTTTCCCTGCTTGGATTTAATTCAAAAACAAGGTTCTGTAACTCACAGTATGAACCAAGCACATGAGGTTAGTAACTAAGTTAGTAAGTAACTGTTAATTATATATCTCGGATCAAATAGAAGGGGGAAGATTTCAAATAAACAAACTTTTGAATTCAATGGGTCATACAGTGAAACAAGGCCCACTAACACACATACTAACCAAAAGATATAATTATAATACTGTTCACAGCCTAAAAAGAAGAGCACTGTCTTAAGTCTTATGAAAATTTTATCACCTTTTATTTGGACCTAGAAATTTTAACAGCTCATCAGAACTACATGGCATATGTTGATAACAAGTAAATAAATACCATAAACATCCATGTATAAGCCGCACTTTTTTCACAAAATTGAAGCCAAAAATCAAGGGTGCGGCTTATCCATGGATACATCTGTGTTTGGAGTTCTCAAAAACCTAATTAATATTCATAAAACTTCTTAAGATGCCAAGAAATAAAAATAAAAGAAACTGAGAGCGTGTTGCTGTAGTTCATTAACTTTTTCATTGAGTGGTGGCTCCTAAAGGAGCCGTTTGTGTCTTCGAGTGTTTATCAGTGAATCTTGCTCTCCAAGAGTTCTTGCGATTAATTTTCACTTTACTCGAACAACTAAACACCAACATACAAGGAATCTCTTGTTGTTTATTACTACCTTCATGGCAAATTTGTCGACTGCATTATCAGGCTCCTGTTCTGCATGAAGTTTTTCACCTATTGCGGGTTTCCAAAAATCTTCTTACACGTGGTATCCCCAAACAGCTGAGTCGAAAGGCACAGACTCCTCCCAACATTTAAAGCTTGGCTACTAAGCACTTTGTTTGTTTGTTATTTTCAATGCCGAAGGAATTTCAACTTTATGGCATGTTTCGAAGTGATAATCTTGACAAATCAGATCGAAAGAGAATTTTAAGTTAAATATTGTGTAAATTCCAATGAAAAAGAAGGTACAACAAATTAAATTTCGCTTTCTTTAGACTTGATAAATGTGAAAGATAGCCACAACTTCTATGTCAGTGTTTCAAAACCTTGATTGTTTGTAGCAATAGAACTCTACTGAAACTTCAAACAGTATTGTTTTTATTTTTCCCAAATTCTGCGCCTCCAGATCGGGGGTGCAGCTTATCTACGGATGCGGCTTATACATGATTGTTTACGGTACTTTTGCAAAGTGAACATTGATGTTACAACATTTCCCTGTTATTAAAGAGTTATGCTCAATTAATTTTTACTTTTCTATTGTCATCAATTCATTTGACTTTTCACCAATACAAAAAAAATTATCCACAGCATTATAATTTATAGAAAGCAATATGACCCAGGAAGTCACCGCACTTGTGAGACTTTCTTTTGAGCAACACTGAACAGAGGACTACATGCAGCTTTAACAATATTTAACAGCACATCCACCATTGGATCCATAGCAATCATAAAGATGGACAACTGACTCAAGTTTTACCCAGCATTTTAAGTTATTTTGACCACAATCTCAGTACAGACAATCAAGCATCAAATGCCATTAAAATTTAATCAAAATGTATTAATTCCTATTAAGAACTTTGCAAAAATAAAGTAGGTAAAATCTGAAATATCACTTTCAATGATGGCTTTAAAACTATGCACAAGTTCTAAAACATATTATGTTTGTATGAAAAAAATTACAAGTAAATCGAACACAAACATCTGTGTCAATATCACCTAACGCCTTTGGCTCGATTCCATTCAAACCTAACAAAATGGCACACAAATGAAAAAAAAAAACATTTTTTGCAAATAATCATAACGTTCGATTTCAAAGCCACAAACTGAGAACTTCGACACATTACAAAACATTTCACAGTCTAGAACAATTCGTGTAATTCTGAAATACTACATTGTACCAAAAATAGGAAATGATTTCTAACTGCGATGCTAAGAATACCTTCCATTTATTTCGCTTCGGACCGCGATGAGCAGTTTTCTATTCAAAATCTTTCAGCTAGAAAGCACGAAGCCATCTTCCTTTGTTCCTTTAGCATTGAAAATTAACTTTACTCACCCAAACGTCTAATGGGACTTTGTCTACTCTTCCGGTGCCATTGTAAAGATCGACAGTTAACTGATCTAACGTGAGTTTCTCTTGCAGAAAATGGCCGAGATAGTGCTGTAATAGGTATCTACAGGCCCTTTTCTTTATAAAGTCCGACCAAGGGAAGAACCACGGCATTGCTGCTATGAACTCCGTGGTATTATTTTCATTATCATAGGCTTTTTACAAGAAAAGATCGCCGTTGGACGTGCAATTCGCACGTCCGCCATCTTGCCTTCATGAGGTTGTTATTGTTTTGGATATGACGTCAGGTTTTCCCAGCATCTTTTTCGGGCATAATAAAAATGTTAATTTGACAATTTTACACCTTATTTCGTCTTTACATCTTTCGGTTTCCAGGATGAACCCGCTCTTTTCAGTAAAAAATTAAAAATATGCTCATTTTCGTCCAGTCACATTGTGTCAGGATAAATTCGTCTTCAGTCATTATTACGAATACTGACAAAGAGTTTAAATTTAGTGGACATAGATCGTCCAAAGCATATAAAAGGGAAGCTTTGCGAAGCGATCAACAATTTACTAGACTTTCAGAAGTCCTAGAAGAAACAAGAAGTCAAGTATCTACAGAAGAAGTTCAAAAATAAGACAGCATGGCTCTTCGTTTCCCATTTCCAACCTATCAACCATGCAAGTAAGTTTTAAAAAAATCCAAAGATATTATTTGATAATGCAAGAGGAAATCAAGGAAAATTTGACCATTTTCACTGTAGTCCAAATTTCTTAAGGGCTTAGCTGCCGTGAAATTTATATGAAGGACTTTAAATTTTCCACAGTAGGGCTGTGTTTGATTCTTCGGGTAGAGTACTTTCGGTTAGAGTACAATTTGACCCATGCACGCCTTAGAGCAAATCTTAGATTCTCGTCTATTTCTTAAATTCTGCTGCATCTACGTAAAATGTAAATGCAATTCCATAAAACTTGGTAGACGTTCATTGTAGTGAGGCGGGGGTACCGATCTCGTCAAACACATCTTTTTTAAATGAATTTACGCGTCAAGTATTTAAAAGGGAAAACTTCAAATCTCTCTTCTTGTGTACAAGGTGTCATGAAATCTTGAGGTTTTCACCGAAAAAAACGTATATTTCAGGAGGGTAATCACGCCTCACGCTGGTTTATAACTTCACGAATCGCGCTCGCCTTCCTGTAAAATTCACGCGTCACAAATCAATATTCTGGCCTTAATCACATGTCACGTATGAAACCTTTGCCACCCTCACGTAAGTATTTAAGCGTTTCGATGACTTATTCTTTTCTTCATACAGTTACAATAATCGAGTGCCTGGATGGTTCGACTTTTTCCACGATCCATGGAGACAGATGGCTTTGGCATTTGAACAAGAAGTCGGCAGCTGGGTGCCGGAACAGTCTGACAAGAGAACGGTGAAGATTGCGTCTGTTCTACTGAGTCACTTCAAACCTGAAAACATCACCCTTGAAGTTGATAGCGACAAGGTGACCCTACATGGAAAGCACCGCTTAGAGAAAGAAGATGGATTCGAAGCAAGCGAGTTCAAGAGGATCTTTAAACTTCCGAAAAATGTCGATCCAACTACTGTGATGTCACACACTACTCAAGATGGACGCGTCCTCGTCATAGAGGGCTTAGAGCGAGTGGAAGAGAATGAAGGAAAATTTGAGACCAAGTTGGATGTCAGAGGCTTTAAACCAGAAGAGATAAAGATTAAGCGGCAAGGAAAAGAGTTAATTGTCTTTGGAAAACGCAGATTAAAAGACGGCAGGGCCAACCGGTCACCTGGTTTCAGTCACCGTATTCGGCTGCCCGATGACGTTGTCATCAGTTCAATAAGATCGTGCTTGTCAAAAGATGGCCTGCTGACGATTGAAGCATCACGTGACCCCACCTTATTGCCGCGCGAGAGAGCGGTTGATATTGTCCTGGAAACAAATGGATCAGAGGATGAACCAAACCCCTTGATCAGCGGACAACCAGCAGAGACCAAATTAGATTAGGTCGAGTTTGTAAGAAAGAGATGACATAGTATACGAATCTTATTTTATCTATGTTGGTACAGTTGATTATTTCAGGCGAGGAAAGTTTGATGAAAATGAAAATTGTTTTCTTATTAAGTTCATGAATGATGCAAATAACATATCTAGTTTGACTTTACATATTTGATAACTGTTGTTAGAATTATACACTTTATAGGAAAGAAGCATATGAAAGCATTGTAAATGAAGTTAGCAACATTACAGGGTAATTTATCATTATCAACTGAGTTGATAACGTAAATTGGCTACCATAAAGAGTTTAAAAGCCGACGTTTTGAGCAATAGCCCTTTATCAGAGCAATGGGGTTGGGGTTAGGCTTGCTCTAATGAAGGGCTAACGATCGGAACGTCATCTTTTAAACTCTTTACGGTGGCCAATTTACATTATCAACTCAGTTGATCATGATAAATTACCCTGTAATGTTGCTAACTTCATTTACAATGCTTTCATATGCTTCTTTCCTATAAAGTGTAAACCGACATAGCACCACAGTTTCTTTAGAAACTAACCCCCTTCATTCAATAGAAACATTACAGTTTATTTTCATAAATGTAACTTATTTTTGGCTGTTTTAAAGTTATTCTGGGAAAGGAAATTATGCAATAAATAGTTGACAAAGTCGTGATTGTTTTTCTTGGTCTCATCCAGAAAGTCCTGCCGAAAGCGTAGGGTCTCAAGGCAAAAAAACCTTGAATGTGACATTCCCCTTAATCTGTTACAGAAACAGGGCATTAAATTTATTTGCCACTGGAAAGCAAGACTTGCTCATATTTCAGCAAGTAACCCCCCACAATTTGAAATGACACAGTGAATTTATGTTTATGTCAAAATCCATCCCAAACTGTTTGTCACCCAGAGACCCACAAAAATGAACAGGAAGTCTTAACCCTTTAACTCCCAGACCAAATTTGTAATTCTCCTTACCGTCAACCATACAATTCATATAATGTTAGTTCAGAGAATTTAGTCTTGAATTGACTATCCCCAAATTAATATTACTCTTTACTCTCATCACTTATCTGGTTGATATTGTGTTGATATTGTAAGGAGAAATTCTGTCTTGGTCACTCATGGGAATTAAAGGGTTAATACTGTGAAACTGTATTCAGATCTTGGGAAGGGGCCCTGGGGGGGCCAGGGGGGGCCAGGCCCTCCACTCCCTTATTTTGGGTAAAAATAAAAAAGGAATTGCAGAAGGGAGAAAAGACAGGGCAAGCAACAAAAACCTGGACCCTCACCTTAGCTCAAGATCTGTATCCATCGCTGATATTAATCATGTGGCAGCTGTTGAGGGGATCAACTGTCTGCACAGCATCTTTATGACTCCAAAAGAATCTAATAAATTTATTCCAATTCAACATTTTACAAATGCTTATTTCACATCTTGTCACACCAAAAGAAAATTAAATTATGGTAAAGATTACCATACTCTCTGTGAAACAAACTTAGCAAAACTCGCGTTGAAATCAAACTTGGCTTTATTTTTATTGTTTATGCTCTCTTGAGTTATTAACCCTTAAACCCCTTGGGGCAAATGGCATCTAAATTCTTATTAACCCTTTCATTCCCACAAGTGACCAAGACAGAATTTCTCCTTACAATATCAATACAATATCAAGTAGGTAGGTGATGAGAATAGAGAAGAATATCAATTATGGGATTATTAGTTATTCCAATACCAAATGCTCTGAACTGACATCATAAGAATTGTATGGCAGATAGTAAGGAGAATTACTAATTAGATCTTGGGAGTGAAAGGGTTAAATATCACCTCTTAAAGTACACATTCAGGTCACAAGAATAAAGGAAATGATCACAAACTAAGGCTCTTGATTGATAAACAAATTCCTCTTGCCAGCACCTCACGAATTGTATAGAAAACAATATGGAGAATGTGCTTACTGATCTTGTGGCCTTTAAAGCAGTTACCTGCCTTTAATTTGTTATTTTACTCAGTGCACAGGTTCAGATATTTCATCAACTTGAAAACCAACTTAACTTGTGAAATTCTTTCCAATTTCGAAAAAATTACCTCACACTTTCAAAAAGTTAGAAAAATATTCCAGTTTAAATTATGTGAACATTTTTGACTGCCATGCATTGAATTCACTGAACAGATGACAGTCCCAGCTAACGTGCTACATTAATGATGAAATACCAAAGCATGATAAATAAGTTTTCCTTTCTAATTATCTCACCGCCTAATGCGTAATTCACGCAGCCTGAGAACGTTGTCATACTAAATGTTTATGATGACCTTGCAAAATGGCAAAATTATTGCACAGTGCACAGCCTTAATTCAATCGAGTGTGAAGCGAAATGTCAGCCATCACTTGGCCCACAGGCACAGGAGTATCCTCACCAGGAAAATACCACTATCAGGCACATCACAATGCCTTAAACCACAAGCCTACATCTCGATGAATCCTTTTACGCCGCTGGTAACATGAGATGAATAAAGCACGTGGAGTCACTGACATAAATACCTTATTCGTTGTGTAGGAGACGCCATAAAATACTTAGTTATGTTTCTCAAGCCAAATTTTCCCTAAAAGAAAATTTAATGCACTTTTACGCAGAGAAATTCTACTGCAATCGTAGCACGATCGACGTAGTGCTGTTCGTTGTTGTCCGCCATATTGCAAAATGACGTCATATGTCTCCCAGTGTCCATTTCGCTCCTGCTAAAAAAATTTTCTAGAACTTTCGGGAAATTTCTGTCTTGCACTTGAGCTGCTGTGTCAGGATGAAAAGGCAACCAGTCATTCTTATGAGGCACTGACAAGTCCCCTAATTTTAGCAACGATGGATCCTTCTAGAATAAAAGCCACGAGTATATATGGACGGTTTTCGCAGAGCGATCAACAGTTCTTAAGAAGACTTCAGAGACCCTACAAGAAAGAAGTAACTACAAGCTACAGGAAGCAAAAGAAGAATTTCATCAAAGGAAAAATATGGCTCTCGTTTTCAGATTTCCAACCTACCATCCTTGCAAGTGAGTTCCTAACTGTTTCAATACAAATGTCAATGTAGAGCCTTAAAAAATTTATTTATCTATGCTTGAGTAATATACCTATTTTCGAGCACTGGTGAATCATTTGATATCAAGGGACATGCTAACATACTTAATTATTATTTTCTGTAAGAGTATTAATGAAGTTTCGTTGAAAAAGCCACGGCTACGAATGGATAAGAATAGAATATTTCTACCTGTTTAGACATTTAAAAGATGTGTGAGTGTTTTTTTTTTCCTGACTATCATATTAAAAAATTTGCTTTTTTTTTTTCTGTGTTGCAGTTATTACAACCAAGTGCCTGCAGGGTTCGACTTTTTCCACCTTCTGTGGAGAGAGATCGCATCGGCATATGAACAAGAAGTCGGCAACCCTTACTGCCGTAAAAGACAGCAACAGTCTCACAAGGGAGCAGTGAAGATCGCTTCTGTCCCGCTCAACCAGTTCAAACCTGAAGACATCACAATTGAAGTTGATAGCGACAAGGTGACTTTACATGGGCAGCATCGCTCAGAGAGAGAAGATGGATTTGACACAAGCGAGTTCAAGAGAGTCTTTAAACTACCACAAGATATCGATCCGACCACCGTAACGTCACGCACTACTCAAGATGGCGGCGCCCTCGTTATTGAGGGCTCCAAACTGGTGGAAGAGAAGGAGGACGACGGAAAATTTGAAATCAAGTTGGATGTCAGTGGCTTTAAGCCAGAGGAGATCAAGGTACAGATCCGTGGAAATGAGTTAAACGTTAGTGGGAAACACAAATCTGAAGATGGCGAAGTTTACCGGTCACCTCGTTATAGTCGCCGCATTGTGCTGCCTGATGACGTGGTTCTTGGTTCTGTGTCGTCGCGATTGTCAAAGGAAGGCCTACTGACGATTGAAGCATCACGTGACCCTGCTTTATTGACAAGCGAGAGAGCCGTAGACGTTACCATGGAGACAGATGAACCAGAGGATGAACCAAAGCCCTCCACTAGCGCTGAAACAGCAGAAACTGAGGAGTAACTCAATCTTTCAAGAAAGAGAAGACCAAAATGTATCAATCGTATTTGATAAATTTCAGTACAGCTAATTATTTCATGTAAGGAAAACTAAGCCCTTAACTAGCACTAAAATAGCAAAAACTTAAAAAGCGCGTATTTGATGTATGGCAAAAGTAGCAACGTAATAGATGAGAGGTGTGAAGACCTTCAATTGTTCTGTTGAAAATATTTAATTATTATCCTTTTTTTAATTAAACTTTCTCTTTATGCGTGTTATGATGTTAGTATTGTCGTTTAAATTAAGCCCTCGACAGTTCAGGAAGTGAATTAATTCAATAAACTTTTGACACCATCAATGTCGTTCTGTTTTTTAGGATTATTCCTACAAAACTAGAAAGGAAACCTTTCTCTGATTTTGCTTAAGTTGTTTATACGCGACCCGGATTGTTTCTCAAACTGTAATGTAATGAAAACGGGGCGCGCGGTTGAAATAGATGAAGAATTATATTTAAACAAAACCTAATATATTAGTTTTTGGTCAAATACGAATCTTTGTTTAAATAAACTTTGTTTTCTATCTATTTCCATTAGAAACGAGGTTAAGCGGCAAATCGCGTTTGATTCTCATCTGTTTTAATGCTGTTTAGGCTATAATGAAGCGAAACTTTTCACAATAACTTTGTATCGCTTTGTGTGACATTTACTTAGCATAGAATCATTTGGGAAACTCAATTCAGTATAAAATTTAATAAGGAGCGAATTTCTTTGAATTAGCGATACCGGAAATCCCAAAACTGTCAAAGACAATAAGAATTGGAATAACAATACCATAATACAATTGACATTGGAGAAACTTAAACAAGTTACTCAAACAATGCTGAAAATTAAACAACTCATCTTGCATTTATTGATTTTAATTTTTTTGTCACGTACTCTTACTTCTCGAAGATCTTACGTCAAGGTTTGTTTTAGTCAGTCAAAATTAGTTGAGCTGCGCGCTCTTTTGAGTTTCTTGAGCATGAAGGCAGAATATTTGAACAGGAGTTTTGGCTGGTTTCTCCTTGCCATGGCGATTTCTACAAATACCCTTGACATCTATCTGATTGTAGCAAATCGACATCTTTGCGAGAAACCGAACTGGATTATTTCGTCGCTGGCAACCGCCGATTTTTTTGTAAGGTTAACGTACAAGTGGTATTTTCTCGTTATTAGAGGCTTTGTTACAAGAAAAGATCGCTGTTGGACGTACATATCGCATATCCGCCATTTTGCCTTCATGAGGTTGTTGTTGATTTGGAAATGACACCGGTTTTTCCAGCATCTTTTTGGGGCATAACAAAAATGTTAATTTAACAATTTTAGCTCTCTTTACGTCTTTTACGTCTTTCAGTTTCCAGAATCAACTCGCTCTTTCCAGTTAAAATTAAAAATATGCTCATTTTTGTCTAGTCACATTGTGTCAGGATAAATTCGTCTTCATTCATGATTACGAAGTACTGACAAAGAGTTTAAATTTAGTGGACATAGATCGTTCAAAGCATATAAAAGGGAAGCTTTGTGAAGCGATAAACAATTTACAAAACTTCCAGAAGTCCTGGAAGAAACAAGAAGTCAAGTATCTACAAAAGAAGTTCAAAAAGAAGACAGCATGGCTTTTCCTTTCCCATTTCCAACCTATCAACCATGCAAGTAAGTTTAAAAAAATTCCATTATTATTTGATAATGCAAGAGGAAATCAATGTAGTCCAAATTTCGCAAGGGCTTAGCTTTCGTAAGTGATATTATGACGGAATTTAATATTTCCATTGTGGAGTTGTGTTCGATTTTTCGGGTAGAATATTTTCGCCTGAAGTACAATTTGATCCCCGCCTTACAGAAAATCTTAGATTCTCGTCTATTTCTTAAATTTTATTGTATCTACGTAAAATGTAGATGCAGTTCCATAAAACTTGAAAGACGTTCACTGCAGCGAGGCGGGGGAACTTATCTCGTCAAACACACCTTTTTAGACAAATTTAAATTCTCTTCTTGTGTCATGAAATCTTGAGGTTTTCACCAAAAGAGACATGTATTTCAGGAGGGTAACCACGCCTCACGCTGGTTTATAACTTCACGAATCGCGCTCGCCTTTCTGTAAAATTCGCGCGTCACATATCAACATTCTGGCCATAATCACATGTTGCCTATGAATCCTTTGCCACCCACACGTGAGTATCTTGCATTTTCGATGACTTATTCCTTTCTTCATCTTAAAGTTACAATAGTCCGGTGCCTGGATGGTTCGACTTTTTCCACGAGCTATGGAAAGAGATGGCTTTAGCGTGTGAACAAGAAGTCGGCTACTGGGTGCAGGAACAGTCTAACAAGGGAACGGTGAAGATTGCATCTGTTCTACTGAGGCACTTCAAACCTGAAAACATCGCTCTTGAAGTTGATAGCGACAAGGTGATCCTACATGGAAAGCACCGCTCAGAGAGAGAAGATGGATTCTACAAATGCGAGTTCAAGAGGGTCTTTCCACTTCCGCAAAATGTCGATCCAACTACTGTCACGTCACGCATTACTCAAGATGGAGGGCTTAAAGCACGTGGAAGAGAAAGAGGATGACGGAAAATTTGAGACCAAGTTGGATGTCAGTGGCTTTAAGCCAGAAGAGATAAAGATTCAGCTGCATGGAAAAGAGTTAATTGTCTGTGGAGAACGCAAATTAGAAGATGGCAGGGCCAATCGGTCACGTGGCTTCAGTCACTGTATTCTGCTCCCTGATGACGTCGTCGTCAGTTCAGTAAGATCACGCTTGTCAAAAGGAGGCCTGCTGACCATTGAAGCATCACGTGACCCCGCCTTATTGCCGCGCGAGAGAGCGGTTGATGTCCTCCTGGAGACAAATGAAACAGAGGATGAACCGAAGCCCTTCACCAGAGATGAACCAGCAGACACCAAATTAGAGTAGATCGAGTTTGTAAGAAAGAGATGACATAGTATATGAATCTTAATGATGAATGTTGGTACAGTTGATTAACTCAGGCAAGGAAAATTTGATGAAAATTATTTTTTATCAAGGTCATAAATGATGCAAATAACATATCTAGTTTGACTTTACATATTTGACAACTTTTGTTAGAATCATATACTTCAAAGGTAAAAAGCATACGAAAGCATTGTAAATGAAGTTATCAACATTACAGGGTAACTTAGTATTATCAACTGAGTGGCTACCATAGAGAGTTTAGAAGCTGACATTTACCGCTTTATTCAGTATTAACAGTACAGTTTATTTTTACAAATGTAACTTATTTTTGGCTGTTTTAAAGTTATTTTAGCAAAGGAAATTATGCATTAAATATTTGAAAACATCATAATTGTTTTCTTGGTCTCATTCAGAAAGTCCTAACAAAAGTGTAAGGTTTCAAGGCAAATGATACGTTACAGAAACAAGGCATTAAATCTATTTGCCACTGGAAAGCAAGACTTGCTCATATTTCAGCAAGTAGCCCACCACAATTTGTTCAAGAAATGACACAGGGAATTTATGTTTGTGTCAAAATCCATCCCAAACTGTTTGTCACCCATAGACCTACAGAATGAAGAGGGAAGTCATTAAGTCATTACTCTTAGACAAAATATTTAGCTCAAGTCCTCCCCTAAATCATCTGCATTACTAATACAATATAAGTATATCCACATAATTTTATTGGAATATTGAAACTTCTGTGAAACTGTATTAAACAGACCTCAAGTGGCAGCTGTTGAGGGGATAAGCTGTCAGCAAAGCATCTGTATGATCCCAAAAGAATCTAACAAATTCACTCCAATTCAACATTTTATAAATGCTTATTAAACATCTTGTCAAAACAAAAAAAATTAAATGATAGTAAAGATCACCACACCTTCTGTGAAACAGAGTTAGCAAAACTCACATTGAATTCAAACTTGGCTTTATTTTTATTATTTACATTCTTTTCACTTATTAACCCTCAGACACCTTAGAGTGACCTGCATCTAAATTCTCCTTAAATCTCACTCCCCAAATCACACATTCAGTCACAAGAATAAAGGAAATGATCACAAACTAAAGCTCTTGATTGTTAAACAAATTCCTCTCCCCAGCACCTAAGGAATTGTGTAGAATACATTATGGAGAATATGCATATTGATGTTATAGCCACAGATATTTAGTTGCCTGCCTTTAATTTGCATTTTTATTGAGTTTGCGGGTTCAGATATTTCATTGACTTAAAAACCAACTTAACTTTGAAATTTCTCAAAAACCACCTAACACTCAAAAAGTTAGAAAGAATCTTCCAGTTTAAATTCTGTGAACACTTTTGACTGTCATGTTTTGAATTTATCGAACAGATGACTGTCCCTGCTGCCCTACTTTATTTACAATGAAATACCACGGCATCATAAATAACTTTACTTTTCAAATTATCTCACCGCCTAATGCGTAACCCACGCATCCTGACAACGTTGCCAAACTAAATGTTTATGATGAACAAGTAAAATGGCAAAATTATTGGCAAAAGATTAAATAAGACGCACGGCTTTAATTTAATCGAGTGTGAGGCGAAATGTCAGCCACCACTTGGCCCACAGGCATAAGAGAGTCTTCACCAGGAAAAAAAAACTATCAGGCACACTACAATGCCTTAAAACCAAAAGCCTTCATCTCAATGAATTCTTCTACGCTGCTGGTAATCTGAAATAAAGTAAGAAGAGCTAAACAGACTCAAAGACAGTGAAGCCACTGACCTTAGTAGCTTATTCGTTGTGTGGGGGACGCCATAAAAAAAACTTACTAGTGTTTATCAAGCCAAATTTTCCCTTAAAGAAAATTTAATGCACTTTTACGCAGAGAAATTCTGCTGCAATCGTAGCACGATCGACGTAGTGTTTTTCATTGTTGTCCGCCATATTGCAAAATGACGTCATATGTCTCCCAGTGTCCATTTCGCTCCTCCTAAAAAAATTACTAGAACTTTCGGGAAATTTCTGTCTTGCACTTGAGCTGCTGTGTCAGGATGAAAAGGCAACCAGTCATTCTTATGAGGCACTGACAAGTCCCCTAATTTTAGCAACGATGGATCTTTCTAGAATAAAAGCCACGAGTATATATGGACGGTTTTCGCAGAGTGATCAACAGTTCTTAAGAAGACTTCAGAGATCCTACAAGAAAGAAGTAACTACAAGCTACAGGAAGCAAAAGAAGAATTTTATCAGAGGAAAAATATGGCTCTCGTTTTCAGATTTCCAACCTATCATCCGTGCAAGTGAGTTCCAAACTGTTTTAATACAAATCTCAATGTAGAGCCTTAGTAAATTTATTTATCTATGCTTGAGTAATGTACCTATCTTCTAACACTAATGAATCATTTAATATGAAGGGACGTGCTAATATACTTAATTATTATTGTCTGTGAGAGTATTCCTGAAGTTTCGTTGGAGAAGCCGCGGCTACGAATAGATAAGAATAAAATATTTCTACCTGTTTAGACACTTAAGAGATGTGGGAGTGTTTTTTTTCGACTATCATCTTAAAAATTTTGCTTTTCTTCTGTGTTGCAGTTATTACAACCGAGTGCCTGCAGGGTTCGACTTTTTCCACCATCTGTGGAGGGAGATCGCATCGGCACATGAACAAGAAGTCGGCAACCCTTACTGCCGTGAAAGACAGCAACAGTCTCACAAGGGAGCAGTGAAGATCGCTTCTGTCCCGTTGAACCAGTTCAAACCTGAAGACATCACATTGGAAGTTGATAGCGACAAGGTGACCTTACATGGGCAGCATCGCTCAGAGAGAGAAGATGGATTTGACACAAGCGAGTTCAAGAGAGTCTTTAAACTACCACAAGATATCGATCCGACCACCGTAACGTCACGTACTACTCAAGATGGCGGCGCCCTCGTTATTGAGGGCTCCAAACTGGTGGAAGAGAAGGAGGACGACGGAAAATTTGAAATCAAGTTGGATGTCAGCGGCTTTAAGCCAGAGGAGATCAAGGTACAGATCCGTGGAAATGAGTTAAGTGTCAGTGGAAAACACAAATCCGAAGACGGCGAGGTTTACCGGTCACGTGATTATAGTCGCCGCATTGTGCTGCCTGATGACGTAGTTCTTGGTTCAGTGTCGTCGCGATTGTCAAAGGAAGGCCTGCTGACGATTGAAGCATCACGTGACCCCGCTTTGTTGCCAAGCGAGAGAGCCGTAAACATTACCACGGAGACAGATGAACCAGAGGACGAACCAAAACCCTCCACCAGCGGTGAAACAGCAGAAACTGAAGAGTAATTCGATCACTTAAGAACGAGAAGACCAAAATGTACCAATCGTATTTGATAAATTTCAGTACAGCTAATTCTTTCATGTAAGGAAAACTAAGCCTTTAACTAGCACTAAAATAGCAAAAACTTAAAAAGCGCGTATTTGATGTATGGCAAAAGTAGCAACGTAATAGATGAGAGGTGTGAAGACCTTCAATTTCTCTGTTGAATGAAAAATATAGTCAAAACCAACAGTTATGTTATGATTAAGTTTTCAACTAGAATGTTTATGATTGTAATTGAATTGAAGAAAAAACTTTCATATTCAAATATTAATGTATTATTTTTGAAATTTTTACCGGGAGTAATAGACTCTGAGCTTATATTTTTTTTAGTCGAAAAGATTTAATTGTTATCTTTTTCTGTTTCAATTCTGAAACTATCTCTTTATACGTGGTATGACATTAGTGCTGTCATTTAAATTAATCCCTCGACAATTTAAATGAATTAATTCAATAAAGTTTTAACACCAGCGTATTTCTGTTTTTTGGGTTTATTCCTACAAAACTAGAAAGGAAACCTTTCTTTGAATTTGCTTAAGTTGTTTATACGCGACCCGGATTGTTTCTCAAACTGTAATCTAATGAAAACGGGGCGCGCAGTTGAAATAGATGAAGAATTATATTGAACCTAATGTATATTCAAACGAAACCTAAGAACAATGTATTAGTGAAAAAATTTTGTTCATATACCTGATGAGCTAACAAGCCAACTGGGAGCTGGTAATGTATTAGTTTTTGTCCCAATGGGGTTAACCGTTAGCCGTAAAACGGCCAAAATATTTAGCCGTTAGACGTAAAAATTGACAAATTTTAACCGTTAGTCGTAAAAAAAGTTAACCGTAAAAAATATCTCTGGTGGAAACAATGGAAAGGTGTTAACCGTTAGCAGGAAATTGGCCAAAATTTTAACAGATAGCCGTAAAAGCCATCACCCCATTGAGACCCTCATAGAGGGCAAAATTACTGAATGTTGACTGGTCGATGAAGAAAGTATTTTTTCTTAATTTTGCCTATGAAGAGGGCAAAATTGGTCCTCAGGATGCCTAGCAACAGCTTATGCTATCGCGTAGTTGTTGCCAAAAAGTTGAAAGTTTGCCAGCAGGCCTGGTTTTCAATATCCTGGTACGGTTGTGCAAAAATAAAATTTAAACTAACTTCATTCGCGCGTTCGTGGTGATTGATTCTTTGTCAATATTAAATGGCTTCCCGTGACCGATTACTCAAGAGCGCATTCAGAAATTCAGTATTTTTCCCCTTTATTTCATGAACAAGTAATCGCATTGGGTCCTCGTAAAATTAAGGATTAATATCACTTGTGTTTTTAGCAACTTCTGAAAACACGTGTGATATTAATCCTTAATTTTACTCGGCCCCATGCGATTACCTATACAAATCGTTGAGTAAACACGCTTTGTTTCTATCCAGAAACTCCATGAGAAACGAGGTTAAGTGTCAAATCGCGACTGATTCTCATCTGTTTTAATAGTGTTTAGTCCAAATGAAACGCAACTATAACCTTGTATCGCTTTGAACCCTGCATGGAATCATTCGGAAACTCCATTCAATATGAAATGTAATAAAGAGCGAATTTCTTTGAATTTGCGATACCGGACATCCCTTAAAACTGTCAAAGACAATAATAATATAAATCGAAAAATAATACCATAATAAAATGGAAATTGGAGAAACTTAACCAAGTTACTTTAAACAATGCTGAAAATTAAACGACAAACAACTCATATCTGGCATTTATTGAGTTTATTTTTGTTTCTCCCGTACTCGTACTTCTCGAGTCGATGTTTGTTTTAACCAGTCAAAATCAATTAAGCCGCGCGGTCGCTTGAGTTTCCTGAGCATGGAGGCAAAAGATTTAAACAAGAGTTTTGGCCGGTTTCTCCCTGCCGTGGCGATTTCTAGCAATACCCTTGTCATCTATCTGATTGTAGCAAAATGACGTCTTTGTAAGAAACCGTACTGGTTTATTTTGTCTCTGACAACCGCCGATTTTTTTGTAAGGTTTACGTACATATTATTTTCTTTGTTATCGGCTTTTTACAAGAAAAGATCGCTGTTGGACGTGCAATTCGAATGTCCACCACTCTGCATTCACGAAGTTGTTGTGGATTTGGAAATGACTTCAGGTTTTCCCGCATCTTTTTCGGGCATAAAATGTTAATATAACAATTTTAGGTCTCTTTACGTCTTTGCGTCTTTCAGTTTCCAGAATCAACTCGCTCTTTCTAGTTAAAATTAAAAATATACTCATTTTCGTCCAGTCACATTGTGTCAGGATAAATTCGTCTTCCGTCATAATAACGAAGTACTGACAAAGAGTTTAAATTTATTGGAGACAGATCGTCCAAAGCATATAAAAGGGAAGCTTTGTGGAGCGATCAACAATTTAGCAAACTTCCAGAAGTCCTGAAAGAAACAAGAAGTCAAGTATCTACAGAAGTTCAAAAATATGAAGGCATGGCTTTTCCTTTCCCATTTCCAACCTATCAACAACGCAAGTAAGTTTTAAAAAAATCCATATATAGATATATTTGATAATGCAAGAGGAAATCAAGGAAAAAGTGACCGCTTTCACTGTGGTCCAAATTTCGCAAGGGCTTAGCTGCCGTGGAATTTATATCATAACCGACTTTAATCTTTCCATAGTAGAGTTTTTGATATTCCGGGTAGAGTACTTTCGATTAGAGTACAATTTGACCCATGCACGCCTTACAGTAAATCTTAGATTATCATCTATTTCTTAAACTGTACTACATCCATGTAAAATGTGAATACAATTTCATGAAACTTGGTACACATTCACTGTTGTGAGGCGGGGGTACCGATCTCGTCAAATACACCTTTTATAAACAAATTAACGCGTCAAGTATATTAAAGGAAAACTTCAAATCTCTCTTCTTGTGTACAAGGTGTCATGAAATCCTGAGCTTTTTACCGAAAAAACGTATATTTCAGGAGGGTAATCACGCCTCACGCTGGTTTATAACTTCACGAATCGCGCTCGCCTTTCTGTAAAATTCACGCATCATATATCAATATTCTGGCCTTAATCACATGTCACCTATGAATCCTTTGTCACCCTCACGTAAGTATTTGTGCGTTTTCGATGACTTATTCCTTTCTTTATCTTACAGCCACAATAATCGAGAGCCTGGATGGTTCGCCTTTTTCCACGAGCTATGGAGACAGATGGCTTTGGCATATCAACAAGAAGTCGGCTACTGGGTGCACGAACTGTCTAACAAGGGAACCGTGAAGATTGCGTCTGTTCTACTGAGGCACTTCAAACCTGAAAACATCGCACTTGAAGTTGATAGGGACAAGGTAACCCTACATGGAAAGCACCATTCAGAGAGAGAAGATGGATTCAACACATGCGAGTTCAAGAGGGTCTTTCCACTTCCGCAAAATGTCGATCCGACTACTGTCACGTCACGCATTACTCAAGATGGCGGCGTCCTCGTCATAGAGGGCTTAAAGCGAGTGGAAGAGAAAGAGGATGACGGAAAATTTGAGACCAAGTTGGATGTCAGTGGCTTTAAGCCAGAAGAGATAAAGATTCAGCTGCATGGAAAAGAGTTAATTGTCTGTGGAAAACGCACATTAGAAGATGGTGGGGCCAATCGGTCACGTGGCTTCAGTCACCGTGTTCTGCTGCCTGAAGACGTCGTCGTCAGTTCAGTAAGATCACGCTTGTCAAAAGAAGGCCTGCTGATGGTCGAAGCATCACGTGACCCCGCCTTATTGCCGCGCGAGAGCCGGAGCGGTTGATGTCCTCCTGGAGACAAATGAAACAGAGGATGAACCGAAGCCCTTCACCAGAGATGAACCAGCAGACACCAAATTAGAGTAGATCGAGTTTGTAAGAAAGAGATGACATGGTATATGAATCTTATTGATAAATGTTGGTACAGTTGATTAATTCAGGCAAGAAAAGTTTCATGAAAATCGTTTTTTATCAAGGTCATAAATGATGCAAATAACATATCTAGTTTGACTTTACATATTTGACAACTTTTGTTAGAATTATATACTTCAAAGGAAAAAAGCATATGAAAGAATTGTAAATGAAGTTAGCAACATTACAGGGTAACTTAGTATTATCAACTGAGTGGCTACCATAAAGAGTTTAAAAGCTGACATTTCAAGCATTAGCCATTCCTCAAAGTGATGGGGTTCAGGTTAGGGTCAGTTAATAATAATACCTAATTACCCTGTTATTATTCCCACAGACACAGCATTACAGATTCTTTACAAACTTTCCCCTTTACTCAGTTTTAACAGTGGCTGTTTTAAAGTTATTTTAGGGAAGGAAATTATGCAATAAATATTTGAAAACATCATAATTGTTTTCTTGGTCTCATCCAGAAAGTCCTACTTAGAGTGTAGGGTCTCAAGGCAAAAGAACTTAAATGTGACATTCCACTTAATCTGTTACAGAGACAGGGCATTAAATTTATTTGCTACTGGAAAGCAAGACTTGCTCATATTTCAGCAAGTAACCCACCACAATTTGTTCAAGAAATGACACAAGGAATTTATATTTGTGTCAAAATCCATCCCAAACTGTTTGTCACCTATAGACCTACAGAATGAATAGGGAAGTCATTAAGTCATTACCTTGGACAAAATATTTAGCTCCAGTCCTCCCCTAAATCATCTGCATTACTAATACAATATAAGTGCATCCACAGAATTTTATCAGAATATTGAAACTTTGTGAAACTTCTGTGAAACTGTCTTAAACAGACCTCAAGTGGCAGCTGTTGGGGGATAAGCTGTCAGCAAAGCATCAGTATGATCCCAAAAGAATCTAACAAATTCATTCCAATCCAACATTTTATAAATGCTTATTAACATCTTGTCAAAACAAAAAAAATTAAATCATAGTAAAGATTACCACACCTCCTGTGAAACAGAGTTAGCAAAACACACATTGAAATCAACCTTGAATTGATCTTTATTGTTTATGCTCTTTTCACTTATTAACCCTCAGACCCCTTAGAGTGACCAGCATCTAAATTCTCCTAAAATCTCACTCCCCAAATCACACATTCAGTCACAAGAATAAAGGAAATGATCACAAACTAAAGCTCTTGATTGTTAAACAAATTCCTCTCCCCAGCACCTTAGGAATTGTATAGAAAACAGTATGGACAATATGCATATTGATGTTATGGCCACAGATATTAAGTTGCCTGCCTTTAATTTGCAGTTTTACTGAGTGTGCAGGTTCAGATATTTCATTGACTTCAAAACCATCATAACTTTGAAATTTCTCAAAAACCACCTGACACTCATAAAGTTAGACATTTTTGACTGTCATACATTGAATTCATCGAACAGATGACTGTCCTTGCTGCTATGCTCTATTAATAATGAAATACCGCAGCATCATAACTTTACCTTTCTAATTACTTCATCCCCTAATGCGTAACCCACGCATCCTGACAACGTTACCATACTAAATGTTTATGATGAACAAGCAAAATGGCAAAATAATTGGCAAAAGATTCAATGAGGCGCACAGCTATAATTTAATCGTGTGTGAGGCGAAATGTCAGCCACCACTTGGCCCACAGGCATAAGAGTGTCCTCACCAGAAAAATAACACTATCAGGCACACCACAATGCCCCCAAACCAAAAGCCTTCATCTCAATGAATCCTTGTACGCCGTCGGTAACTTAAAATAAAGTAAGTAGAGCTAAACAGACTCCAAGAAAGTGAAGCCACTGACCTTAATACCTTATTTGTGGCGTAGGGGACGCCGTTAAAAAAGTTACTGATGTTTATCAAGCCAAATTTTCTCTAAAATAAAATTTTATGCACTTTTTCGCAGACAAATTCTTTTGTAATCGCAGCAAGATCGACGAAATATTCTTCCCACATGTCCGCCATATTGCAAAATGACGTCATACCTCTCCCAGCGTCCATTTCACTCCTGCTAACAAATTTTCTAGAATTTTCGGGAAATTTCTACCTTGCGCTTGAGCTGCTGTGTCAGGATGAAAAGGCAACCAGTCATTCTTACGAGGCACTGACAAGTCCTCTAATTTTAGCAACGATGGATCGTTCTAGAATAAAAGCCACGAGTATATATGGACGCTTTTCGCCGAGTGATCAACAGTTCTTAAGAAGACTTCAGAGATCCAAGAAGAAAGAAGTAACTACAAACTACAGGAAGCAAAAGAAAAATTTCAACAGAGGAAAAATATGGCTCTCGTTTTCAGATTTCCAGTTTATCATCCGTGCAAGTGAGTTCCTAACTATTTCAATACAAATCTCAGTGTAGATCCTTGGTAAATCTATTTATCTATGCTTGAGTAATGTACCTATCTTCTAACACTAATGAATCATTCAATATCGAGGCAAGTGCCAATATCCTTAATTATTATTGTCTGTGAGAGTATTCCTGAAGTTTCGTTGGAAAAGCCACGGCTACGAATAGATAAGAGTAACATATTTCTACCTGTTTAGACACTTAAGAGATGTGGGAGTGTTTTTTTTCGACTATCATCTTAAAAATTTTGCTTTTCTTCGGTGTTGCAGTTACTACAACCGCGTGCCTGCGCCTGGAGGGCTCGACTTTTTCCACGATCTGTGGAGAGAGATCGCATCGGCATATGAACAAGAAGTGGCCAACCCTTACTGCCGTAAAAGACAGCAACAGTCTCACAAGGGAGTAGTGAAGATCGCTTCTGTCCCGCTAAACCAGTTCAAACCTGAAGATATCACACTTGAAGTTGATAGCGACAAGGTGACCTTACATGGGCAACATCGCTCAGAGAGGGAAAATGGATTTGACACAAGCGAGTTCAAGAGAGTCTTTAAAATACCACAAGATATCGATCCGACTACCGTGACGTCACGCACTACCCGAGATGGCGGCGCCCTCGTCATTGAGGGCTCAAAACGGCTGGAAGAGAAGGAGGATGACGGGAAATTTGAAATTAAGCTGGATGTCAGTGGCTTTAAGCCAGAGGAGATCAAGGTACAGATCCGTGGAAACGAGTTAAGTGTCAATGGGAAACACAAATCCGAAGATGGCGAGGTTTACCGGTCACGTGATTATAGCCGCCGCATTGAGCTGCCTGATGACATAGTTCTTGCTTCGGTGTCGTCGCGATTGTCAAAGGAAGGCCTGCTGACGATTGAAGCATCACGTGACCCTGCTTTGTTGCCAAGCGAGAGAGCCGTAGACATTACCATGGAGACAGATGAACCAGAGGATGAGCCAAAGCCCTCCACCAGCGGTGAAACAGCAGAAACTGTGGAGTAATTTCATCTTTTAAGAACGACAAGACCAAAATGTACCAATCGTATTTGATCAATTTTATTGCCGCTAATTTTTTCATGTAAGGAAAACTAAGCCCTTAACTAGTACTGAAATAGCAGAAACTTAAAAAGCGCGTCTTTGATTTATGACAAAAGTAGCAACGTAACAGATGAGAGATATGAGGATCTTTGTTCTGTTCAATGAAAAATATAGTCAAAACTGACAAAGTTATATTATGATTAAGTTTTCAACTAAAATGTTTATGATTATAATTGAATTGAAGCAAAAACGTTCATATTCAAATATTATTGTATTATTTTTGTAATTTTTATCGGGAGTAATAGACTCTGAGCTTATTATTTTTTTTAGTCGAAAATATTTAATTGTTATCTTTTTCTGTTTCAATTCTAAAACTATCTCTTTATACATGGTATGATATTAGTACTGTCGTTTAAATTAAGCCCTCGACAATTGAAGTGAATTAATTCAATAAATTTTAAAACCATCAGTGTATTTCTGTTTTTGGGTTTATTGCTACAAAACTAGAAAGGAAACCTTTTCTTTGAATTTGCTTAATTTGTTTATAGGCGACCCAGATTGTTTCTCAAACTGAAATATAATGAAAACGGGGCGCGCAGTTGAGATAGATGAAAAATTACATTCAAACGAAACCTCGTGTATTAGTTTTTGTTCATATCCTAATAACATAGGGGGAAAAATAACTGAATGCTGATTGGTCAATAATGAAGAGGGTATTTTTTCTTAATTTTGCTTGTGAAGAGGGCAAAATTACTTGCTGCCGATTGGTCCTCGGTTTGCCTAGCAACAGCTTATGCTATCGAGTAGTTGTTGCCAAAAAGTTGAAAGTTTGTCAGCAGGCCTGGTTTTCAATGCCCTGGTATGTTTGTGCAAAAATAAAATTTAAACTTACCTCATTCGCGCGTTTGTGGCGATTGATTCTTTGTCAACATTAAATGGCTTCCTGTGACTGATTACTCAAGAGCGCATTCATAAATTCAGTATTTTTCGCCTCTATTTCATTAACAAGTAATCGCAATGGGTCCTCGTAAAATCGAGGATTAATCTCACTTGTGTTTTCAGCAACTTCTGAAAACACGCGTGATATTAATCTTTAATTTTACTCGGCCCCATGCGATTACCTATACAAATCGTTGAGTAAACAGGCTTTGTTTCCATCCAGAAACTCCATTGGAAATGAGGTTAAGCGACAAATCGCGATTGATTCTCATCTATTTAATGGTGTTTAGTCCAAACGAAACCCAACTTTTCACAATAACCTTTGTATCGCTTTGTACCCTGCATACAATCATTTCGGAAACTTCATTCAATATGAAATTTGATAAAGAGCGAATTTCTTTGAATTAGCGATACCAGTCATCCCTTAAAACTGTCAAAGACAATAAGGGTTGGACTAACAATACCATAATGAAATGGAAATTGGAGAAACTTAAACAAGTTACTTTAAACAATGCTGAAAATTAAACGACAAACAACTCATATCTGGCATTTACTAAGTTTATTTTTGTTTGTCACGTACTCGTACTTCTCGAAGATCTTACGTCGAGGTTTGTTTTAGTCAGTCAAACCCAGTTAAGCCGCGCGGTCTCTTGAGTTTCTTGAGCATGGAGGCAGAAGATTTGATCAGTACTTTAGGCTGGTTTCTCCCTGCTGTGGCGATTTCTAGCAATACCCTTGTCATCTATCTGATTGTAGCAAAACAACGTCTTTGCAAGAAACTGTACTGGTTAATTTTGTCTCTGACAACCGCCGATTTTTTTGTTAGGTTTACGTACATATTATTTTAGTTATTTTGGGTTTTTTACAAGAAAAGATCGCTGTTGAAAGTGCAATTTGCATTTTCGCCATTTTGCCTTCATGAGGTTGTTGTTGATTTTGGAATGACTTCAGCTTTTCTCAGCATCTTTTTCGGGAGCATTAATGTTAATTTTATAATTTTGGGTCTCTTTATGTCTTTCAGTTTCCAGAATCAACTCGCTCTTTCCAGTTAAAATTGAAAATATGCTCATTTTCGTCCAGTCACATTGTCTTAGGATAAATTCGTCTTCCGTCATAATTACGAAGTACTGACAAAAACAATAATAATATAAATCGAATAATAATACCATAACGAAATGGAAATTGGAGAAACTTAAGCAAGTTACTTTAAACAATGCTGAAAATTAGACGACAAACAACTTATATCTGGCATTTATTGAGTTTACTTTTGTTTGTCCCGTACTCGTACTTCTCGAGTCGAGGTTTGTTTTAACCAGTCAAAATCAATTAAGCCGCGCGGTCTCTTGAGTTTCCTGAGCATGGAGGCAAAAGATTTAAACAAGAGTTTTGGCTGGTTTCTCCCTGCCGTGGCTATTTCTAGCAATGCCCTTGTCCTCTATCTGATTGTAGCAAAACAACGTCTTTGTAAGAAACCGTACTGGTTTATTTTGTCTCTGACAACCGCCGATTTTTTGTTAGGTTTACGTACATATTATTTTCTTTGTTATCGGCTTTTTACAAGAAAAGATCGCTGTTGGACGTGCAATTCGAATGTCCACCACTTTGCATTCACGAGGTTGTTGTTGATTTGGAAATGACTTCAGGTGTTCCCAGCATCTTTTTCGGGCATAATAAAATGTTAATATAACAATTTTAGGTCTCTTTACGTCTTTATGTCTTTCAGTTTCCAGAATCAACTCGCTCTTTCCAGTTAAAATTAAAAATATGCTCATTTTCGTCCAGTCACATTGTATCAGGATAAATTCGTCTTCCGTCATAATTACGAAGTACTGACAAAGAGTTTAAATTCAGTGGACATAGATCGTCCAAAGCATATAAAAGGGAAGCTTTGCGGAGCGATCAACAATTTACAAAACTTCCAGAAGTCCTGGAAGAAACAAGAAGTCAAGTATCTACAGAAGAAGTTCAAAAATAAGACAGCATGGCTTTTCCTTTCCCATTTCCGACCTATCAACAATGCAAGTAAGTTTTTAAAAAAATCCATACATAGATATATTTGATAATGCAAGAGGAAATCAAGGAAAAAGTGACCGCTTTCACTGTGGTATAAATTTTCGCAAGGGATTAGCTTAGGTGGAATTTATACTATAACAGACTTTAATCTTTCCATAGAGTTGTGTTCGATTTTCCGGGTAGATTACTTTCGGTAAGAGTACAATTTGACCCATGCACGCCTTACAGTAAAATCTTAGATTATCGTCTATTTCTTAAACTGTAATGCATCCATGTAAAAAGTGAATACAATTTCATGAAACTTGGTACACATTCACAGTTGTGAGGCGGGGGTACCGATCTCGTCAAATACACCTTTTATAAACAAATTAACGCGTCAATTATATTAAAGGAAAACTTCAAATCTCTCTTCTTGTGTACAAGGTGTCATCAAATCCTGAGGTTTTTACCGCAAAAGACATATATTTCAGGAGGGTAACCACGCCTCACGCTGGTTTATAACTTCACGAATCGCGCTCGCCTTTCTGTAAAATTCACGCGTCACATATCAATATTCTGACCTTAATCACATGTCACCCATGAATCCTTTGCCACCCTCACGTAAGTATTTGAGCGTTTCCGATGACTTATTCCTTTCTTTATCTTACAGTTACAATAATCGAGAGCCTGGATGGTTCGACTTTTTCCACGAGCTATGGAGGCAGATGGCTTTGGCATATGAACAAGAAGTCGGCTACTGGGGGCACGAACAGTCTAACGAGGGAACGGTAAAGATTGCGTCTCTTCTACTGAGGCACTACAAACCTGAAAACATCGCACTTGAAGTTGATAGCGACAAGGTAACCCTACATGGAAAGCAACGTATAGAGAGAGAAAATGGATTCAACACATACGAGTTCAAGAGGGTCTTTCCACTTCCGCAAAATGTCGATTCGACTACTGTCACGTCACGCACTACTCAAGATGGCAGCGTCCTCATCATAGAGGGCTTAAAGCACGTGGAAGAGAAAGAGGATGACGGAAAATTTGAGACCAAGTTGGATGTCAGTGGCTTTAAGCCAGAAGAGATAAAGATTCAGCTGCATGGAAAAGAGTTAATTGTCAGTGGAAAACGCACATTAGAAGATGGTAGGGCCAATCGGTCACGTGGCTTCAGTCACCGTGTTCTGCTGCCTGAAGACGTCGTCGTCAGTTCAGTAAGATCACGCTTGTCAAAAGAAGGCCTGCTGATGGTCGAAGCATCACGTGACCCCGCCTTATTGCCGCGCGAGAGAGCGGTTGATGTCCTCCTGGAAACAAATGAATCAGAGGATGAACCGAAGCCCTCCACCAGAGATGAACCAGCAGACACCAAATTAGAGTAGATCGAGTTTGTACGAAAGAGATGACTAATTGATAAATGTTGGTACAGTTGATTAATTCAGACAAGAAAAGTTTCATGAAAATCGTTTTTTATCAAGGTTATAAATGATGCAAATAACATATCTAGTTTGACTTTACATATTTGACAACTTTTGTTAGAATTGTATACTTCAAAGGGAAAAAAACAATATGAAAGCATTGTAAATGAAGTTAGCAACATTACAGGGTAATTTAATATTATCAACTGAGGGGTTACCATAAAGAGCTTAAAAGCTGACATTTCAAGCATTAGCCATTCCTCAAAGTGATGGGGTTCAGATTAGGGTCAGTTAATAATAATACCTAACTACCCTGTTATTATTTAGAAACTTACCCCTTTATTCAGTATTAACAGTGCACTTTATTTTCATAAATGTAACTTATTTTTGGGAAGGAAATTATGCAATAAATATTTGAAAACCTCATAATTGTTTTCTTGGTCTCATTCAGAAAGTCCTACTAAGTGTAAGGCAAAAGAACTTAAATGTAACATTCCACTTAATCTGTCACAGAAACAGGGCATTAAATTTATTTGCTACTGGAAAGCAAGACTTGCTCATATTTCAGCAAGTAATCCATCACAATTTGTTCAAGAAATGACACAGGGAATTTATGTTTGTGTCAAAATCCACCCCAAGTTTTTGTCTCCCAAAGACCTACAGAATGAGAGGGAAGTCATTAAGTCATTACCTTGGACAAAATATTTAGCTCCAGTCCTCCCCTATATGATCAGCATTACTAAAAAAAATCCAAATGGATCCACAGAATTTTATTGGAATATTGAAACTTCTCTGAAACTGTCTTAAACAGACCTCAAGTGGCAGCTGTTGAGGGGATAGGCTGTCAGCAAAGCATCTGTATGATCCCAGAAGGATCTTTTCAATTCATTCCAATTCAACATTTTATAAATGCTTATTTAACATCTTGTCATACCCAAAAAAATTAAATTATAGAAAAGATTACCATACCCTGTGTGAAACAGAGTTAGCAAAACTCACATTAAAATCAAACTTGGCTACATTTTTATTTTTCATGCTCTTTTGAGTTATTAACCCTTAGACCCCTTTGAGTGACTAGCCTCTAAATTCTCTGAAAATCTCACTCCCCAAATCACACATTTAGGTAGCAAGAATAAAGGAAATGATCATAAACTAAAGCTCTTGATTGATAAACAAATTCCTCTTGCCAGCACCTTAGGAATTGTACAGAAAACAGTATGGGGAATATGCATATTGATGTTATGGCCACAGATATTGAGTTGCCTGCCTTTAATTTGCAATTTTACTGATTGCACAGGTTCAGATATTTTATTGACTTCAAAAGCAAAAATAATGTAATGAAATTTTGAAATTTATCAAAAAGGACCTGACACTCTCAAAAAGTTAGAAAGAATATTCCAGTTTAAATTCTGTGAACATTTTTGACAAGCATGCATTGAATTAATCGAACTGGCGACTGTCCTTGCTGCCGTGCTTTATTAATAATGAAATACCACAGCATCATAAATAACTTTACATTTTTAGTTATCTCACCGCCTTATGTGTAACCCAAGCAGCCTGAGAACGTGGCCATACGAAATGTTCATGATGGCCTTGCAAAATGACAAAATTATTGGCAAAAGATTCCATGAGGCGCAGGCGAAATGTCAGCCACCACTTGACCCACAGGCATAAGAGTGTCCTCACCAGGAAAATATTACTATCAGCCACGCCACAATGCCCCAAAACCAAAAGCCTTCATCTCAATGAATCCTTCTACGCCGCCGGTAACCTGAAATAAAGTACGTGGAGCTAAACAGACTCCAAGACAGTGAAGCCACTGACCTTCATACCTTATTCGTTGTTTAGGAGACGCCGTACAAAACTTACTTATGTTTCTCCAGCCAAAGTTTCTCAAAAGAAAATTTTATGCACTTTTTCGCAGAGAAATTCTTTTGTAATCGTAGCATGATCGACGAAATATTCTTGTTACTTGTCCGCCATATTGCAAAATGACGTCATATGTCTCCCAGTGTCCATTTCGCTTCTGCTAAAAAACTTCCTAGAATTTTCGGGAAATTTCTACCTTGCGCTTGAGCTGCTGAGTCAGGATGAAAAGGCAACCAGTCATTCTTACGAGGCACTGACAAGTCCCCTAATTTTAGCAACGATGGATCCTTCTAGAATAAAAGCCACGAGTATATATGGACGCTTTTCGCCGAGTGATCAACAGTTCTTAAGAAGACTTCAGAGATCCAAGAAGAAAGAAGTAACTACAAGCTACAGGAAGCAAAAGAAGAATTTCATCAAAGGAAAAATATGGCTCTCGTTTTCAGATTTCCAACCTACCATCCTTGCAAGTGAGTTCCTAACTGTTTCAATACAAATGTCGATGTAGAGCCTTAAAAAATTTATTTATCTATGCTTGAGTAATGTACCTATCTTCTAACACTAATGAATCATTCAATATCGAGGGAAATGCCAATATCCTTAATTATTATTGTCTGTGAGAGTATTCCTGAAGTTTCGTTGGAGAAGTCACGGCTACGAATAGATAAGAATAAAATATTTCTACCTGTTTAGACACTTAGGAGATGTGCGAGTGTTTTTTTTCGACTATCATCTTAAAAATTTTGCTTTTCTTCGGTGTTGCAGTTACTACAACCGCGTGCCTGCGCCTGGAGGGCTCGACTTTTTCCACGATCTGTGGAGAGAGATCGCATCGGCATATGAACAAGAAGTGGCCAACCCTTACTGCCATAAAAGACAGGACAAGAAGTGGCCAACCCTTACTGCCATAAAAGACAGCAACAGTCCCACAAGGGAGTAGTGAAGATCGCTTCTGTCCCGCTAAACCAGTTCAAACCTGAAGACATCACACTCAAAGTTGATAGCGACAAGGTGACCTTACATGGGCAGCATCGCTCAGAGAGAGAAGATGGATTTGACGCAAGCGAGTTCAAGAGAGTCTTTAAACTACCACAAGATATCGATCCAACTACCGTAAAGTCACGCACTACTCAAGATGGCGGCGCCCTCGTCATTGAGGGCTCAAAACGGCTGGAAGAGAAGGAGGATGACGGGAAATTTGAAATTAAGTTGGATGTCAGTGGCTTTAAGCCAGAGGAGATCAAGGTACAGATCCGTGGAAATGAGTTAAGTGTCAGTGGGAAACACAAATCGAAAGATGGCGAGGTTTACCGGTCACGTGATTATAGCCGCCGCATTGAGCTGCCTGATGACATAGTTCTTGCTTCGGTGTCGTCGCGATTCTCAAAGGAAGGCCTCCTGACGATTGAAGCATCACGTGACCCTGCTTTGTTGCCAAGCGAGAGAGCCATAGACATTACCATGGAGACAGATGAACCAGAGGATGAACCAAAGCCCTCCACTAGCGGTGAAACAGCAGAAACTGTGGAGTAATTTCATCTTTTAAGAACGACAAGACCAAAATGTACCAATCGTATTTGATCAATTTTATTACCGCTAATTATTTCATGTAAGGAAAACTAAGCCCTTAACTAGTACTGAAATAGCAGAAACTTAAAAAGCGCGTCTTTGATTTATGACAAAAGTAGCAACGTAACAGATGAGAGATATGAGGATCTTTGTTCTGTTCGATGGAAAATATAGTCAAAACTGACAAAGTTATATTATGATTAAGTTTTCAACTAAAATGTTTATGATTATAATTGAATTGAAGCAAAATCGTTCATATTCAAATATTATTATATAATTTTTGTAATTTTTATCGGGAGTAATAGATTCTGAGCTTATTATTTTTTTTAGTCGAAAATATTTAATTGTTATCTTTTTCTGTTTCAATTCTAAAACTATCTCTTTATACATGGTATGATATTAGTACTGTCGTTTAAATTAAGCCCTCGACAATTGAAGTGAATTAATTCAATAAATTTTAAAACCATCAGTGTATTTCTGTTTTTGGGTTTATTGCTACAAAACTAGAAAGGAAACCTTTTCTTTGAATTTGCTTAATTTGTTTATAGGCGACCCAGATTGTTTCTCAAACTGAAATATAATGAAAACAGGGCGCGCAGTTGAGATAGATGAAAAATTACATTCAAACGAAACCTCGTGTATTAGTTTTTTGTTCATATCCTAATAACATAGGGGGAAAATAACTGAATGCTGATTGGTCAATAATGAAGAGGGTATTTTTTCTTAATTTTGCTTGTGAAGAGGGCAAAATTACTTGCTGCCGATTGGTCCTCGGTTTGCCTAGCAACAGCTTATGCTATCCAGTAGTTGTTGCCAAAAAGTTGAAAGTTTGTCAGCAGGCCTGGTTTTCAATGCCCTGGTATGTTTGTGCAAAAATAAAATTTAAACTTACCTCATTCGCGCGTTTGTGGCGATTGATTCTTTGTCAACATTAAATGGCTTCCTGTGACTGATTACTCAAGAGCGCATTCATAAATTCAGTATTTTTCGCCTCTATTTCATTAACAAGTAATCCATTGGAAATGAGGTTAAGCGACAAATCGCGATTGATTCTCATCTATTTAATGGTGTTTAGTCCAAACGAAACCCAACTTTTCACAATAACCTTTGTATCGCTTTGTACCCTGCATAGAATCATTTCGGAAACTTCATTCAATATGAAATTTGATAAAGAGCGAACTTCTTTGAATTAGCGATACCAGTCATCCCTTAAAACTGTCAAAGACAATAAGGGTTGGACTAACAATACCATAATGAAATGGAAATTGGAGAAACTTAAACAAGTTACTTTAAACAATGCTGAAAATTAAACGACAAACAACTCATATCTGGCATTTACTAAGTTTATTTTTGTTTGTCACGTACTCGTACTTCTCGAAGATCTTACGTCGAGGTTTGTTTTAGTCAGTCAAAACCAGTTAAGCCGCGCGGTCTCTTGAGTTTCTTGAGCATGGAGGCAGAAGATTTGATCAGTACTTTAGGCTGGTTTCTCCCTGCTGTGGCGATTTTTAGCAATACCCTTGTCATCTATCTGATTGTAGCAAAACAACGTCTTTGCAAGAAACTGTACTGGTTAATTTTGTCTCTGACAACCGCCGATTTTTTTGTTAGGTTTACGTACATATTATTTTAGTTATTTTGGGTTTTTTACAAGAAAAGATCGCTGTTGAAAGTGCAATTTGCATTTTCGCCATTTTGCCTTCATGAGGTTGTTGTTGATTTTGGAATGACTTCAGCTTTTCTCAGCATCTTTTTTGGGAGCATTAATGTTAATTTTATAATTTTGGGTCTCTTTACGTCTTTCAGTTTCCAGAATCAACTCGCTCTTTCCAGTTAAAATTAAAAATATGCTCATTTCCGTCCAGTCACATTGTCTTAGGATAAATTCGTCTTCCGTCATAATTACGAAGTACTGACAAAAACAATAATAATATAAATCGAATAATAATACCATAAAGAAATGGAAATTAAGGAAACTTAAGCAAGTTACTTTAAACAATGCTGAAAATTAGACGACAAACAACTTATATCTGGCATTTATTGAGTTTACTTTTGTTTGTCCCGTACTCGTACTTCTCGAGTCGAGGTTTGTTTTAACCAGTCAAAATCAATTAAGCCGCGCGGTCTCTTGAGTTTCCTGAGCATGGAGGCAAAAGATTTAAACAAGAGTTTTGGCTGGTTTCTCCCTGCCGTGGCTATTTCTAGCAATGCCCTTGTCCTCTATCTGATTGTAGCAAAACAACGTCTTTGTAAGAAACCATACTGGTTTATTTTGTCTCTGACAACCGCCGATTTTTTGTTAGGTTTACGTACATATTATTTTCTTTGTTATCGGCTTTTTACAAGAAAAGATCGCTGTTGGACGTGCAATTTGCATGTCCACCACTTTGCATTCACGAGGTTGTTGTTGATTTGGAAATGACTTCAGGTGTTCCCAGCATCTTTTTCGGGCATAATAAAATGTTAATATAACAATTTTAGGTCTCTTTACGTCTTTACGTCTTTCAGTTTCCAGAATCAACTCGCTCTTTCCAGTTAAAATTAAAAATATGCTCATTTTCGTCCAGTCACATTGTATCAGGATAAATTCGTCTTCCGTCATAATAACGAAATACTGACAAAGAGTTTAAATTCAGTGGACATAGATCGTCCAAAGCATATAAAAGGGAAGCTTTGCGGAGCGATCAACAATTTACAAAACTTCCAGAAGTCCTGGAAGAAACAAGAAGTCAAGTATCTACAGAAGAAGTTCAAAAATAAGACAGCATGGCTTTTCCTTTCCCATTTCCGACCTATCAACAATGCAAGTAAGTTTTTAAAAAAATCCATACATAGATATATTTGATAATGCAAGAGGAAATCAAGGAAAAAGTGACCGCTTTCACTGTGGTATAAATTTTCGCAAGGGATTAGCTTAGGTGGAATTTATATTATAACGGACTTTAATCTTTCCATAGAGTTGTGTTCGATTTTCCAGGTAGATTACTTTCGGTAAGAGTACAATTTGACCCATGCACGCCTTACAGTAAATCTTAGATTATTGTCTATTTCTTAAACTGTACTGCATCCATGTAAAATGTGAATACAATTTCATGAAACTCGGTACAGATTCACTGTTGTGAGGCGGGGGTACCGATCTCGTCAAATACACCTTTTATAAACAAATTAACGCGTCAATTATATTAAAGGAAAACTTCAAATCTCTCTTCTTGTGTACAAGGTGTCATCAAATCCTGAGCTTTTTACCGCAAAAGACATATATTTCAGGAGGGTAACCACGCCTCACGCTGGTTTATAACTTCACGAATCGCGCTCGCCTTTCTGTAAAATTCACGCGTCACATATCAATATTCTGACCTTAATCACATGTCACCTATGAATCCTTTGCCACCCTCACGTAAGTATTTGAGCGTTTCCGATGACTTATTCCTTTCTTTATCTTACAGTTACAGTAATCGAGAGCCTGGATGGTTCGACTTTTTCCACGATCAATGGGGACAGATGGCTTTGGCATATGAACAAGAAGTCGGCTACTGGGGGCACGAACAGTCTAACGAGGGAACGGTAAAGATTGCGTCTCTTCTACTGAGGCACTACAAACCTGAAAACATCGCACTTGAAGTTGATAGCGACAAGGTAACCCTACATGGAAAGCAACGTATAGAGAGAGAAGATGATTTCAACACTTGGGAGTTCAAGAGGGTCTTTCCACTTCCGCAAAATGTCGATCCGACTACTGTCACGTCACGCACTACTCAAGATGGCAGCGTCCTCATCATAGAGGGCTTAAAGCACGTGGAAGAGAAAGAGGATGACGGAAAATTTGAGACCAAGTTGGATGTCAGTGGCTTTAAGCCAGAAGAGATAAAGATTCAGCTGCATGGAAAAGAGTTAATTGTCAGTGGAAAACGCACATTAGAAGATGGTGGGGCCAATCGGTCACGTGGCTTCAGTCACCGTGTTCTGCTGCCTGAAGACGTCGTCGTCAGTTCAGTAAGATCACGCTTGTCAAAAGAAGGCCTGCTGATGGTCGAAGCATCACGTGACCCCGCCTTATTGCCGCGCGAGAGAGCGGTTGATGTCCTCCTGGAAACAAATGAATCAGAGGATGAACCGAAGCCCTCCACCAGAGATGAACCAGCAGACACCAAATTAAAGTAGATCGAGTTTGTACGAAAGAGATGACTAATTGATAAATGTTGGTACAGTTGATTAATTCAGGCAAGAAAAGTTTCATGAAAATCGTTTTTTATCAAGGTTATAAATGATGCAAATAACATATCTAGTTTTACTTTACATATTTGACAACTTTTGTTAGAATTATATACTTCAAAGGGAAATAAACAATATGAAAGCATTGTAAATGAAGTTAGCAACATTACAGGGTAATTTAATATTATCAACTGAGGGGCTACCATAAAGAGCTTAAAAGCTGACATTTCAAGCATTAGCCATTCCTCAAAGTGATGGGGTTCAGATTAGGGTCAGTTAATAATAATACCTAACTACCCTGTTATTATTTAGAAACTTACCCCTTTTATTCAGTATTAACAGTGCACTTTATTTTCATAAATGTAACTTATTTTTGGCTGTTTCAAAGTTATTTTAGGGAAGGAAATTATGCAATAAATATTTGAAAACATCATAATTGTTTTCTTGGTCTCATTCAGAAAGTCCTACTAAGTGTAAGGCAAAAGAACTTAAATGTAACATTCCACTTAATCTGTCACAGAGACAGGGCATTAAATTTATTTGCTACTGGAAAGCAAGACTTGCTCATATTTCAGCAAGTAATCCATCACAATTTGTTCAAGAAATGACACAGGGAATTTATGTTTGTGTCAAAATCCAACCCAAGTTTTTGTCTCCCAAAGACCTACAGAATGAAGAGGGAAGTCATTAAGTCATTACCTTGGACAAAATATTTAGCTCCAGTCCTCCCCTATATGATCAGCATTACTAAAAAAAATCCAAATGGATCCACAGAATTTTATTGGAATATTGAAACTTCTCTGAAACTGTCTTAAACAGACCTCAAGTGGCAGCTGTTGAGGGGATAAGCTGTCAGCAAAGCATCTGTATGATCCCAGAATGATCTTATCAATTCATTCCAATTCAACATTTTATAAATGCTTATTTAACATCTTGTCGCACCCAAAAAATAAAATTATAGTAATGATTACTATATCTGTGTGAAACAGAGTTAGCAAAACTCACATTGAAATCAAACTTGGCTATATTTTTATTTTTCATGCTCTTTTGAGTTATTAACCTTTAGACCCCTTTGAGTGACTAGCCTGTAAATTCTCCGAAAATCTCACTCCCCAAATCACACATTTAGGTAGCAAGAATAAAGGAAATGATCATAAACTAAAGCTCTTGATTGATAAACAAATTCCTCTTGCCAGCACCTTAGGAATTGTACAGAAAACAGTATGGGGAATATGCATATTGATGTTATGGCCACAGATATTGAGTTACCTGCCTTTAATTTGCAATTTTACTGGGTGCACAGGTTCAGATATTTCATTGACTTCAAAAGCAAAAATAATGTAATGAAATTTTGAAATTTATCAAAAAGGACCTGACACTCTCAAAAAGTTAGAAAGAATATTCCAGTTTAAATTCTGTGAACATTTTTGACAAGCATGCATTGAATTAATCGAACTGACGGCTGTCCTTGCTGCCGTGCTTTCTTAATAATGAAATACCACAGCATCATAAATAACTTTACATTTTTAATTATCTCACCGCCTAATGTGTAACCCACGCAGCCTGGGAACGTTGTTATACTAAATGTTCATGATGACCTTGCAAAATGGCAAAATTATTGGCAAAAGATTCCATGAGGCGCAGGCGAAATGTCAGCCACCACTTGACCCACAGGCATAAGAGTGTCCTCACCAGGAAAATAATACTATCAGGCACGCCACAATGCCCCAAAACCAAAAGCCTTCATCTCAATGAATCCTTCTACGCCGCCGGTAACCTGAAATAAAGTACGTGGAGCTAAACAGACTCCAGGACAAAGAAGCCACTGACCTTAATACCTTATTCGTTGTTTAGGAGGCGCCGTACAAAATTAACTTATGTTTCTCCAGCCAAAGTTTCTCAAAAGAAAATTTTATGCACTTTTTCGCAGAGAAATTCTTTTGTAATCGTAGCATGATCGACGAAATATTCTTGTTACTTGTCCGCCATATTGCAAAATGACGTCATATGTCTCCCAGTGTCCATTTCGCTCCTGCTAAAAAACTTTCTAGAATTTTCGGGAAATTTCTACCTTGCGCTTGAGCTGCTGAGTCAGAATAAAAAGGCAACCAGTCATTCTTACGAGGCACTGACAAGTCCCCTAATTTTAGCAACGATGGATCGTTCTAGAATAAAAGCCACGAGTATATATGGACGCTTTTCGCCGAGTGATCAACAGTTCTTAGGAAGACTTCAGAGATCCTACAAGAAAGAAGTAACTACAAGCTACAGGAAGCAAAAGAAAAATTTCAACAGAGGAAAAATATGGCTCTCGTTTTCAGATTTCCAGCTTATCATCCGTGCAAGTGAGTTCCTAACTATTTCAATACAAATCTCAGTGTAGATCCTTGGTAAATCTATTTATCTATGCTTGAGTAATGTACCTATCTTCTATCACTAATGAATCATTCAATATCGAGGGAAGTGCCAATATACTTAATTATTATTGTCTGTGAGAGTATTCCTGAAGTTTCGTTGGAGAAGTCGCGGCTACGAATAGATAAGAATAAAATATTTCTACCTGTTTATACACTTAAAAGATGCTCCTTTTTTTCTGCGTTTGTCATTTTAAAAATTTTGCTTTTCTTCTTTTTTGCAGTTACTACAAAGGAGTGCCTGGAGGTTTCGACTTTTTCCACAATCTGTGGAGAGAGATCGCATTGGCATATGAACAAGAAGTCGGAAACCCTTACTGCCGTAAAAGACAGCAACAGTCCCACAAGGGAGCAGTGAAGATCGCTTCTGTCCCACTAAACCAGTACAAACCGGAAGACATCACACTCGAAGTTGATAGCGACAAGGTGACCTTACATGGGCAGCATCGCTCAGAGAGAGAAGATGGATTTGACACAAGCGAGTTCAAGAGAGTCTTTAAACTACCACAAGATATCGATCCAACTACCGTGACGTCACGCACTACCCAAGATGGCGGTGTCCTCGTCGTTGAGGGCTCAAAACGGCTGGAAGAGAAGGAGGATGACGGGAAATTTGAAATTAAGTTGGATGTCAGTGGCTTTAAGCCAGAGGAGATCAAGGTACAGATCCGTGGAAATGAGTTAAGTGTCAGTGGGAAACACAAATCGGAAGATGGCGAGGTTTACCGGTCACGTGATTATAGTCGCCGCATTGTGCTGCCCAATGACGTAGTTCTTGGTTCGGTGTCGTCACGATTGTCAAAGGAAGGCCTGCTGACGATTGAAGCATCACGTGACCCTGCTTTGTTGCCAAGCGAGAGAGCCGTAGACATTACCATGGAGACAGATGAACCAGAGGATGAACCAAAGCCCTCGACCAGCGGTGAAACAGCAGAAACTGAAGAGTAATTCGATCACTTAAGAACGAGAAGACCAAAATGTACCAATCGTGTTTGATTAATTTCAGTACAGTTAATTATTTCATGTAAGGAAAACTAAGCCCTTGACCAGCACTGAAGTAGTAGAAACTTAAAAAGCTCTTATTTGACGTATGACAAAAGTAGCAAAGTAATAGAGGAGAGGTGTGAAGACCTTTGTTCTGTTGAATGAAAAATATAGTCAAAACTGACACAGTTATGTTATGATTAAGTTTTTAATTAAAATGTTTATGATTATAATTGAATTCAAACAAAAACTTTCATATTTAAACATTATTGTACTATTTTTGCAACTTTCATCGGGAGTAATATACTCTGAGCTACTTTTTTTTAGTTGAAAAGATTTAATTGTTATCTTTTCAATTACTAATCTATCTCTTTATACATGGTATGATAGTAGTATTGTTGTTTAAATTAAGGCTTAAACAAATTGAAGTGAATTAATTCAACAAATTTTTGACACCATCAGCGTAATTCTGTTTTTTGGGTTTATTGCTACAAAACTTAAAAGGAAACCTTTCCTAGATTTTGCAAAGTTGACAAAAAAATATAAATCTATAGTCTTAAGATGTTTATACGCCGCCAGGATTGTTTCTCAAACTAGAATATAATGAAACGGGGTGTGCGGTTGAAATAGATGAAGAATTATTTTCAAACGAAATCGAATGTATCAGTTTTTGTTCAAATACAAATCGTTGTGTAAACAGGCTTTGTTTCTACCAAGAAACTCCATTAGGAACGAGGTTAAACGTGAAATCGCGATTGATTTTCATCTATTTCAATGGTGTTTAGTCCAAATAAAGCGAAACTTTTCACAATAAATTGTATCACTTTGTGTGCCATTTACTTTGCATGCAATCATATCAGAAAGTCAATTCAATATGAAATTTAATAAAGAGCGGATTTCTTTGAATTAGCAATACCGGACATCCCTTAAAGCTGTCAAAGACAATAAGAACTGGAATAACAATACCATAATAAAATGGAAATTGGAGAACTTAAACAAGTTACTTCAAACAATGCTGAAAGTTGAACGCCAAACAATCCATATCTAGCATTTATTGAGTTCCTTTTTTTGTCACGTTCTCATACTTATCGAAGATCTCACGTCGAGGTTTTTTTGTGGCCGGTCAGAATTTAAGTCGCGCGGTCTTTTGAGTTTCTTGAGCATGGAGGCAGAAGATTTATACTGGATTTTTGGCTGGTTATTCACTGCCGTGGCGATTTCTGGAAATACCCTCGTCATCTATCTGATTTTAGCGAAACGACATCTTCGCAAGAAACCGAACTGGTTTATTTTGTCGCTAGCAACCGCCGATTTATTTGTAGGGTTTACGTACATTCCTCCGTTTTACGCGTGTAGAGAATGGTTTTCTTGCAGTGAACACGTTTGGTTTGTGAGGAAAACGATTCAATGGTTATTTCTTTACGCGTCTGTATGCAACCTTTTTATATTAACTTTAGATCGTTACATTGCTGTTACATCACCACTAAAACATAAGAGATGCTTGACACTAGGTCGAATCGCCATATTGGCATTGACCGCCTGGTTTATACCGGTAATATTCCGAGTATGCATCTACACCCCAATTTATCTCAAAAACAAGGAGATTGCCTCGAAATATCTTGTTCCTCTGTTTATGGTGATGTTTGAGTTTGTTTTATGCATCGCTCTTCCCTTCTTTACGTTTCGCATGGTTCACATTGTGAGGAATTTGCGAAAGAGCAGAGGAAACTCAGAAAACCTTGAACATTCATCCATTATGGAATTGAGATCTTCTACGATTCGAATTCACGTTAGCGAAGAAAGACGCAGAAATTACAACATCAACGTTGTGGTTTGCGTTGTCATCCTTTTCATTATTTGTTACTCTGTAAATCTTTACACCTCTGTTTGTTCCGTTTTTAATTTGTGCTCGATATCTCAAGAGTTGTGGTATATTCGACATTTGTTGTTGATCGCAAATTCTGCCCTAAACCCTGTTGCTTACGCTTTACTCAAGAGAGATATGAAGAGGGCGATTTTAGCTCTGGGACGCTCCAAGTCAAATAATCAAGTCAGTCCGGTATCTGTGGTAAACTGATTTGAATCAAAGATGATTCATCACAGCAAACAGAGGCAAAATTGTGTTACGCTGCAGAGCTGTTCTGAGTTGCACCGCGTGTCCTCGAGGAAGAACAATACATTCTCGCGTGTTTCACCCGCGCGCGGTGTCGTTTACGTATGCCATCTACAGTGTGTTGCGCATTCTCGTCCCCAGAGCCGCTCGTCTTCATCTTGAGTTGAAACCAAGTGACTGAAAGAGGACTAGAAAAGGAATGGATGTTGCGCGAGCCCAGAAAAGTGGGTTGATCAGAAGTCGTCCTCTTTGTTGCCAGCAGAGCACAGGGAAGGAAAGGGAATATAGGGTAGGGAGGGGAAAGGAATGGGGAGGGGGGGGCAGGGGCGAGTGGGTACAAAACGGACAAGGAAAGTTTTGGGATGAAAAGCTACTTTGTCTTATAAGTTATGAGACAGAAGTCCACATTGTGAGAAATATTTTATCATTTATTAAATCTGAAGCTTCTTTTTATTTATGATTAAGGATTCAGTTGAACAGTCATCAATAAACAAGATATCGCACCAAACCTAATATCAATTGCGAGAAAGTTGAGGCAATTTCTGTACCAGACCCCTAACGACACGAAACCTGACTGAAGTTACCTTCGTATATCTCTCTCCCTCTCTTTCCTCCTTTTTTATTCAACTTATATTTTCCAATCCTTTTTTCCTTTCAATAAGATTTTATCAAGCAACCTGCAGAGAAGCCACATCATCATTGGTGCGTCGTGAATATTGCGACTCCTTCAATGCGAAGCCTCGTCATGAGAGAGTGGCCCACCTTATATTCTAAGAATCAAAAACCGAGATTTTCTCTTCTTTTCGAGAAAGCTCTTCTCTTAATCTGTTATTTTAAAGGATTACGAGTTGTTTAAAAAAAAAAAAAACACAACAACAAAAACAGACAAACAAGCAAACAAAAAAATGGCGCTGTTTTAACCTTAATCATAGGTTCATGTTTCTTCTTTCGCCCTGATACCAGGTTACATATTTCTATACTTTTAATCCAAAATAATCACCTCATGTGCTAATCAGATTTTTAAAATCAAAACTTTCTCTCCTTGTTGTAGGTTTTTAGTAGGGAAACAAGACAATAATTTCAAAATAATTGAAAAAAAAAAAAAAACAGAAGAATTTTCGACCCCTATTGTTTCATCAAAAACTTGCAAAAGCTCTACGAGAGTTTGTCGTCTCCTTTGCCTGCTATTCCTAATGGACTTCATTCCCAAAACATGAAACACTGTATAAATAACTATACAATTTTCTGTTTCATAACACACATCGACCGACACTCATCACAAAAACGTGACGGAAGGTTGAATTAATTCGAACCTAATTTAAGCGTAACGTGATATATTATAAAGGTTATAATTTGAGACACTCTTCAAAATGTTCTCGCTTTGTGAAATTAGTTACCGTTGTGAGCTCCGTTCAGCGTCTCTCGCGAAAGTGTCTGTCTCCATCCCTGCATTACCGAGTGTAGTAAACTCGGTAATACAAAGTCTTTGACCTGAATAGTGAATATGAATTATCAAACTTGAGAAGATACACGCCGCGGCCTGGATATAAGTGACTTCCAATAATCACTTCCTCGTTACAAGGCCTCCGTACGACAGGCAGTACTTCGTCTACTCTTGGTTTGGGGGGACTGGACTCGTTTTCAGCCGATTTATCCTCTTCTCCGAATTCCTCGTCGTCAGATTCGTTCACCGCGACGGTGATGTTCTTGGTTTGCGGTTGCGACCATTCAAAGCTGACTCCAAAGCCTAAATCGTAGAATTCAGTGGCAAATTCCCAAAATACACATGTTCCTAAGAATGAAGGGTAACAAACAGTATTTTTGAGCCGATAAGTGTTAAAATAGTGGAGTTTTCGACGTAGTAAACTGGATAAAACTGCAAGATGCAGGTCCACTTATTTACACCTCCTCGTACTTTGTACTTTGTACTTCAAAGTACTGAAGTACTTAGCTCAGCTGACAGACTATCTTTGAACCCAGATCAAAATTTTTGACATGAGTCGATCGAGTTTCACTTAAACTCGTTGTAACTTGCCAATACTAGCAAATAGCCAAATTTTGTATCTTAAAATTCAACTTTAAACAACAGAGGTCAGGTCAAGGCTCTGGGGAAAGAACCATAGAGTTTGTGTAAAAAAGTAAGAGTTTGTGTGGTTCATTCCTTAGAGCCTCATTTTGACGTCTCTTGTTTGATACTCAATTTCAACACATTGAAATTAGGCTGATGTAAGACAGTTGTCCTGCACTTACCCCCTTCATGTGTAGGTACACGAACTGTCATCGTCTCCCCACGTCCAACAACTAACACAGAAGTAGGATCAGACTTGAGATGTTGAATAAACTCTTGGACTTTTGGACGCGTCCATAATGAAGGGGGTGCTATCCTTGGGGTGCCATTCACTGCCATTGTCTTGGGCTTGATGACAAAGAGCATATATCATGATTCACATTAAAATAAAAATGTTTATCAATAATTGGGCTAATAACATTTTGACCTGTATCTTTCTGTCTAGTTTACTCTTCAGATGCAATGGGACAGTCAAGTTACCAGTGTTGTCATCAGAGCACAAAAAAGAAGTGGCAAAATCCCATCCCGATTTGTTGAGCATGATGTGAATTGGAGTACATCTATTCTCCCTCTCTGAGTTGTAAGTCCATTGCAATTTACAGTACGGAAAATTTGCATACTGATGTTTGGGTGTTAAAGGTTAAAACTGCAACTCAGCTGATCTACCTGTTGATCTGGTGTCTGTTGTTGTTGATATTGCTGCTGCTTATTCAACATTTGTTGTTGCTGTTGTTGTAAGAGTTGTTCCTCTTGCTGCTGCCTCAGAATAATTTCTTGTTTTCTCCTGAATGTGATGGAAGTAAATTAACTTTTACCCAGTAGGTATTTCTGTATATTGGACACATACTAGATACTTCTTGCATATCAACTTGAAATGCACCCATACTGACACAATTCATGTACTCCATACTAATGCAACTACTTCACTGCATTAAAATGCTAGTATCAACTATACTGGATGTTAAGTTTTGCCCTGGGATAAGTTTTGTTGGTCAGATTTTCCAATAAAGAGCACTCTTATCAATAGAAGAGAGAACAACACCACCACAAGTGTGGAACAAAGTCCAATAAATCCTCTAAAAATGATTCAAACCTAAGCCAGTTCCAATTTCACACTAGAAAGCTCTACCAACCAAGCTCAAGAAAACTGGCAGCTGGCCTACATGTAGTTCAAATTAGAAAGGGTAACAACATTTCAAGCAAATAATCATCTCATTTTTAAACACAGTTTGCCATGATAGCAACTTGCTATAATCACCTCATGCAAGGTGATTATAGCAAGATATGATGTAATCCTCAACCAATAAGAGCATGCCCATCTTCCAAAAATCACCACAGCGATTAAACTAATGAAATTTACATGTATTATAACTCTCAGCTAGTAAGTGTTCTATGATTGGTTAATTTAGCAGGCCATATTTCACTGTACCGCCTGCTACATTAAAAATGTTGTTTAAACTGAAATCTTTCCCCTCTATTTGAACCCAGAGATATGATAAATATCTTACTAACCTACATGTACTTCTCTCAGTTAGTATTGTAAGTTACAGAACCACCTTTTTTCAGTTGAGATTCACACATTCTGAGTGGACCTTGCACTCAGTTAACAAGAGGTATGTAAAATTCACACACCAAATAGAATTATAAAATAATTCAAATAGTATGTGCGCTCTGATTGGCCATAAAACCATGTGCGTATGTAAACAAAGTTTTTTTCCTCTTTCATTAGTTATTTTATAAAAGAAATGTAAAATGGTTTCCGTGTTTACATAGCCTGATGTAAACACTTGGGAGGTTGGGAGAACACTCAATAATCTGGAAATTACTCCACTTTGCAGTTTCCTACGCTTATCTCATGTTCTCCCAACCTCCCGCGTCTTTACATCAGGCTATGTAAACACAGAAACCATTTTACATTTCTTCAACATTAACCCCTGTGTACCTTTCCTCCTCTTCTTCTTCAGCTTTTCTCCTCATTTCCTCTTCCAACAGTCTCTGCCTCTCTCTCTCAGCAGCTTCCTCTGCTTCCCTTCGCAGTCTTTCCTCTTCTTCCTTTCTCATTCTTTCCTTTTCTTCTTTTTCTTTTTGCTGTGCTTCCATCCAAGGAGCTAACTCAGGTGAACATGTCCCTAGTAATGTACAGAACTTCTTCATGGCTTCTCTAGGCTCCATGTTACCAAGGCTCTCCCATGCTCTCCTGATAAAGAGAAAACAATAAACGTAAGAAAAATTAGTCATGCTAATTTAGCATCAAACCAGTGACAAGAGTTGAAATTGAAGCCATAAACAGAAGGCATAGAAGAAAGACAGTAAATTCCATTAACACCTCAATTTCCACAACTGAAATATCCTTATATGTGTCATTCTACAGGAATGTGATGAGAATAAACAAACTTATCAGCTTCAGTAGTTATCAACCAAGGGGGAGGTGCTAGTGCCAAAAAACAAATTGTCTACCGAATCAAAGCTTAGACATTCCATATCTTAAATTCTTGAATCTGCCTCTGAAGAGGGTATATTATTGATTCAAAAACAAATGGTGGCTTAACCCTTTAATTCTTAAGATCTAATTGGTAATTCTCCCCTCCAGCTGCTACACACATCCTTGTAAATTGGTTATGAGAACTTGGTGTTAGATGAAGACAACAGCTTCTACCTGATAAGTTTGAATATTCTCATTAGCTGTTTGCTAGATAATGTAAGGATATTATAGGGAGAAGTTTCATGTTGATCACTTCTAGGAGTTAAAGGGTTAAAAGGAATAATTACATGGAAATAAGAGACTGATATAAACTTCAATGCTTCACTATAATAGCCAGATTTTATTTCTTCGTTTATCCTTTATCTATTCATTCATTCAGTTATTTATCTGGTTATTCAATTAACATCTTTACCTCCTGTCATTGCCAATAACATCAAAATATCCTACATCTGGGTACTTTTCAGGGTCAAAAGCTCCACTTGAAACTTGTTTCCAGTATGCAGTCAGCTGAACTTTATCATCATAAGTAAGCTTTATTATTTGCTTTTCTGCAGAGTGAGAAATAAATCAAATGCACCAATGAAGATGCATGCACATTAGTTGCACTAAACTAATCTTGAACACTCAATTTAGTCTTGGATTCACAGTGACACAGTCATACAAACAATTTGATTGGCTCTAACTCATGATCTGTTGGAGGACAGACAAATAAATGCTGTTCCCATTAACCCTTTACACCCTAACATCAGTATCCACATTCTCTCTACTCTTCTCTACACATTCCCTTTAGTACTGACAAGGAGAATTTGTGGAACAATCAAAGCTTCCTTAGGTGGTAATCATTTCCTTTATTTTTGTGATCTTAATGAATGATTCAGCCATATTACTGTAAGGAGAAATTAGATGCTGGTCACTCTCAGGGTTAACAACATTTTTCTTTTTATCATATATATCAAATTAATTCTATGTTGCCATGAGTCTGTACAGTAATACAGTTGAACTTGTATTGAGCGGTCACCCATGGAGAATGGCAGGGTGATCCCTTAATACAGGTTAACAGCTTATGCAGGTTCCACAGAATAGGGGTAAATTATGAAAGAAAATAAAAAACATTGCATAACGCCATAATTGACCATTACATGTACAAAAGTTCCTTTAAAAATACCGCTAAGATTGATTTTGGAAGATAAAAATACATTTAATTTAACTTGAAAGATAATTCTCAATTTAATTAGAATGGTTCGGCTTGAAGTGATCCTTCAATGCAGGTGGAGGACAATACAAACAGGCCTTTGGGACTCATTAAAGAGTAACTGACACTGTTATGTAGAGGTGAAAATTACAGTTATAAGGGGTAACAATTTCAGGACTTTGAAAACCAACTGCTTGAAATAGGGTGACCACTTAATTTAGTGCTGCTTAATACAGGTCTGACTATAGATCACAAAAGATGTAAAAACCTGGTAAGAACATCAGTGACACATTTACTGTAACTTATGTGCTCCTTTTTTGTTCTTACCACATTTCGATGTCATGTGTGATCAATTACTAAACAGACAAACTGCAACATGGAATCTATTTGTGTTCTATTTGTGGGAAATGACAAAACCAGCTGTGATGAATGCTGGGGAGTACAATCACAAAAAGATCTCCCTCTGATATGCAAAACAGTGACGAAATGCAATACTCCAAGTCCTTAAAGGCTCTAAGGAATTTTCCCAGAGCTCTCTCAGAGACAACAAAATCCTGAAAAAATTTCGCCAAATTTAGATGATTTCAAATTACAAGAAGCAAAAACTTAGAATTAAATGAAAAAAAAATCTATGCAGCCCTCCAAGGTTGATTACCTTTGTCTGGTAAGTGAAAGGACACGAATAAAGTAATTTCAAATTAAAAGATGTACAAGCTAGCTTCCGCAAACTTAAAAGAATTTAGGTAAATGGCACTTAAATGGAACAAAAACTAGCAATTGTGTAAATAAACTACTTCATCAAGGTAATTATCGCGAAAAAAAAGCAGAATGGGTTATAAGAAAATCAGAGCAACCTAAACAAATACAAAATGTATAAGAATTTACAGATATGCAGAGATGAACTGCGCAACTGGCATACCTTTGTGATAATACTGTAGGCAAAGTTTGTAGTATTCCGGTAAGGAAAATCCATAATTATACGGTAGTTCTTTTTCTCCTGTTTCTGAAGCTCCTTCGGTCTCCCCAGAAGCGTTTTGGTCGTCAGTAATGGTTAAATCATGAGAACTTTCCACAATATCGCTATTACCCTCGCCTTCCGCCATGTTGCCACGAGTACGAACCAATAACATGGAAGCACGCATGCTCGGATTTTTGTCAAACCGGAAGTCAAGTAGCAACAGGAAACGAATAAAACATCAGCTTTTTGATAACAGTTAGTAATAGTTTCCTCATTTTGGCGATGGCCTGCTTTTCTTTTGCAGTGGAAACCGCTATTCATACAGTTTTAAATGTTTCTGAGAATATGCTCCTCTTTTCTAACAGAATCTATCAGGAAAAAAGGTAAATCAAAGCTTTACCCTGTCAGATTGAGGCATTTCTGCTAATCACTAGCTTTGCTAAATGCGTCTTCGAAATGACATCTCAAGCGAAAACAACTTGCTAATATAAAAAGTGGTAAAATCACGGAAAGGGGATGGAAAGTGGGAAAATTTACCCGGTGTCTACACTGTCTTTACATGTCATGAGTTTTCATGAATATTGTAACTAAATCAATTCAAAAATAGTTTGGTTGCTAAAATCAAAGCATTTTTCATGTGCCATACGACTTTTGACCTCCGTTTTTCAGATGTCGGCCTTTCTTTATTACGCAATAAAATAATACCTTATCACATTTTTTTGAGTAAAGGAAATGACTGATGCGGTACAACTCATGGTCAAAGACCGCTACAAGAGCGAACAGGTTGCACAACTGATCGCGTGATCATATGTATTGTGTAGAGTCACGCAAGGAAACCAAAAAGATGAAAGATTACATTACAAAACCTGTTGATGTTGTATTTCTCAGAAATATAATAGCAACCACAGCTGTCACGATGGAGGCGTGGGGCTTTATTCTTCAGCTCTCTTTTCTAGCCCTTAGTATGAAGGGAATTAATGCCGAGAAACCTGCTTGCAACAGCGAGATATTCTGCCGCGGCGATCTTCTTCACACCGTTCAAATGGCTCGTATTTTTAACGACTCCAAGACGTTTGTTGATATGAGACTCCAGAGTGACGAAGCGGACGTTTTGCAGGCATTCAAGGCTCTTGGACCATCGGCTAACATATCGAAAGAACAAGTGATCAAGTTTGTGGATGAAAATTTTCATCTCGTAGGACATGATTTGCAACAGTGGACTCCACTCGACTGGCGAGAAAATCCCGCTTTTATTGATCACATAAAGGACAAGAACTTGAAGACCTTTGCATCGAAGCTCAATGAGTTATGGAAGAAGCTGGGAAGAAAGATAACTGACGAAGCGCGAATGAACCCCGCGCGATCTTCTTTGATTTTAGTGGCAAATCCATTTGTTGTTCCTGGTGGTAGATTTCGAGAATATTATTACTGGGACTCGTACTGGGTTGTAAATGGTTTACTCGTTTGCGGCATGAAAGACACTGTCAAAGGAATGATTGACAACTTCATTCAGCTGGTTAACACCTTCGGGTTTGTTCCAAATGGGGGTCGCATTTACTACACAAATCGAAGCCAGCCTCCATTTCTAATCCCAATTGTGGGCCTTTACCTCAACAAAACTGGCGATGTAGACTATGTGAAGTCCATTTTGAATGCCCTGGAGAAAGAATACACATTTTGGAGGAAAAATCGCACTGTTGAAGTTGAATTGTCTTCTGGAAAATATAAGCTGTCCATCTACGCTGCAAACATGAATACCCCAAGACCGGAGTCTTATTATGAAGATATTCACACTGCTCAAGAAGTACCTGAAGACGCCAGATCAACTCTGTTCCAAGACATAGCATCCGCTGCCGAGAGTGGCTGGGATTTCTCGACCCGATGGTTTAACCATACTGATTACAAGAGGGGGTCCCTCAGTAGTACCCGGACAAGGCAGATCATACCCACAGATTTGAACAGTATTCTCTATGCTTGCGAGAATCTACTAGAAAAGTTCTTTCGTATGACCGGAAACACTGCCAAAGCAGATGAGTATAAAAGCTTCTCAGAGGCCCGTGCAGCTGCTATAGAAGCTGTATTATGGGACGAAAAGGGACTATGGCTTGACTACGATCGGCAATTGAAGAAAAGAAGGGGTGATTTTTATGCGTCAAGCGTGGTTCCACTCTGGGCTGGGGTTATTCGGGGCAACATTACAAGAGAGATGATAGTTCTGAGGACGCTCAAGAGACTTAGAGTCCTCGATTACCCTGGGGGTCTCCCCACCTCGTTGTTCTCATCAGGTCAGCAATGGGATTTTCCAAATGCATGGCCACCCTTGCAACATATGCTTATTGCAGGTCTTGCAGAATCAAACGGCGAAGGGATGAAACAGGAAGCCTTGAATTTCGCTCAGAAGTGGATCACTACCAACTACAAGGCGTGGCGTGCTACCAGTCATATGTTTGAGAAATTCAACGTGAGCGTTCAAGGTGCCCCAGGGGGTGGGGGTGAGTATGATATTCAAGTCGGGTTTGGTTGGACCAATGGAGTCATTCTAGACCTGCTACAACGATACCCAGACGAGTTGGTCAGCGGACAAGCGCACACAACACTTGTTAGAAATCCACCACCAAAAGCCAGCGGATATCTGGTAGCGGCAACCAACACCTTTCTTATTTGCAGTATTGTTTTGATAGTATTTGGAATCTAGTCTCGTACCCACACGGTTACACAGTAGGATCTGGGTATGATACGAGATTATTTAGAAACTAAGGTACCTCTGTCACACCTCAATTTTTCCTGACGTGACAATTGTCACGCAAGAGTCATAATATAGGCTTCGTAGACAATTAGATAGACTTTCAAACCTCATTTAACATACTCGTTCCATATCAAACGATTATGTCAATTACAACGGTATTTAGCATTTTTGTTACATTGTGGTTTAGAAGTGTAAACTTATTAGGGTCAGGTTTCAATAATAAAGGGGAGGGGAGGGTAGGGGATAGTCGCTGGGATGGAGGAAACCCTCGAGTGACCGAGTCGGGATTGGTTTATTTCTAAATTTGATAGATTGAGAACTTCTGTGCCTGTTTTATGGACCAATCAAATTATGATGTAGAGCAATACTAAAAGCTATCGGATTTCTTTCGATACAGTTGAAAAACGCTCTATCTATCTTTCTCTTTTAACTTCGGGTTGACGAAAGTACCCTGGATTATGTAGAGGGTGCGAGAGATTCCAGAAAAATAATTCAAATGAGAAGTTTGCTCTTAATTTACATGCGTAAACATTCATGTTACAGAGTAAACTGACCATGATTTCTAGAAATTAATCACTAGGAAAAATTTAGGGCTAAAAACATTTTATGAATGTACAGCATATGGAACTGCTTGACACTTTACTCTTTAACTTTGACCTTCGAATCAGATTAAGTAAAAAGTCGAGATTAAATCGTCATCACTGTTTTTTTTGTTTGTTTATTTGTTTGTATTTATTCACAGTAGGCTTCTCCCTTTTTGTAATCCATCTTGTTCTTGTTCTTTTTCCTTTTGAAGTGTCTTGTGTCGACTAATCGGACCTTGTTTATGTGACTAAATCTCCTGCCATGTTACGATGTCTGGATTGTGTGACGTTTCCACTGTAGCAGAGCGCTACGTCTGGAAAAATCTCTCCACTGCTTCAGCTGCGGGATAAAACACTAGTTCATTGAAATGCACACCATCCAGAGTCCCTTTCGGGTAGGAGCTTGAAACGGGGTAAACATCGAGGACTAAGAAACCAGCCTTGCACATCGCCCAATTCGCGTAAGCATTGAATAGTTGTATTCTCTAAACAAGATAAAAATAAAGTGTAAGAATCATCTCAACTCAAATAGAGGTAACTTTTACCAGACTATTTATTTATTTATCTCCTAATTTATTTAGTCTTGAAGAGAATTTTAGTGGCTACGCCTTTTTTGACTTGATGGTTTGAAAAAATAATTATAGTTATTACACTAATACAATTAAAATTGATATTATCAATATTTAAATATTTTCTTTTAAACTAATCACTATTGCCATGTGTGCATTAGCCTGTTCTAGGCGTTCAGCTGATAAAACAGCGAACGGCGCGATACCAGCGGAGGAGTGAAAAAAAGACGGAGTTTTGGTCAGGTCTGGTACCCGACCCAAACCTCTCTCGTCCACAACATTAGCGCTGTTTACTATCGCGCTTCGTTTTATTAACTGAACGCCTGGAAAATGCTTATGTGCAAAAGGGTGTGTCCGCTATCAATAAAGCTACCTGATCGGAGTGAAAACGTCGAAAACAGCCACTGTACAGCTCTCGTTGGTCATGAATGGCAGTAGTGCTCTTCCATATAACAGTTCCCCTGTAATAACGTTTTAACACGCTAATAAATCCATTAATTACTTTTTGATAATTGTAAAAACTCGCGCTCTTCAGTAGGTGCACACCCGCATTCAGAATAAGGGCACTGTCTTGGTCCATGTCAGAGCGCGTGACTACGTTTTGTAGCTCGTAAAGGATCCTGGGAATGTTGATAGGCTTCCTGCCAAACATCAAGTTCATTTCTTCTTTAGCGCTCTGTGTTAATACATACACCCATAACATCGTATGATAGCAGGCTCGGAAGACTTGCCAGCAAAGCGGCCGTTTTAGAAGAGACTCGTAAAAGTAGCGATTGAGAGAATCGCCATAGACCCACAATATTCCTCGGCCTTGTTGGTGTCCAGATCTCCCGAGGCTTGCAGTGAAGCCTGAGGACGTGATCGTGAAAATAACGATTTTTAAAACATCACAAAATTTGTTGGGCTTAAAGATGGCGACTTATTTTACTGCACAGTCGAACTTCTCCAAAACAGACGCCAAAGTAGTAGAGGGAAATTTCCGTAATGGAGAGCTGCCCGAATTATCTACGTTACCACGGTGTTTTGCAAAAAACAAAAAAGCAAGTATGCGCATCTGAATGTATTGATATGAAGTACTTAAACGTGGTCTTACTGAAAAAGGAAACGTTGTACAACGCAACTCCCTGATGTGTTTTTCTTCCAACGTCTTTTTCATATTGGAACGCTTTTCTCGAATAACATCTTGAATGTTATATTTTGGATTAATATCAGTATCTGCGCAACTACCCACCTACCCCTCCCCTAACCCAACATTAACCTTAACTTGTTATCAATAGAGTGTTGTTGGGTTAGGAGAAGGGTAGGTGGGCAGTGCCCAGATACTGATATTGATCCAATCTTTTCTTACTTTTTCTCGTTTACAGGGTCTACATTTTTCCCGTTTTCACCCATTATCAGAGGATGGAAGACCTAGGAAAAGAGTTTGTATGATGCTAAAACTGTTAACAAAAGAATCGTCAGAACACCTGCCTGTTTGATATGGCCTCCACTGTTCACCGATCCATGACCCATATCCGTCAACTAAAAGATTACATTTCTCTTTGCAGGCTGTTTGGCTTACTTTTTTAAATGCATTGATCTCTGACAAAAAAAAGTAGCGAGACGATTTGTGTATGAGGTGTTCTATCTCACAGAAATGTTCACTCTTTGATTTTTGACTCTAACACAGAATGTGAACGGGAGATACTGACACAAACTGCGTTTTTCATCGGGCAAACATTATGTACCCGCAGATAATTGTTTTGCAAGCCTATCCTGTTCCTGAAAAGAAAGATACCCCAATGAATTAAAACTTTTAGCCTGAAGGAACACAATTTTGTCTATGTTTGCATTTGCGTTACCAAAACATCTGTAGAAAATTTTTTTATCAAAATTCGTATTTTGCGCCAGAAATAACGAGGCGTCTTGACGAGAAGAGGTTGCTCTAAGGGTACCCCTTACGCTATATATTTATTGTAGATCATGCTGCCATATCCTGAACCAAAGTATCAAACAAAAATTCGAATATCTTTTGCAATCCCTTTTAAATCATCCTCATGGTTACACAATCAATACGTTATCTCACCCTTGGCTATGATCGTTGAAGGTGAGGGAATAGTGAAAGTAATTTGTTCGCCTCCTAGTCGCCCCTGCAAGAAATCATGCGTTCTGTTACCCAGGCTCCCATGTGGCTGGAATGAACCGTGTCGACAGCCTGGGGAGAGAGACATACACTGAGGTTTGGAATTGTGTTTGTCAGATTGTGCACTATTAATTTTTTGTAAAACTCAGTTTCGGGAACAATCAACTTTGGATCACGGAGTCCACCATAATCCCTGAATCAATTCAATGGGAACATATTTTTGACAGGGTTGGCGATCTATCTACCTTGAGCATGAAATTAGATATTAGCGCGAGGATGACTTGTTAGTGACTCTGCTCATTACAGATTCATTTTCAAATGTTAAGCACCCACCATCCTACAAGTATTTATGAACTTAGACTACTTTTTATCAATGTATCATAGATCTAACGAGGATTCGAACATGGGTTATAATTTTAGAGCGCCAATACCTTTTATTTTGGATATCGTTGTGTTTCTTATTACCTCTCATAAACCAATCCACTGGTGGATCTTTGAATCCCTTGCATAGCGAATAATCCAATGTTATCTCCGCCCTGTACAGCCCAGGCTCTTCTGGCAAAAACATAGCTTCGTATACTCCGTTGTTTTTGTCGTACACCGTAGCTGCCATGTTGGAAGGTCCCCGAATGTCAACGCGCCAAGAATCCCCACCGATTGTTTTATTTTCGTTTTTCACTGAAACTGACTGAATGTAAATCTTGCTGAAGAATCCTGCAGGTTTAATATCCAATTGTTTGACATAACTTTTGCTAGCTCTTGTTTGAAGCTTTTTGTCCAGCGGTTTTGCATCCCAAGACACCTGTGTTAAGCAATGACCAATCAAATTTTTCCATTCGTACCTGTGCATGCGCATTTGGCACCAGGCAAACTTGAAATCGATCACATTTTTTCTGTAGTTTAGCCTTTCATTTTTGAAGTGTTTTTCAGCGTCAAAGCATGTTATAAAACTTATGAAGATGAGTATAAATAGTGTTGTCATTGTGCAAGATAGGCAATGCCGAGGCAAGAGTCATTTCCAAGATCCTTGTCGCGTGCGTTTACACCAAAACGGGAGCCATCGATTTCAGAAAGCCGAAATATCTCAGGTCTTTATCTCTAATGCAGTCCTCAGAAACAACTTCAGAGATATCTACAAAACAAAGGGTACAATTTTTTCACATTTCGTTCTCTTGTTGCAATACATTTCAAATATCAATTTTGAGCCTCCTTGATTAAAAACTGACCAGCTCTTCTCAAAGAGAACATGGGGCTTTTCAACTCATTTTTTTTTCAAATATGGTTTAATTCTAAATGGCTCTCAGTATTTTATCATTTGAATTCCAATTTTTTTTCCCGTGGACACATGTTCTATTCTCCAAATTAAGAAATTCTCATGGCTGAGCAAAGAAAGGATACGAAGAAAATACCTAAATTTATTTGCAAAGCCTCAAAAGTTGCAGGTGATCAACTGGAAACTGTTAACGAAAAGTAATGACATATAAAATAAATTACAAATTCTTCAGAGTTACATGGGGAATAATGCATGACATAGTGTTTTGAGGGTTCACAAATCGATCTTAGTTTGGGCGGGGAAAATAAGATACTGACGAACTAACAAACTTGTTTGCTTGCTTGAACTCACAGTCTCCTTAAACCTTTTACCATTTGATTGATTTTTCAATATCAACTGAGGTAAATGTCGCATATCTCATTTCTAACGGTAATTCAAACACTTTAATGCAGAATTTATCGTCATAACACCAACAAGAAATAAATAGCGGCGGGTGTTTATTCAACAACGTACCTTCCATCTTGAAAACACAAATATGTTAGTTTTTTTCTGTGCAAATATGTAGTGCAATATCATAAACAACCTATTGATATTGTTATCCGTATAACAACTCTTATCACAATTGAAACGAGTTTTATTCAAAATATTTGCCGTGCTCTTCACGGTAGACGTAAAAATCGCTGAGATTATAACGAACATTGAAATCATTATCACAGAACCCCATCAGGGGCTTGATTCAGTTCATGCTAAGTTATAAGTTAAATTAGTGGATACTTACAACTATTCAACAATGGTCCAAGAAATCTGAACTGTGGTGTGGTTGATGTTTGTTGTACATAGACTTGTTTAGGATAAAAGCGTTGTTAAAAAGAGGTTATCCATCTTATCTTATTTATTATTTCTCATGAGTAGCACACGCGAACAATACATCACATGCAAATTCGTGACACGGAACAGGTCAAACTTCAACCCATTCCTCACAGGTAACAAAAGTTTTCTTCTTCACTGATTTCCGCGCCGTTTTGATAGGGTCTGGTATTTACTCTCTCTTTACTATTTTGGCAAAAACAACTCTCTTGAATCTGTGTTGCATCGTTCACTTCGTCACCTGAGTCAGGAGTTGTTTTTTTTTCAAAAAATGTATGATTCTCTTGAGGAAGGGTACGATTTCCCACAATTTTTCCGAGCAGAAAACTCGTTAAAAATAGAATGAAGACTGTCAAAATGTCTAAAAAAGATAATAACTGGACTATAACGCACAGCACATTGCATGTATTCGGAAAAAAATCTTTATCAGCAACATGAGTGGCAATTTACAAAGCCAAGCAGTGCGGTTTTATGCAATCGAGCAATTTTCGGTCAAGTGTTGGGAAAACATTCCCGGATTGATTTGGTGTTGCTTTACTTCGCTGTTATTGGTCCGAAAAACTCGCGCCACTCTATCAACCAATCGGATTCAAAAATGAACCAAGTCTCGACTTGGTCAGTCGCGTTTTCCCGCGCTCCAAACTACTCTTCATTGGTTCCTTGTAATATTTTCGATTCCTTTGATTGGGACAGAATGGCGTTCACGTTCGCGTACGGTCCTCCAGCAGATCATAAGCAAACATCAATCAATGTGTTTGTGCAATTTAACCGTGGTGTCATCCGCCATTTTGAATTGTTATGCTGTAGTTTTGCTCCCAGATTCCCGGTTCCCTGTCCTTCGTCCTTCGTTCCCCGTTCCAAATTTCAAAAACATCTCTTCTGTAGCTACATAACACCGAGGGAAGGCTCAATTAGTTCAGACTTACCATGTCGGCAGAAAGAACGTTTGAAATTGCTGGAAACTACACAGATAACCACGTGAAAACCAAGAAACTCTTCTGCCATTTGAGCGGTCGTTCTGGTTACAGGTACGGCCAAGGGACTGGTTCTAGAAAAGTAACCAATCACACCCCTCGCAAGAATAGAAGCAAAGTTTGAATTCGTAAACAGCTAGACATTGAAATCCGATCAAGTATTCGTAAGGTGCAAAATGGTACTACAGGTACTTTTATTTTAGATTTAGCGTTTTTTCACTTTTGTTCAAGGAAAGTTACTTAGTAAGTTTGTTTTTGAATTACTTTGCTAATTAACGGCGTTATTTTAGCGTTCTTCTGTACGAAGACACGACTTTGATAGCTCGGACGACGAGGAAGACAATATTGGCGATGAAGATCTTTCACCTTTCCAAGTTGACTGGTAATTGAGTTTTATGAACCACGTGTAGGGCTTGGATCAGTCATAATAAGCATATGTCTTGCTATTTACTTACAACTTGCTGGCTTATACCGTACTTTCTTGTTGAATTGTTCAATCCATTGATCGGTACGTTTAGTATTACTGCGAGTTCTTCACTCTTGATAAATCGTACTACGAACACTTTGGATTCACAGTTTCTGTGCACTTGCTCAAATGAAATATAAATTTGTGCATTTAATTTAAGGATTGATCTTTCGTTCACTGGCTGCTGTGCAGAAATAGTGGGTATCAGTGGATTGCCAGGTAAAGTGAAAAATTATTTGGAAGCTAGCGTTATGCAAACTGCAAACAAAGGATCATCTTAAAACAGTGTAGAAATATCAAATCACACACATACACTGTTCTTATTATGTCTAAAGAACGTCCGGGTTTTTGACCGAAGCTGGACGTTAAAGTTCCCAGCTCTTCTGAATAAAGGTCTTGTATAAATAATCTTGCCTTATTTTATATGCTGGTTAAATTATCTAACTAACTCAACTTTTTTTTTCCCTTAAGGTTGCAAGTATCGTGAAACAAACAGAAATTTAGCAGTCGATATGAGTATGATTGTCATTTAATGCTTATATTACGATTTGAAATCAAACCTGACTTAGCATGATAATTATTTTGCAATTTTGTTGTTCATGCAGCCCAGTTAAAAGCTATGGACATCACAGATGTGTTTGTGTTCTGCTCTAGTAGTGAGATGGTCAGGTAATCTGCTTATAACATAACAGAAAACATGAACTGAAAGGGGCCATAAATTGTTTTACTTTTACCCAGACTATTAAATGTGATTTTCTAGTCTCATTGATTGGAATGAAACTTCCTCACCCTCTCTTTTGATGTGGCCTAAATTAATATGGCCCCCTTTCCCCTAGCACAAACAATCGTTAATTGGAGTACCATGCATTGCCTTTTCAGATGCAGAGTTCCTTCTCTCATAGATGAGTACAGTTGGGCTGGTTTTGAAGTTCATCATTTCCCTGTTGATGCAGGAGGTGTTCCAACACTGGATGAATGTAACAGTATGATTAAGCAGTTACGGCAGTGTATTAGTTTTGGACGTAAGACAATTTTACAGTAAGTATTATAATTAATAATAAATAGAAAACAATCGTTGTTACGAGCATGGTGGATATTTATCTTGTTACTTTGCAGCTCTGTAAATATCCACCACTTACTTCATCCACTTGGTGAATAGATGTAAATTGTCCTTATTAGCCAGTGGTGCTTCTTTGGAATTAATTTTCAAAAATCAATCAAAATGTTTCTAAACACAGTTGTCAAAGTTATGTTACTTAGCATAACTGACAACTCACTTTTCTAATCTGAATACAGATATTTAGTCAACAATTTAAACCCAAATCTGGTCATTTTTACAGATTTATGTTGAAGCATTATTATTATTATAATTTATTATTATTATTATTATTATTATTATTATCATTATTATTATTATTATTATTATTTTTTTGAATTCTATTGCTTACCTCTTTCTCTTTATAGCTGTGTGTCTGGATTAGGAATTTCTTGTTTAGGTGAGTTTCTTGTGTCATTTATATAGAAATTTCTACCTTTGGCCACTAATTACTTTTTTATGTTACAACTTGCTTCACCTGAGATTGCATTGGAAACTAATTTGAAAATAGTTAAGGTAACTTTTGTATCTGTTTTTATTATTATTATTGTTATTATTATTATTATTATTAAATAGAAAATTCAATTTCCTGGAAAAAATAAGTATTGACATTGCTCATTCTCATATCTGATTACAGAAAATGAAAAGTTATCTTTCAGAAACTTATCTATTAAAATTTGATGTTGAGATTTCTTAGTTCCTATTAATTTTATCACTCTTCTTCTTGGCAAACCCAGATTATAAAAGACAATGTAACTTTCAACACTACTCTACATTGATGTAATTTTTGCATTCTTCTGTATCAGTGGCAGCAATTTTGTTGTTAAGTTTGGATGAAACTCTGTCCCCGGATCATGTGATATCCAAGTTAAGACAAATCAGAGGTCAGAGAGCATTTCAAACAATCAAGGTATGTTCAAGTGAGTTTGATTGAATTACACTGAGTTTAATTTTTTTTTAGGTTGAGACCACAAATGTGGGAAGATTTCATATCTAGAGATTTTTTCTTTTTTATTTTGAATTTCTATTTGGCCTACATTGCTATTTTACCTAAAAAGTGAAGGTGATGTGTGGTTCCATCTGTCAGAAATTTTGATTAGTTGTGTGATCATGCAATTAGATCTTGGCTTAAATTATAGCAATAATTAAAAATCAAGTATGAACACCCAGCCTTCCTTTTCCTCATCCTACATCTTGACTTTTAAGTCAAAACCTCCTTCTTGTGCTGTGCCCCACCATTGTATACATTGTAAACTGCAGGGGGGGAACCTTCTAAAGCATTTTCAAGCATGTTCCAATACCAGACATAACCTTGTGTGTCAATCAATTTGAAGCTTCAACTTTCCCATTCCAGGAAGCCCTGCTGGAATTTAAACTTTTAAGGAAAACTTTGTTAAAATGCCCCACCCAAGTGCAGGATTTGATGGTCATTTCTTTTAGAAAGGCAAAATCAGCAACTGTTAGAGATAAAACATTTCTGTTTCAGACGAGAGACTTGACATTTCCAGTTCAAATTCTCCACCCCAGCAAGGCAAAATTCAACTTCCCCACCCCTTGGGCATGGACAATGGGCAAAAGCCTATGGGTTGCTGTGGGGGGGGATGTTGAAGCTTTGAATTGATAGATGCATTATTTGATGTTTTCTTTTGGTTTGGCTTTCTCTTAGGAATACAACTTTGTCCTTGAGTTTCGGGACTTATACAAGGCTCATGTTGAAAATCAGCAGAATTCTGCAGAAGCTGCACCAAGATCACTTTCAAGATGAAAGGAAATTAAATATTAAAATAAAGTGTAAATAATAATGTGTTGCATAATTAGGAATTTTGAAAAAAAGATTTTTCTCAAAGTTATAAATACAGTGTTGTCTTGTTATCTTGTTTGAATAATTCATTACAGAACAATTTTTATCGAGTGTCAAAATAATCCAGAATTGCTGTGGTTTGATGATTTATCAATAAAGGGCAAAATTACTGAGCGCTGATTGGTTGAGAGAGAGGGCATTTTTTCTTAATCGAGGGCATTTTTAGTAATCAAGAGAGGGCATGATTACCTGTTAATGATTGGCAACCGTTCGTTATCTTGAAATTTGTTAAAAATAGACTGCGCGCGTGATTTTCCTTCGTATAAATTTTGCCCTTTATTGATAAACAAGTAATCCCATGAGACCTCGTACTATTAAGGATAAATTGCACTTGAGTTTTCAAAATTTTCCAAATTGCCCTCGTCGCTTCACGACTCGGGCAATTTTGGAAAGTTTTGAAAACTCTCATGCAATTAATCCTTAATAGTACTTGGCCTCATGTGATTACATATACTAATTATGCTCTCTGATTGGTCAAAAACACTTGCACCCCATCTCAAACAATCAGATGCAAAGCTAAAAGCAGCCACATGTTATTCACTTGTGTTCACATGCACCTCAGGTAGTTTTTTTAAGCCTCAATTCACTCAAGTATTTCTTGCTTTGGAAGCCTTTGGTGTGTTTGCTTTGAGTTCTTGTTGTTTCCTTGTAAAGTTAGATTTACTTTGGTTTCAGCTTTGAGGGAAACTCAGTTGAAAAAGGCTCTATTCAACTGTAACAATTTAAAACCATGAGTCATTTCACTGAAATTTGTAGGGTTTAAGTTAAGATAAACATTAGTATATTTGCTTAAAATATAACGGTAATGAACTAATTTAAAACTAATGTAAGACAATGTTTCTGATAGGGATGTTTGAAAATGAATTTGTTGCTGTACTTGTTAATGGTTGTTAGCTAGATCTTTAGATTTAGGGACCTGTCATTATTCTTGGCAGGGGGGGGTGGGGATGAGAGGATTTTGGTTGTGTCCTAATCAAGTTTACCTGATTATCCCTTAAGGCTCTGTAGTGTTCTAATGTTCCACCTTAATTGGCAGTCAATTTTCTATAGTCTCCCTGTATACTCTGTTAGCAACCATTGATCCCATTGCTGTTCCCCCTGAAGACCATGTGGCTCTCCCAAAATCCTCCCACCCCACCCCACCCCACCAGGCAAGAGTATTGGATGTATTGTTGTATTACGTCTTTTGAAATGCGACGTTTAGAGTTTGATTTCGTTGTATATATGTTTAACATCTTACGCATGACATGTTCTGTTCTGCTTAACTCAGTCGTGATTAACTCATTCATTTTGACGTGTTTTTAACCAGTTACTATCACACAAATAAACGGTTATTGTTACTGATAAAGTAAAGTAGTTTTAAAGCTTGATATCGAAAACACATGGGAAAAAATGTGTAGATCAGTTGTGTTAATCTGCTTTGTAGCTGGATAAGGCATTTTATTCTAGCATACAATTAAAACGTCATATTAAAACATTTTCAAATGAGATTCAATAGAGTTTCGAAAATTTTACAAATTATTCCAAGATACCATTACTATTGGTTTACTGCGTTTCGTGATTGGTCTAGAAAATTCGCCGCCTCAACCAATCAAAATTCCAAAACTGAAACAAAGCGCGTCTTGGTCAATCGCGTTTTCCCGCGCTTCAGGCAATCAGCGTATTTCCTCTGTGAGTTCTCATTGGCACCCTGTGGTATTTTACTTTGCTGTGATTGGTTGTTGTGGGTACTTTGTTTTGGTTTAACGGAACTCAAAAATCTTTCACAAAGAATTGTCAAGTATGAGCATTGGTTTAGCGTCACTGCATTTCGGTTGGCTAAAAAATCCTGCGCCTTCTTCTGAACTAGCCAAATACAAAACGAACACCAATCATTAGTTAATGACCTCAATCATTCATTGTTTCCAGCGTTTTAGTTTGGATGATGAGTACTAATTAATTCTTTGGAATACCAACCTCCGTTCTATTCAATAAATCGACAGTGGTTTAACGTGGTTTTTATCCTTATCCACAACCATATTCGTCATCACAGTGGTCAAAATCTTGACTACAGACCACGCAATACCACTCACAACTGATATTTTAACAAAATATGGACGTCAAGTAAACATATTCCTTCAGCAAGTGATACGTTGCGTGACACGTTGACGTGAGCAGTGTTCAGGTTGTACTCTAATCGCTGACGGCGAACGGCAAATTGGCCAATCAGATTGCGACATTACTGTCAATTTTGGTAAAATTGTTTGTCTCATTGGCTCAATCAAGTCAACTCAATTAAGTCATCTCTAGCCTGCCACTTTTGCCTTTGAACTTTCCGTCCTAATTATAAGGCGAGAATAATATCTTACAAAGTAAACGATTTTGCAGACCTAAGAAGAGCCGCAGAGGTTAAACCACAATAATAATTTTATCGCTCCACGACTGTCATTAATTTTTTTGGGCCAGAAAAGTTATTACATCCGGCATGGGTTCGTTTAGTTCGAAGGTGTTAGCCTCCCGTGACAACAGAAGCAGTCGCCAAAGGTTTGAAACTGAAGAAAATGGTGGTGAAATGGGAGAGGGAAGAACCGAGCAACAAGATGAAATGGCGAAGGAGGATAACCAAGAATGCCCTTCCACAAGTCGTCAGGAGAACTCCCCGCCACCGAGAGTGCGGCAGTCATTTTCATGGTTAGTGGACACACCAGTGATTTTGACGACCACTGGGAAAGAGCAGAAAGCAAAAGGAAAAAAATGCACGGAAGGGAAAGAAAAAGCAAACTACGTTTTGAAATACAACAATGGAAACTATCTCAAATCTTTTGAGCACTTCACGGACGTTCCTTCGTCGAAAACGTCCAGCGCACGACAACCAAAGCTGCTAGAACCACGGGCGCCTACAGGAAAACAAATGAATGTTGAACGCTCGAGGCACGAGAAAAATAAATAAATTAAGGAGACATTGAAAGAAAACCAGGCAAATGCAAGCTTTACAATAAAAAGTGTCTTCCCGCCATCAACGAGTGCAGGCTATCGTTTTGGGTTTGGAGTTGAGCTCGTTCAACTGGCGTTGACGATGGAAAAATTTTCAGAGAAGTGTCATTAAGCCTTTAGGAAACAGAAACCAAGGGGAGGTCCGAACGGCTCGATTTTTTATTTTATTTCTGGCTTGCAGTTTTGTGCTTTGCAATGGCTAATATCATTAACAACGATTTGTGCGGAAAATTTCTAACCATGTGCCACGATAATAGACCTTGAACGTGTCGACATAAGTGGACGAAAAAAATGGAAAAACAAGAAATTTCTTTTAACAGGTGAAAAAAATGTATTCTTAGACTTTCTATGATTTATGTGCGTAAAGCTTTCAGAAATTGATAGTGTTTTAGCTGAAAACGACTTCACTATAAATTATGTTGTGGCTAGCCAGTAGTATGAATAAAATGTTTAAAAACTTTTTTTCTTCGTGTTCTATCCAGCAAAATTGTATTTCGTACGTAGCGAACACCAAAGCGATTACGAAATTTCTCCTCAATTGTGCAAGCCAAGCTGTTTAAAAATAATTACAGTTTTCACTTCTAGCCAAATAAAAGCATAGTTTGTAGTGAATTCTAGAAGTTACGTCCTGGGACGTGAAAATATTTCAAGAACCACCAGACCATGCGAGCAAGTGTTCTTATTTCTCGAGGAAGCGCGTTGGGCTTATTTTTGGGCGAAGTAACAAGAGAGGCGAACGCCGTAACTCGACCGCCTTTAGTTCTTTTTTCCTCGACCACCGACTGATGTGCTGCTACACTATTGCGCACCCCCGAAAAAGAGAGATCGCCTGATCACAAGTTAGGATCATGAGAATAACCTCAGGAAATATGATAAATGAATGAATGGAGAAATGAACAAGAAAATGAAGAATCGAATCAAACAAATTAATCAATAAGTAAATAGTCAATGATTAGAGCAGACCTGGTGCGTGAAGTTTAGGGATCGCATTTTTTTGTCTACCATCAGTAAACGGATAATCTCATCTATATCCATTCCATGTTTCTTCCCTCTTCGTCGCCAAGCGATAATTTCCCTCTCCTTGGTCACAAATCGTAGTCCGTCATGCATCTCATGCTGTGTTGCGTGACCAACAAAAAAAACGTGTGTGAGCTAAGGCCCGGCAAGAACTTTTGCATGACCTTTCTGATCACTTGAATTTATCCAACTTCAATTTGTTGAAAATTTTCTAGAATATCCATCCATGCAAACGAGCTCAGTGGAGACAGGTGAGAAGAGATCAACTTTACATTAGCATTACATCGTCACCATGACCGAGCATTACTGGGTTTCCACTTTGCTGATGACACTTCCGGTTAAACTGCCATATATGGCATTATCCCGCGAAGTTTGTTTACCTCTGCGAGGGTTTAAAATCTGAAATTTAGCTCGTGGTTGCATCAGATCGTGTTTCTACAGTAAACGATCGAAAATGTCCCTGTTTCCTAAATGGCGTATGATTTTGCCAGCTGTGCATCGCATTAGGTGAGTATTTCAACAACTGGTAGATGAATTTTTGTCTTCGCTGTCACAAAATTTATTTGTTTGATCGCAGAAGCTTGCAGATACAATCAAAATTTCCAGACTCTTCACTTTACTTCTTTAGTCTAGTCTTGGTACATTCGCCGTTGAAAGAAATCTATGAAGAATCTAACTACTCAATTTTTTTCAAGTTATTGGGAAAGAGTTGACTGAATGGCAACGTTTGACACAGTTACACGTTTTGTCCAACTTTATTAGGCATGCTCCAGAAATTTGGCCAAGTTACGATAGATTCATGCCATCGTTGTGGGAGTCATTCCATTCTCCTCTGTACAGAAAACCTGTACTTGGCACAAGTTACACATACATTGAATTCACTGAAAGTGGAGAGGGTGCAGCGAAAAAAGAAACCAAAGATGTAGGAGATGGTGGAAAGGAATCTGCAAAATCAGCTGAGAAATTTGTGGACGATCGTGAAAGTTTCAAAGTGTCCTTTGATGTTTCCAAGTTCAAGCCAGAAGAAATTACCATTCGCTCAGAAGATGGAGAGTTGTTGGTGGAAGGCAAGCAAGAGGCGAAGAACGAAGAAGGTTACTCGACACGCCATTTTGTGCGCTCATACTCCCTTCCCAGGAATATCGACCGCGATTCATTTCAGTCACGCCTTTCCAAAGAGGGAATCTTAAGCATCGAGGCAAAAAAGCTACAAAAGCCAGAGGCCAAGGACAATTTTATCAAGATCGAGACAGAGGATTAATAATAGTGAAGAAGAAAGCATGCTTCGTTTCGTAGGACAAACAAAATTAGCAGGAGGTTTAATCAAGGATGCCCTTATACTTCGTTAGCTTTCAAAAATAGGTGTAAACTGTGTTCGCTTTTCATTTTTATCCAGCCTTAGCTCAGAGACACAAACTTCTTCTTCGGATTTTTGATCATCAAATGTTTGGATGGTTTTGAATAAAATGGTAAAGAATCATTTAGGCGAAAGGTTTGTCATTCGAAAAGTGCTGACTCGTCTAGAATGCCAATTAGGGGCGGGGTAGGGTGTAGCTGTAACTGCTCGATAATTGGCCCCACTAACTGTCAAATAAGTGTAATGGTACATGTGAACTCAATGGCCTCACGCATTTTCTTGAGAGGTACTGTTCAATCTGCAAACAGGTTTGTTGACAAACCTCAAACATATCAAGTGGAAGTATTTACCTTGATCAGTGACACCAAATTCTCTTAACTAATCTGCAAGGAAATGTATAGAAGCTGGAGTGGAGAATTAACAATCAGATCTTTGAAGTTAAAAGTGTAAATTAACTCAAAACACTTACTTGAACTCCTTCTTGGAGGAGGCTGCATTGTATGTTAGCATGGCATACTTCTCTTTTCTTAAATACTAAATGCATAGCTGGATGTTAGGTGAAACAGAAAACTGAATATTAGATATCTAAAATTGCCCCGTTATCAAGAGTCTTTCATAATTAATCTCCTAAATGTAAACTCTAATACTCCTTTTGGATGTCTACACATTTGTCAGATAGTGATGAGAATTTGATTTTATCTCCAAAAGGGATATGTGTAAACCTTGGTTTAGATATTACCTTCATTCTTTTCAATTCACATTACATAACTGAAAGGAGAATTTCAGGGTTTATTACACCCATTTTGAAATCACTGGTGGTCCCTGTAATCTGATTGGCACTAATTGGTGCAATTTATTCTTGAATTACACCATTTTTTGTTTTAAATCACATCTTTTTCCCAGCCAATGAGGAGGCTACACTAAAAACAAAACAACCAATCAGATTTCAAGGTTTACTGAAAATAACTAATCAAATTGCAGGAAAATGAAAGACAATGAGTATCATGAGGCAAATTTTGCAACTTTTGTTTCCAAAAGTCTTATTTTTTCCCCCAAAAAAATGGATGAATTTAATTTCAAACCAGCTCAGTACTACATTGAACTGACCAAGTCCTGTACTTTGGCGATTTCAAAATGGATGTAATAAAGTGATAACTGAACCTTGTGTTGGGCAGTTTTGGTCTGAAATCATACTTATGGTTTCAAATCGAACTCATGCTACGCCCTTGTTCAATTTTGAAATTATGCATGTGATTTCAGCCCATATTGCATTCCACTCGTTTCAATTACCATTATAAATCATTCTTAAATCAGAGCGGATTACACAAGTAATTCTGAAGAACTGATATTCTTTCTGAAGCAGTGAAAGCAAACAATGATCAAGAAAGACGACTTCATCTCCATCAATTTAATTTCATTTGAAAAGCTTGAGAAGCAAGAGTTGAAAGCAAGCATGTTTGGAAGATGCACATATGCTACTTGCATATGCATGCCTGATATGGTGAAAAACTCATTCTGTCCTTTCTTGTAGTCTACTTTATCGGCTGATATTGGATTACATTCAACACTCATCATTTGTAGTTATAAATTAAAATTGTCTGTTTATCACAGTGTTCACCTTGATGTCTGAAACATTACTTTTTCTTACATCTTGACCCTTGTAATAATAACCTTTTATAAATAAAAATTAGTCCTCAGCTATCTAAATTTAAATAAATATAACAAGCAACCCACAAAAATCCTGAATATCAACAATTTGGTAGTCATTGCAAACTCGTGCATTTAACCAAATGGTGTATTTTAGAAACCTATAAGTCCCATGTAAAGTTCACCCAGATATCCTTAAATAACATTGCTAAGAGTCTGGAATCAAGATGTTGCCTGCCTTCTTTTCCAAATGGTGGCATGTGCTACCGACCACTGGTTTTCACAAGCATTTTCTCTGATGAGGAAAGGCATTAGCTTATCTTCAATCAGCTCAAAATTTGGACCCAGGTAACTCTTCAAATTGTCAAATCCTGTGACAATCTTTCCATCTGCATCTTTATAGCCACCAAGCCAAAGACTCTATACTCACAAAAAAAGAAAAAAAAAGATGTATCAAGATACCTGTGCTCAGTGATGTTCAGGGTTGTAATTAGAAGTCAGCAGTTTGAGTAAACCTGCCAGCTGGAGCTATCAGACCATTTTGCACTGGCTCAAAGGCAGAAAATAAGTACTATCTGAACTAATTCTAACATCAATATCTGGCTGAAAAAAAAGTTACTCAAATATGACCCTGAATGCTGGAAATCACATTCCCCAGACCCTCCTAGGAGGGCATGTTGCCAAGCAACATGCCATCTTTACTATGCAAGCATCATTCAATTCAGCCACCCTCAGTTCAGCGCATTTTGTAATGACAATCCTGGTTTGTAATCATTCATCCTTCCCATAATGTTATTATTTGACTACAAAGAGCTAGTTTTGATGTTTCTACAATACATTATGGTTACAATGTCACAGATACAATCTACCAGCAGAGTTCTCAACAAACCAGCTCCATTACATTCTTTTTCAAGAAAGGACAAAAAAAGGAAATTTGACTTATGTTTTTCGGCAACAAAGTACTGATGACCACACTTCTATAAGTGCTTCTGAATCAATGATCTTACCCATTGATGTTTATAATTGAGTTAAGGAGGTAATTACTTTAAATCAAACCATGGAACTTGGAGGCCTGTATGCCTCGTGGTGAGTTCTAGATCATAAAGTCACCTATTACTAGTACTAAATTTGTGCTCTTGAGGAGCTCAAAATCCTTTCTTTTCTCAGTATCTTATACTGACAGTATTTTCAAATTGTCCATGGAATGTGTAAAATGCTAGTTTTAACCTACAAACAAATTATCTTCTAGTTCTTAAAAATATTACCTTAGGTGTAAACTTCTCTAACCATGAATATGGTGATGTAATGACCAAAACACCTCCAGGTGCCACTAAAAATGGAAGCCTATCTAAGAACTGATAGGGATTAGGAAGACGGCAAACTAAATTTGCTGCCAGAACACAGCCAAACTGTCCAAGATCACTGGGCAAATTGCAGGCATCTCCTTGATAAAAAGATAGACGACTTCTATCCTGGTAAAAAAAAAAAAAGAAAAAAAAAGATACAAAGTTGTGGCTAATGTCACACACCACATACATCACAACTACTCCTTGGGAAATAAGCAAGACAAACACAAATTATCACTTTGATACCAGCTGGTAAATATGCTCCTGTGACCTTTGCATCTACCAACTTTATCTAACCCTTTCCACCCTAACATCAGTATGCATATTCTCCTTACTGTTCTCCATACATTTCTAAAGGTGCTAACATGAGACTTTACTTCATAATCAAGAGCTTCTTTAGTTGGTGATCAATTCCTTTATTCTTATAATTGTGATGTGTTATTCATGGGTGATATTGTAATGAAAAATTAGATGCTTGTCACTCTTAGGTATCAAAGGGTTAAGGAACCTCCTTTTAAGGGACAATTGCACATTCTAGAAAAAGGTTCCTAAGTGCTACCTACTGAAAATTTTAGCGTTTAACGTTAACGTTTCCTATACCCCACTCCCCCCTGATTGCTTTCTAAAAAAAAACAACAACAATGCTGTGCCAATACAAAAAAAATGAAATGAAATAAATTAAGTACTGTGTGTAAAATGATCATTTCACTAACATCCAACCAATCAGATCTTATGATTGGTCAATATTATATCTTAGTATTTCCCCAGCTAATACAAAGTAGAAACACCTACATTGTTGAGATGACTTTTCTCACTTGTAACCCCACTGAAACAAACATTGTACAACGTGACTTACTTACAATGTCAAGATCAACCTCAGCGACATGTTTAGACACAAGACTTCCTTCAGTTTGGACAGAGTACTCCAATCTTCCATAAGTCTTGAGTTGATTGCAGGCATTAATAAAACCATGGGAAAAATCAATTCCTACAACTTGATCAAACCTCTTGGCTAATTCAAATGAAGATCGACCAACAGCACATCCTATGTCGAGAGCAATGCTCGGCACATTATCCTAAAGAGATCGAGATTTAATAGTTTAATCACTTTTTAGCGAACATACAATAAAGAAAGAATTCAAATTTAGTCAGATGTTATGGTCTTTTCCTCCAAAGCTGAGGTTGTAAGAGGACCATCCGTACATGAGAAACACTTAATTCTACAGTGTGGAAATAAGGAGTTAGTTGCCGCACTTCATCTACGTGCAGTGGCCAGAATTCAAATTACTTTGACATACCTTAAACTTTACATTCGAAATTCCGTGCAAATTATTGCGAAATAGAATTAAAATTTACGTTCATTAGCATATTCTTTACTTGTACAGTGAAAAATTTACGATTGTTAACTCACCCCAATATGTTTAATACACTCCAACGCACATCGCTTGGGAAAATCAAGAGAGTCATGAGGACCAAAGCCATATGGTAACAGTTCATCTGGTTTGCCAAAGTGGAAAATAAGATATTCGCCGAAAAATTTTTCTGTCTCATACACGTTATCGTGCGCTTCGCATCTATTGGAAAGATAACGACAAGCCAGTAACGTCAGAGCAGAAGCACCTAGCGCGCTAGCCGAGGCAATCATAAGACTTTTCTCCATAATTGGTAGAAACTTGAAGAAGTATTACAGATTAATTCGCCGAAGTAAACGACCTGACGTAGACAAGATCTCCGATTTGGTGCTCGGGTGAACAGGTCATCGCCTAGGGCAAGTGCACTCTACCAGAGCTAATTTTTAAGCGAATTTTTAAGCGAATGAGGGCAACGGAAATGGCAAATGGCTATAAAAGGAGTTGAAAGTAATATTTTATTGGTGGCACGTTAAGAGACTTTTTTCCTCTAGAAGTAGCAAAACAACAGATATGGTATGGGTTAGGAAATCTCAATAAAGCAATTGAATGTTTCTGACTAACTAGCTAACTGAATACATGTACTACGTTTAAAGCGTTTCTTAGCCTGTTTCAGGCACAGAGCGAAACAGTAAATGGTGGTAAATACTTGCAGCCGATTCGCGCTCTGCTACTTTATTGCGCATCCGCCAAAAAAGGCACGCCCTATCACAGTTTACTGACAGCGTAAGTGATCGGGAAGGAAAAGAACAACGTGGGGGAGGTGGTTGCGTTGGGGCGTCATTTCTCTCTGAAGAACATTTTCTTTTCCAGGTTCTCCGACATTTCAATTTAGATATGACTGATATAACGCATCGACTTCTGCCACAAGTTCGGGCACAAGTCTCCTTCAGCTTGGACAGTGTAGACTAATTTTTCATAGTTCTTAAGATAGTGACATGAATTTATTCAACTTTGTGAGAAATCGACCACAGTATTGTGCAAAAGTAACGCAAGCGAAATGCCCGAATTTCGTCTTTTTTTCTCGCGAACTTTCTTCGAAATTTCGTGCGAAAGTTCGAATGACAATTCGAGGCTTTTTGAGCGAATTTTCTGATGAACAAAGAGCGCTATTTCGTCGAATTTTCGCTTCGAAGCGAAAGTTCGGCGAAATTATCAAGAAGCTAGACATCAGCAAACAAATCCCTCGAGAAAGAAAACTTTCCATCGGGTTGAAAATGTTTTAAAACAATTGGTTCATACATCAGCTGTGCGTTCATCGAGATATGAAGCACTTAGGAAGTTTGGAGAGCACTCAAGAAGCTAAAGTTGCTCTCGGCTATGCCTCGAGCAACTCTTACGCATCTTTCGTGCTATCCAAACTTCCCGCATGCTTCATATCTCGATGAACACACGTTGACATATGAACGAATTGTTAATTAATAGTATTACCAGCACTTAATAAAAGTAAATGCATTGCGGCAATTATTACATTGAATTCAGAAACTTAGAATCGACCAATTGCCACAAGCTATATGATTATTTATAAAATAGGCCTTTCACTGATATTTTTGTTGTAGGAGGTCAAAGGCAGAGGATTGCCCGTTGAACAAAGAGCGCCATTTCGTCGAATTTTCGCTTCGAAACGTAAGTTCGGCGAAATTTCGCGATAAAAAGCTTCGGTTTATTGCCTACTGCTCGAAATTTCGGGCTGGACAGACTAAATCGTTTACCATGCGATTTTTGCGATCTATCATTCAAATAACGTTCACGAAATACACGACAGGTCCTCGGCTGAAGTTTTAAAGTCACGAATACAAACGATGAGAAATAATCGCTTAACTTACCAAGAATAAAGACTTTAAGTTTGGTTTTATATCAGAAAAGACAAAACATAAGATTGTTCTGATCATTGTCATCAGATGCTGCTGTAATAGTAAATTTTCTACATCGCTTTTGACTCCAATGGACAGCACACACGTTTTTGGCCGATATGGTATCCGAATGTTTCTTTTAGTTTTCGCAGATTACGTTCACACATGAACAAATTTGAATTCCGTCATTAACGTGGGAAGTTTGGATAGTAATATGAAAGAGGATTCAAAAACTTACTTTGCAGGCAAGAGAGACCTAGCACCGTTTGGTACCCTTATTCTAATTCCACCTTGACGAAAACCTTCCCCATTGTTCGAATGATCTTTTTTATTTTCCTTGCAGAGACAAATAAATCCGATGTAAGTTGCATCACGATTATTCCGACTGGTCGCTAAATTCGATGTTGAATCCCAAAAGTCAGTTACAAATACTTCTCTGCCTTTATTCATTGACTAATTACAGTAAATACAGAAACTAATGAGCAAAAACGAAACAAATGGCATCGATCCTAGTTTGGCCTGTTCTTGCGGAGGTTTTGGCATCGTTTGGCAACGCTTGTCTTGCACTGAATGCGTAGGCGGTCGTCGGCGCCGCGGCACTGATATGCGAATGATGTCAGTACCTCAGCTGAAAATAATCTAGAAAAGAAGTGTTACTTCATGTTTTTTGACATGTCGGCGGGGTTTTCAAGCAGACGTTTTTAAATCGTCGACACCAAATTGTCTATTGACTTGGGTGCGTATTCCAAATGTTGAAAATGTTATAATACAATTGGTTCATACGTCAGCTGTGGGTTCATCGAGATATGAAGCACTTGGGGAGTTTGGAGAGCACTCAAGAAGCTAGAGTTGTTCTCGGCTACGCCTCGAGCAACTCTTACGAATCTTTCGTGCTCTCGAAACTTCCCAAGTGCTTCATATCTAGATGAACGCACGCTGACGTATGAACCAATTGTTAATTAGTAGTCCATAAGCCAAATCTCGAAAGAGGCCTAGAAATTGAGTTTCGTAGCACCCCCAGGAGACATAGTGAATTTGGTATCAAATTAAAGCTTAGGACCTATATTTTTAGAATCTACTTGTTTTCAAACCGTTAACGTGTGTTATAATGAGATATTGGGCTGCTTCCATGGGGGATGGGGTGAGGAGAATTTGCTTACTATAGTCGTGGTGAGAAGAAAAATGGTCCATACCTCTAACAAACATCAACCAAATTGGTTCAAATTTGCGAGATATAGTTGTTATATCATAAGCTACCCAAATGTGTTATCAAACCTGTAGTTTTGGTTGCCATGGCAACAGGCACCAGTCAAATACTGCTCGGTTATGAAAATGTGTGGTTTTTCGAATACAAGATGAAATTCTATATATTTAACTCAAGTTCGATTTCTTGATTTCTAGATTTCTTCTAGCTAACAAAACGACGTTTTCAACTTTTTTGGAATGCAAATGTTTACCACAAACCATATAAAATAATGACTTTAAGTTGAAAAGAGTCTTTTATTGCAAAAGTCGTCTTAGAGGAAGCAGTTTTACAGGCTTTACTTCATTGACGATCTGATAGTATCAAATCAGCTAAAACGGATTTGCTTCTTTAATTGCATTTTTTGTGGCAAACTAATTAAGTTACGATTGTCAAACGTTTTGCTTTCATTCCAAATGTCAGTTCCTCGTTATTCAAAACCTAACACAAAAAGTTAACGTTGTCTTCTTAAGAATGCTGCTTCAAAGAGATCTGTAAGTACTGAGCCGATAATGACGATAATTTTTACTGCCTAATGAGTTAGAGATAACATAGATCAAGCCAGCTTCTAGGAAACGTTCAGCCAGTTTGAACTTGTGGCCCAACTGGAAAAGTGCCTTTGTCATGTGGCAGAAAGTAGCGGGAAATGAACCTTGTTTACGGAGAAAAGCCGGGAGAAGTTTGAGAAATGCTCTTTGAGACGAAATGACCACATCTGGCTACAATGATGAACCACTGGAGAGAGGAACCCAAAGGAGGGTACCACAGGCAATGTTACCAGAGTTATACTAATGTAGGCAACATATCTAGGATCGAAGGGACTGCTAACAAGGCCGCGCCTGCATCTGCTAATCAAGAAATCGCTGCAGACGAACCAAGTAAAGAGCCACCAGCAAAACGCTTCCATAGATCTCATGTTCAGAGATTTGATATTGATAAATGCATCATTTGCCAAGTGGAGAAATGTAAACGTGGAAAGGGAGCGAGATCAAGGGAAGCTCTAACCCAGAATATCAGCGAGTATGGCAGTGCATTCCTCCTCAGAGCAGCTGAGATAAGGGGCGACAATCGTGTGCTACCGCAGATAAAAGGACAAGATTGTATTGCTCGCGAGATTAAATACCACAGATCGTGCTAAAAGAATTATGTTCGCCTTGAGGCACTAACAAAGCTCGAAGCTCAGCAAAGCGAGGCTACAGCAAAGTATTTAGCAAATTGTGTCATTATCTTCAAAGGGAAGTCATTATTAAAACAAGAATCCTCAACATGATAGAACTTGTTGGAAAATTTGTTTCACACCTAAACGAGGAAGGCTTAAACATCAGTGACTACAGGTCATCAAAGCTCAAGCAACGATTGAAAGGAGCATTTGGAAAACAGTTAGACTTTCGCAAGCCTTCTGATCCTAGCCAGCCGGAGCTTGTTTATAGCGCCAATGTTGAGAAGGGAGAAATCTTCGAGTCTTTGGTTTCGCAATCAGATATGACAGATGGTGGGTTAGAGTCTGGAGCGGAGGAGATTGATGAGCAAGACCCAAGAGCCAGGAAGGACGTTGCACATCAGGTTTATCACGCGTCAAGTAAGTAGCTTCAAAGTAATACGTTCTAGTGATAATATGGAGGTAAGAAAACGAAAAACGCAAAGCACCTTTTCGAAAAATAACGTTTTGCAAAGTAGACAAAGCACTGCTTCGCTTCGTTCGTTTTTTCACAAACTCTAGTACACAGTGTAACGCCACACTGCGACAACCGGAAATAGTTTCGTTTTCCATACCCGTAGCCCCCTCTCGCCGCGCTTTTTATTAAATTTTTTTCTCACGCCCAGTCTTTCGCGCTGCGCCCCAACTATAAACTGAAAGTCTGGAAGAGGCTAGCCATACCGGAAAAAAAATACAACTAAATTGTTATTTTTTAAGTGTGAGTGCATTTATTTTATTCATTTTACCACTTTAAGGTAAAGGAAGCTGAAATTTGACGATTTCCCTAAAAAAAACAGGGTCTTAGTTTTCCGGGTCTTAGGTGTTAGCTTTAAGGACACCCGAATTCCCTCGAAAAGCCACGAAAAGTCAGGAAATTCGTCGAAGTTCGTTTGTGTTACTTTTGCACCTAAAGTTCAACCAGATATCCTAAAACAACATTGCTAAGAGTTTGGATTCAAGGTGTTGCCTGCCTTCTTTTCCAAATGGTGGCATGTGCTACAGTCCACTGGTTTTTACGAGCAGTTTCTCTGATGAAGAAAGGCATTGGCTTATCTTCAATCAGCTCAAAATTTGGACCCAGGTAACTCTTCAAATTGTCAAATCCTGTGACAATCTTTCCATCTGCATCTTTATAGCCACCAAGCCAAAGATTCTGTACTCGCAAAAAAAGAAAAAAGTCGACGTATCAAGATACCTGTGCTCAGTCATGTTAAGGTTGTAATTAGAAGTCAGTAGTTTGAGTAAACCTGCCAGCTGAAGCTATCAGACCATTTTGCACTGTCTCAAAGGCAGAAAATAAGTACTATCTATCTACTATCTATCTAACATCAATATCTGGCTGAAAAATAAGTTACTCAAATATTATCCTGAATGCTGGAAATCACATTCCCTAGACCCTCCTAGGAGGGCATGTTGCCAAGCAACATGCCATCTTTACTATGCAAGCATCATTCAATTCAGCCACCTCAGTTCAGCACATTTTGTAATGACAATCCTGGTTCAGTATCATTCATCCTTCCCATAATGTTATAATTTGACTACAAAGAGCTAGTTTTGATGCTTCTACAATACATTATGGATGCAATGTCACAGAAATAATCTACCACCTGAATTCTCGACAAACCAGCTCCATTACATTCTTTTTCAAGAAAGGACAAAAAAAGAAAATTTGACCAATTTTTTTGGCCAACAGAGTAATAATGACCACACATCTATAAGTGCTTCTGAATCAATGATCTTACCCATTAATGTTTAAAATTGTATTAAGGAGGTAATTAATTTAAATTAAACCATGGAACTTGGAGGCCTGTATGCCTCGTGGTGAGTTCTAGATCATAAAGTCACCTATTACTAGTACTAGATTTGTGTTCTTGGGGAGCTCAAAAATCCTTTCTTTTCTCAGTATCTTATACTGACAGTATTTTCAAATTGTCCATGAATGTGTAAATGCTAGTTTTAACCTACAAGGCTAACTTTAGACAAATTATCATCTAGTTCTTAAAAGTATTACCTTAGGTGTAAACTCCTCTAACCATGAATATGGTGATGTAATGACCAAAACACCTCCAGGTGCCACTAAAGATGGAAGCCTATCTAAGAACTGATAGGGATTAGGAAGACGGCAAACCAAATTTGCTGCCAGAACACAGCCAAACTGTCCAAGATCACTGGGCAAATTGCAGGCATCTCCTTGATAAAAAGATAGACGACTTCTATCCTAGTAAAAAAAAAAAAAAAAAAAAAAAAAAAAATGACACAAAGTTGTAGCTAATGTTACATACCACATACATCGCAACTACTCCTTAGGAAAAAACTAAAGACAAAACGCAAATTATCACTTTGATACCAGCTGGTAAATATGCTCCTGTGACCTTTGCATCTACAAACTTTATCTAACCTTTATATCCTAACATCAGTATGCATATTCTCCTTACTGTTCTCCATACATTTCTAAAGGTGCTAACATGAGACTTTACTTCATAATTAAGAACGTCTTTAGTTGGTGATCACTTCCTTTATTCTTATAATTGTAATGTGTTATTGATGGCTGATATTGTAATGAGAAGTCAGATGCTTGTCACTCTTAGGTATCAAAGGGTTAAGGAACCTCCTTTTAAGGGACAATTGCGCATTCTGGGAAAGGTTCCTAAGTGTTACCTACTGAAAATTTTTAAAGTTTAACATTTCCTGTACCACTATGTGTAAAATGATAACTTCACTAACATCCAGCCAATCAGATCTTATGATTGGTCAATATTATACCTTAGTATTTCCCCATCTAATACAAAGTAGAAACACCTACATTGTTGAGATGACTTTTCTCAAACCCCTCTGAGACAAACATTGTACAATGTGACTTACTTACAATGTCAAGATCAACCTCAGCGACATGTTTAGACACAAGACTTCCTTCAGTTTGGACAGAGTACTCCAATCTTCCATATGTCTTGAGTTGATTGCAGGCATTTATAAAACCATGGGAAAAATCGATTCCTACAACTTGATCAAATCTCTTGGCTAGTTCAAAAGAAGATCGACCAACTGCACATCCTATGTCGAGAGCAATGCTCGGCACATTATCCTAGAGATCGAGATTTAATAGTTTAATCACTTTTTAGCGAACATACAATAAAGAAAGAATTCAAATTTAGTCAGATGTCATGGTCTGTTCCAGATGTTGTAAGAGAACCATCCGTACAAGAGAAACACTTAATTCTACAGTGTGGAAATAAGGAGTTAGTTGCCACACTTCATCCACGTGCAGTGGCCAGAATTCAAATTACTTTGACATACCTTAAACTTTATATTCGAAATTCCTTGCAGATTATTGCGGAATAGATTAAAATTTACGTACATCAGCATATTCTTTCCTTGTACAGTGAAAAATTTACGATTGTACTCACCCCAATATGTTTAATACATTCCAACGCACATCGCTTGGGAAAATCAAGAGAGTCATGGGGACCAAAGCCATATGGTAACAGTTCATCTGGTTTGCCAAAGTGGAAAATAAGATATTCGCCGATTAATTTTTCTGTCTCATACACGTTATCGTGCGCTTCGCGTCTCTTGGAAAGATAACGACAAGCCAGTAACGTCAGAGCAGAAGCACCTAGCGCGCTAGCCGAGGCAATCATAAGACTTTTCTCCATGATTGGTAGAAACTTGAAGAAGTATTACAGACTAATTCGCCGATGTAAACTACCGGCACGTGGAAAGGTCTCCGATTTGGTGCTTAGTGACCAGGTCATCGTGTAGGGGAAGTGTGCTCCACCGGTGTCACAGTGATATGTGTACCCCCGTGATATGTGTACCCCCGCACACATATCACTAGTGATATGTGTACCCCTGGTAGGGATACACAAAACACTGAAGCTTTGCACCCGGGCCTTTTTACACATATCACTGAACGGCGATCGCAGTGATATGTGTATCCCCTGACTAACTCGCTGTCGTCTGTCAATTTGGAATCAATAATACACTTACTAGCCATATATAAGCTTAGCTAGTAATTTGCTGGACAGACAAAAGCGCTTGCTTTACCAAGGGATACACATATTGACTGCGATTGCCGCGATATGCGTATCCACATTGTATCCCCAAGATGTATTGGTGATACACATATCACTGAACGGCGATCGCAGTGATATGTGTATCCCCTGACTCGCTGTCGTCTGTCAATTTGGAATCAATGATACACTTACTAGCCATATATAAGTTAGCTAGTAATTTGCTAGAAAGACAACAGCGCTTGCTTTACCAAGGGATACACATATCACTTACTACGATTTCCGCGATATGCGTAACCCCGAGATATGTTGAGGATACACATATCACTGAACGAGAGATCTCAGTGATATACGTATCCCCTGGCTAGTACGATGTCGTCTGTGTACTTTTTAAATTTGTCAATGACACATATGATTGGGAATCAATAAAAATTGCTGTCAGTTGGTGAAATATTTCATGCACTTACGTACTAGCCAGTAAAGGAGCTAGTAGCAAGTAATTTCAGTGCTAGACAGGCGACAAAGCCGATACGATTGTAGTCACCAGTGATATGTGAATCCCTAAGATATATTTTTGTTTAAATGACAATTTCGATTCCTTTATATTTCCAATAGATTGTTTGATGTTTGCTACTGGCCCATAAGAACTGTCGGACTCGCGAGTCGTGTCTTTACAGTTCTGATTGTGGAAGATGGTTCAGTGAACGATTTGCGTCCATTAACACAAGTTAGCCGTAATTATTTATTTTTTGGAGGGGAGGGGGGTGGGGGATACACATATCACTGGCCGCCATCTTGGAGGGGGTACACATATCACTAGTGATATGTGTGCGGGGGTACACATATCACGGGGGTACACATATCACTGTGACACCGGAACTGATGTTTCAAAAAAAGCGAATGAGGGCAACGGAAATGGCACATGGCTAAGAAGAGTTTAAAGTTCTATTTTATCGGTGGCACGTAACGACAACAAAACAACAGATGTAGTATGGGTTGGGAAATAATTTCGGCTCCATGTCGGCGGTTAGTCGCAGGCAGAAGACCAAACGAAGGAGCATCGATACAGTACACTAGTAACAATATTTTGTGATTCACCTCGGTATCGCTTGTGTCGAATATGTAGTATCGCCATCTCCCTATCCTTATTTTAAGGCCTCCTAGTGATATTCTTGAAGGATCACGAAGCCTTTTGGCTTTGGCTGGCCAGGCTAACTTGAGTATTTCAGTTTCATCTAACCAGGTGAATTCGATTTGCGTGTAGAAATAAAGTTTCGGCAGAAAATGGTTTATTGAAACTGAAGTGTCGGTGCCTTTCCATTTTCTTTGTGTGCAGGTGATGAAGAGCTTTTTCCCGAAATTTTCAACACGGTAAATTTCATCGATATGTTTCATTCCCAATTTCTTGCTTTTATCTAGAACTGAACTTCGCCCCAAATGTGCCCACATTTTCTTTTATAAATCCTGTATTGTTGTGGTGTTTTGACAAGAATAGAGAGCTGGATTTACCTGTCGGTTTCTTCGTTCAAAACGATGTCCTGGATCTTTTGTTTTTGGCGGGTAACAAAAACGTCGTCTCTGTAGCGGAAGTGTGTTCTTCTGGAAGTGACATTTTGAGCAACTGAAAAATATATTGGGAAGCATTCGTATTTCCTTCTGCTAGAAATGATTATTAGGTCCTTTTCTAGGGATTTCTGAGTTAAAAAGTAAACGGTAAAAAGCCGAATATAACTAACCAGCCAGATGTAAATAGTACACTCTTTATATAACAATTTTTATCCCAATTTTATTACTTCCGGGGATGTAGCTCAGTGGTAGAGCGCCCGCTTCGCATGCGGGAGGCCCGGGGTTCAAATCCCCGCATCTCCAGGACAAAATCACCGAAGTGATTATTTTCTTTATTTTGAAACTTAATTCTTTTTTTCTAATTTGGAATTATCGCTCACAAGCAAAGTATCTTTATCATTCTTTCTGTTTTCGACTGGAAACGAAATCATCTAATTTTAGCTAAGGAAGATTTTCTTACTCTGAGGTGTCAATCAAACACTGTTAACGATTCACACCCTAACATTAATATCTAAATTCTCCACACTTTTCTCAATTTGTTTTCTATGATACTGTCTGGGAGAATTTATTGGACAGTAAGGAGCTTCCTGGATTGGTGATCATTTCCCTTATTTTCGTGACCTTAGTGAGTGATTCAAGAGTGATATTGTAAGAAGAAACTAGTGCTGTTAATCTTATGGGATAAAGGATCGACAATAATAATTATTTACCTTGGTTCAACAACTTTATTAGCATTGCTTATACCAACAGTATATTGCCTATTGCATCAGTAAAAAAGAGGATAAATATCACAAATATGACTAATATCACAAAATTACTCGATTACATAACAACACAGCTAGGGTCTGGGAACCAATGACTACGATGTTCTCTTGCTATAATCATAATCAACCAATCAAATTCCTCTTTATGCAGCCAAAAAAAATTAACTCACAATCAGAGCGTTTCCCTTGATGTAATCCACATCACTTACAAGGGAACCTTTGTTCCCACAAGATGTGGAACACCAAAGGTCCGGTTCAAACGTCGAACTTTTCATGTGCCGAACCGAGTATTAGTTTGGGTTGACCCAAATAATTAAGTTCAGCGGTTGATTTAAACATGAAACCTAATTAGTCAAACTTAATTGGTTCTTTAAGTGTTTTCTTTCTTCTGATTGGACACTTAACTTTGTTTTAAATTTGGCTTCACAACCCTTCAAAATGTGGAAAAGTGTCCTAATCCAAGACCATTTTTTTTTGAGGTAGACATTTTGAAAAGTGTTCTCTGATATACCAGCTAGAAAGACGGCCTCTCTATTGCTATCTATTGAAAAAAGAAAGAGGTGGGGTGGGGTAGGACTTGAGTGTTTATGATGCAGTGAAACCCATTATAAAACACAAAGGCAAATTGAGGAGGAAAACGTTTATTTTAAAAATCTCACACCCAATTGCCCTACAGAGCAACTATTACAGTAATAATTGACTTATTTACCAAGGTTTTCAGTTAAATACATCTTATTAAGAGTCTTGATTTCCATACAAATCCGTAAATTATCATGTTATCAAAGATGCAATTGCAACCCAAGGATAATTTTCTTTTTGTATGCGAAGTGGTACCAAAACTAATTTTACCAGGAGAAAATGTTTAACTTAATACAAAAATGCATATTACACTCACCAATTTTGATTGATTTGATACTCATTTACAAAAAATTAGTTAAATATTTTTGCTGCTACATTTTTTTAAGAGTAACATGAACCCTATAATTTACGAATATACCACAGTGGAAAATGACAATTTGGGTGACAAAGTAATCTGGCTTTAAAGCCATCCACTCAATAACTCCCAATATCTGTTAATCCTCCCTCCTTGCTACAGCACATTTCCTTGTAAATTAGCTATGAGAATTTGATGCTAGATCAAGATAACTTCTACCTGATAGGTTTGAGTTTTCTTGTTACTTGTTTGCAGGATGGTGTTTGGATATCAAGAGGAGATGTTACATGCTAATAACATCACTTCTGGGAGTTACAGGGTAAATCACAACTCAGAGGAGAAAGTCACAAAGTAACAGTCCAAAAAAGCTTTTGTTTGACAGATAAATCAGAACAGATGTACCTCAACATTACATAAATGATGTAACTTGAAGCATTAACTCACAAACCAGTAAAATGATTAAAACAAGAAAAAAGACCACTGTTTGGTGGCCAATGGCATAAGGGCAGCCATGGACACATTAATTGTATGCCCAAGCTTAATTACCTTTTAGTTTTTAGCTTGACTCATCTTTACTTAATCTCACCATCATTTATTATCATTTGGTTCTTTCCAGATCTCACAACTTTTCACCATACAAGTCACAAATGATGTAAGTCAATGCTAATAACCTGAAAAGAGCCTCTTACAGTTCACTGAAGTGCAATAGTCTGCTTCTCAACCAACTTTCGAAACAAACCATCTGGCTCAGCCATCAATTCCATATAGGATCCAGCCTCAGAGATTTGTCCATCACTCAACACAACAATATTGTCAGCATTTTTGATGGTTGACAGTCGATGTGCTATAGTTATGACTGTACGACCCTTCATTAACCTCTCCAAAGCCTCTTGAACCAAGTGTTCACTCTCTGCATCCAGGGCACTAAGATGAAAGAAAAACTGTGGTTTGAGCTGTGGTGTGACACATAATTTCATGAAAGTACAGTCTACTAGCCTTCTGAAAGCAATCTCAGTGTCAATTGCTATGATAGTAGAGACAGGGCAATGGAAGGCACAAAGGAAGAAAAACAAAGTTGCAAGGCACATGAAGAGCTAGTTGAAGGAATCAAATTTGTCATTCTCAAAAGAGAAGGGTTTGATATTACTAAAAAAAAACTCTTAAGTTATGAAGTTGAAAGTTTCATGATAGGCTTGGATGTTATTACTGATTACTCAATAAAGTACATATACCTTGTGGCCTCATCAAGCAGCAGGATGGAAGGGTTCTAAAATAAACAAAAAAATGGATTGTTCACAGATATGAAAATAAAAGACCACATCATGAACACAACAATTAAGTATTAAAACTATTTAATGATGGTCTTCATTACCTTCAAAATTGCTCTTGCAATAGCAATCCTCTGCCTTTGACCTCCTACAACAAAAATATCAGCGAAAGGTCTAAATAATCATATGGTTTGTGGCAATTGGTTGATTCTAAGTTTCTGAATTCAATGTAATAATTGCTGCAATGCATTTACTTTTATTAGGTGGTGGTAATACTATTAATAGTATATAGTTCATTGCTGCTATAAATGATTACTAATTACACCCTAAGTCTTACTAAGTCTGATCTGGTCCTACTTGACCAAGTTTACTCCCCATCAGTTAAGGGCCCAAACACAAACATTGAGGAAAATTGGCAAGAAATATAAAAGGTGAGATTTGGCAAAAAATACTGCATTTAACTATATTTTGGCAATCTGTACTCTGATAAGAGCTTCCCTCAAGGCTGGTAATTGGACCAATCACAGTGCTTGCAGTTATCGATAGTTGTAGTAAAATTATTTATTCTGGGACTAAAAGTGTGAAAAATTATCTATGTTTCTGACCTGAAAGCATTTGTCCCCTTTCTCCAACAACAGTGTCAAATCCATTAGGAAAGCTCTTGATGAATCCATAAGCATTGGCTTGCACAGCAGCATCCAAGATGTCATCATTAGTCACTTGCTGACCTGTATTAGCTCCATATGCAATGTTGTCCGCAATTGAACATGAGAACAGAATAGGTTCCTTGAGAGAAATCAATCAAATTTAAAATTACAGTCTCACTTGGAGGTTTACACATAAATGATTCTTAAAAAGTTCTTAGTGGCTGGAAAAAAAAAAGGGAACTAACAAACACTTAGAAAAGTACTCTGAGTGGCCTATAAACCGTACATTTTACCAAAAATTTGAATATCTAAATAAGTTATCTCATGGTTGTTTAGTGTCATCAACTAAATTACCCTGTTATACTCTCTCACCAACGCAGCACCACAGTTTCTTTAGAAACTTACCCCCTTTATATCATGGTTGGATGTAAGGTTACAAAGCGATAATACCGGCAGTACAAAAAGATGGATGATCAGGAAGAGGAATGGTATATTTAATATCAAACTCAAACTTATTGTACAACACCTGATGAACTGTTCCAACTGCACCTCTTAGCCAATCAGGTGACAGGGTTCGCACATCATGTCCTCCAACTATAACCTGCCCCTTTCCAGGGTCATATAGACGAAGTAGTAATGACCCTAGGGTACTCTTTCCAGATCCACTTGGTCCAACAACGGCTGTGATAGACCCAGCAGGCACCTCTAGATTAAGTCCTCTGAATATTTCCAGGTCAGGGCGTGATGGATAAGTAAAATGAACATCCTTAAATGTAATTCCATCATTTAGGTCATGCATGTCTGGACGTAAACCCCCTATGAAATGGATAGCAAGGTTATTGGAAAAATAAAAAAATGTGATTGATGCATTAAAAAAAAAAAACAGATAAAAAACTCATCAGCAAGCTTAAGGTTGCCCACTTTTAAAATATGAGCAGGAAGCACATTTCCTGCTTACTAAAAAACATTGCCTGGCTTGATAAAAACCTGTTGTAGTTGTTCAAAGTAAACCAGAGTCTGAATAAGTTGTTCTGTGAAATTGAACTCACAATGACTATAGACAGCTACATGATCATCAAACACATCAAAATCAAAGCCAAGCAACCAGTGTACCTATTTTTTTTATTATAATTATTAATTGTAGTGCAGAATAAAACTATGAACTATCACAGGCTATGAGTTAATTAATTCTGAATTTACAATCACATCTAACCTGTCAAGGGTATGGTAGGATTCCTGTCAATCAACTGCCACAAACGCGCACTGGCACCAATTCCCTTCATCAATTCTGAATAAAATGAGCTCAGACCTGCAAAAGTAAACAAAAAACAACCCAACATGTGAAAGGTTGCTTGAAAGTGAAAATGACCAATACAGCCTGGATCTAATTACTGTGTTCGATTAACAAAAGAATATTGCTTTTCTTTTTAATTCTTTTGGATGCGACACCTGTACTGGTTAAATACATTTACTAACCCAATGACATTACGTCCAGTTTTCTGTCTGTTTGGTGGTACATGTACACATACAATCATACATTTGCACCCAACCACACTAAGTCATAATAAGTACCATGAGAATGCATGACAGTGTAAGATTTTGGGTTGATAACTTACTACTTTAAGTTACATGGAAACTTCTAGGACTCAAACCTGGAGAGTGTTATATATTAAAAACATAGAGACCCCTTCAAATTTACAGCAAGGAGATTGCAAACTTTTAAAAAATAACTGAAAAATCATTTAGTTGACCATTATGGTGACTGATACATTTTTCTGTCAGATGTCAACTAGATGATTGTATGAGTGAAATTTTAGAGAAGAGTTTAATTCTTGATTGAATTTGTGACAAATTCTACATATTTCACCAACATGACTAAGAGAACATGACGCATTGAATGATAAGTAGCCACAAACAGCAGGTTAAAGTTTGGTTCTAATTTAAGTTTTTAGTTTCAGAATGATTCACTTACCTCCAAATGAGATTCCCACAAATCCAGCATAGAGAAGAAAAGATGTAAGATCTCCAACAGAGATCTGAGCACTTGTCATCATCATTCCACCACTGTACAACACAGAAAGCATGATGGCATTACCTGATAGTCCTGTCTGTAACACAACAAAACAGTGTCACATGAAGGTGAACAAAAGCAAATATTCACTTGTCGAACTGAATGAATTGCCACTTGTTAAAAAAAACAACAACCAGAAAACTCACAAATCCAAAGAACACTGCTCTGGCAAGTGCCTCTTTCTTTGCCAGCTTGAAAACATCTTCAACACTGTCCTTGTATCTACATTTGGTAAAAATAGAAAATAAAAATCACCACAAACATTACAAGGTGTCCAAATGTGGTACAAACATCAGTGACAAACTTGGCTATGCCTTGTGTGCCCCTGTTTTGCTCCGCATTACCTCTTTTTGACATTGTCTGCGATCTAATACTGAACAGATGCATGACAACATATATTAAGCTATTTGTTAATCATAACAATTGTATGGATACTTAGAATATACCTTCTCATCTAAGGAAACTCACCTCTCAATTTCCTTCATCTCCTGTCCAAATGCTCTCACTGTTCGTATATTGCTAATTCTTTCTTCTGCAACCTAAAATTTTTTAGCAAAATTAAAACAACACTTCCAATAAACTTTACATGTTCAATTGTAACTAAATTCCAAGTGTTGGCCCTTTGCAATAAAACTATCAACTTTTCAGGCTTATTTCTTAATTTCTTCAGCAGATACCAGCTACAACTTAATGGAGGTCAGTTTAACCCTTTCACTTCCAAGATCTCATCAGTAATTCTCCTTACTATCTGCCATACAATTCATATAATGTTAGTTTAGAGAATTTGGTACTGGATCAATTAAAATTCCCCTTATGACTATTTTTCTTTATTCTCATCACTTGTCTGCTTGATATTACATTTGCACTGTAAGGAGAAATTCTCTCTTGGTCACTCATGGGAATTAAAGGGTTAATACACAATTCAATGCATTCATCAAATTGTACTCTGAAGTCCGTCTTACTTGAGTAGATTCTGCTAAAGAATCTTGAGTTCTCTTTGTGATGTTACGCAGATAACGTCCATACATGATAATGGCAATAGCGACTGGTGGCACAATACCAAGGACAATGCTGGCTAACTTGGGAGACACATAAAACTAAAAAATGAAAAACAAATAATGTAGCAATAAAACATTGAGACATAACAAGGCCATCATCAACCCTTTACACCCTAACATCATTATGCATATTCTCCATAATGTTCTCTACACATTTCCTAGGTTCTAAAAAGGAGAATTTGTAAAACCATCAAGAGCTTCTTAAGTTGCTGATCATTTCCTTTATTTTTGTGAATTAAAAATTTGAGTCAAGGAATAGATTGAAAAGAGAAATCAGAATCTTGTCACTCTTAGGGATTAGAGGGTCACACAATTCCAAGTTCAAAATGATGCGTAAAGTTTCATGAAAATGACAGTTTAAGTTACTGTAATTTTTATTTCCATAGTTCCATTACAATTGGTCTGGCTCAAGTTCTACCAAAATGATTACTGAATATAGAGTGAGGATGTCAAATTTTTTAATTAGCAACAGTTAACCAACTAATCGAATACTAATTTCATGTTAGGTTTTCCACTTCTTTACAAATAAACCAAAGAAAAAAATTTGCAGGGGCTGTAGAGCATGTGTCAGGTAGAGTAACCTTTACAATCAAACTCACCATCATTGACACGCCAGCAACTGACTGAGCCACAGCTCGCAAACCATCAGACACATTGTCTGTCACAGCCTTTCCTACGAGGATGGTATCTGCTGACAGGCGATTAATCAGTTCTCCAGTTCTTGTTCTGTCAAAAAAGGCTGTTTCTTGTCTCAATACGGCTCTAAAGAGTCTTTCACGCAGCCGCTTGATAACTTTCTGCCCTAGAAATAAAGTGCACAGAGCTTAAGCCTAAGCAGTGCTTAGGTGCTACTGAAGGTAAAGGCCATTAAAAACATGTTTATTGTTATAAATAAAGACAATCCTTTGTATTACACAAAAGCAAAATGCACAAGTAAAGACTGAAAGACAAAAATATAGGAAAAAATTTAACATGAATAAAATGAAAGAACCTCATTTTATTCTGTTCTTTTCAATAGAAACAAAAGGGTTGTATTGACTGCCTTCACAAAAGGAAAACATCACAACTGTATTTAGAAAAAATATGGGAATGGTTTTAATTTAATAGGTAATTTTACAGAAACTTTAGTGATACCTAAGGCTGTACAACCTAAGGTGGACAGAAAATACATTTCTTTCCTCACCAGATACTTGAATTAAGTAAACTCTTCCAAAATTGGCTGCCCCGCCCAAAACAAACACACCGCAAAGGATTTTGCAGACATAGGATAAAGTTTCAACCATTTGCCTTGTATCCTGGCTTGTACTGTAAATAATGTCAATGATCTTTCCCATACAAAATGGAACAGACATAGTAACTGCTGAAGATATAAACAAAAGGCCTATGGCTCCTGTGGAAAGAAGTCAGAGTAATCTAACTATAAGTTACGGTTTGGATTGCCATAGTTTGAATGTTACAGAATCAATGTCATAGCTTAATAAGGATTGAATGACAGTTACCAATGGATCAAATACCTGACTGACTGATTAACTGCCTCTGTAACAGACCAATTAACTGACTGACTGATTTATTGTCATATGCCAGTACAGTCTGATCAAATTATCGACTTGAAATATTGCCTTACATGTCAATAATAAAAGAAAAGATACTTCAATTCAATCTGATTTATTTGAGTTTTAAATACAAAATTCTTATGACTGAAGTGTTTCCCTTCAGATTATGGACTCCGAGGGAGCTCCATAACATGACTTTCCTGTCAACCTTGGACTAAAAAGTCTCTTTCCTCCTTTTGTGCCCATATACTGACAGTTGAACGTGATATTTGCCATTCCACCTCACCCACAAATCAGCTTATGCAGTTTTAGGTTTCTCCAAAAGGTGGGTTAATTGGCAGCTGCTATCTCCAATTTCCTCTGCTTAAAGGTTACTATAAGGTTTTGTTTGACCAAGTCTTTCAGATTTCACTGTTACTTCGAATCAGCTTTTAACAGACACATTGCGTAATAAGCACATTGTTTTTCTAACCCGCCTTCCCTGTTTTCAGAAAATTATTGACTCTTCAACTTCCAAGGTGTGATTGTTAATTCTCCCTTTTAGCTGCTACACATTCCCTTGTACAACAAAGGTGCAACAGAGATCCAAGACACAGTGGATCATGTCCCTCAGTGGTCAAACAACAACAAATTCAAGCTGAACTTGTTAGTGTGCAAGGAACTCCATACAGACTTTTGAAGGAAACCAAATGAGGTCACTCTAATTGAGGCCAATGGCAATTCCTTAGAAACCAATAATTCAGCAAAAGTGGTAGGCATTACTATAAGGGGTGACCTAAAGTGGAACAATCATGTAGATAATAGTACTGTGAAATAGATTTGCTTAAGCAACTTAAGCATGCTGGTATTGACTGCATATCTCTAATTCACTTCTACTGCGCATGTATTCATTCTGTCTTTGAATATGCCTCTCAAACTTTCCATTCTAGCTTACCAGTCTACTTGTCTGATCAAATTGAGAGGGTTCAGAAGCAAGTTTTAAGGATCATTTATCCAGACGCGCTGCACAGAAAAGCACTAGAAGATGCAAATCTGAAAACATTTTTGATAGGCAAGAAGAATTATGTGCAAGTCTATTCAATCATATCAAAGCATAAACTAGCTGACCTGCTACCTACGCAGAATAATGTCTCTCAGTACAACCTAAGAAATAAGCAAATTTTATTGCTATGCCTGGTATCAAAATCAAAAAGGTTTCAAAATTTCTTCATAAAGCGCTATGCAGCAAAAGAGCTGTTATTGTTAATATTTTCAATTGTTTATGTTTGAAATTTATTATTATACGATTTATGTTTTTTGTAATACATGCTTTTTTAAATTATGTATATTGCACAAGTAATTCAGCTATTACCTGCTAGTTGTGATTTTAATAATAATACTAATAATAATAATAATAATAATAATAATAGGAAAAAGTAAATTAGTTTATGAGAATTTAGTGTTAGATCAAGATCGCAAGTTCTACCTGATAAGTTTGAACATTTACATTACCTATTTGCTGGTAAATTTCTGGACATTATAAAGAGAAGTTTCTTGTTAATCACTTCTGGGAGTTAAAAGGTTCTGGCAGGAGGGGGAGAGACAGAGTGATTTAATACACTCTTTAAGTGCTATCTCCTCTCTGACATTCTTCAAATAAAAACACACCTCTCTCAACTAAACTCATTCTACGCTGTTTTTTTTGTTAAGTAGGATCTCGCAAAAATGTTAATTTAGCGTGAGGTGTTGGCAGCTCTATGGTCATGAATCAAACCATTATTTTGCTGTGAGAAGTCCTACAAAAGATTGATCTTGGTACTTGAGGTTTTAGCAACTTGAGTAAAAGTTAACTTATAATTTAATTTCTCTTTGATTCAGGATTGTCTTCAACTAAATGATCACTCTTGATGTGAACCATTTAACTCAGACTTGTTGAATGCAATTCTTAAAATCCATCCTGAGAAAACATTGAGGATAATTAATTTTTCCACCAATCAAGTCACGCATTTCAAACTCTCCATGGGAAAAAACAGTACAAATTTACATGTACCTGCAAGGCTCTTGTATTCTGGTTTGGCCAACGACAGAATCCGGAGGAGATCATCACTCTTCAGTTGCTTTTTCTTCTCACTTTCTTTCTCAACAACCTTCGCTTTATCGCCTTGATCTTCGCTAGAAAAAGTTCGCACAGATCCTGCCAACATTCTGCATGGGAATATTTTAAGTGTTTCTCGGCTTTTCAAACTTCTGAAAGTTCGATTTTCGAATTTGAAATTCCCACCATTTGTCTTGTAAAAACACTTACTGCATAAATTCAATCGTAAGCGAATACACGAGAAGGAAGGAAGAATTCTCGAACGTTTGAGAATGAGAGGAGCAAATGCGCTGGAAGCAGACATCATGCGTTACCGGTACCTGTAGGCGTCACAGAGTGGAGGATCAAATCGAGGGGAAGCTTTACAACATGTGATGACAGCGATTTCAAACGAACGTCTGTCCATTACCGCATATTGAAGCTTGATATTTTAGAAAGGTTCCTTTGCGGGCCTTTCCTTAAAAATCGCTCTGAAGGTTTGATGCAATTCCGAAGCGATTATACAACACCTGAAAACTTTTAGCTAACTCACGCGAGTGAAATACCGCTGGTCAGCAAGTTCGTCAAGTCAATAGACGATGGTGAGAGAGAGTGGGTAAAGAAACTTACGTAATCAAAGATGGTTGAAATGTTGTCAGAGGGACCCCATCATCAATATTACGATCCAACTTTTTCGTAATAAAGCCCAAGTGAATGATTTCTTATCTTTACAGTGAAATACTCCCCTGTATTAATCCCTGCTTACTCATAACAGCCTCAGTTCTCGCAAAAGCCAAAGTTCAAGTTGTCCATAGCGTTCTAAACGGATTCCAGATTTTTTTGTGTCTTTGGGCTATGGTTTTATTTTTTTTAGTTATTTTCAAGTGTTTTAGCACAATGGCAACCCGAAATGAATTTGCGAGAGCGTTGATTATAGAGCCAGATTTGTCCATAACAGATATATGTTGAACTAATATGAGCAAAACGCGCTTTCTAAGTCTCCAAGCATGTCAAGTTTACCATCAAATGCACCTCGAATATCAGTCCACCAAACAAGAATCTACGCAAAACAAAAGAAGATCAAAAGAGTTGAGTGAGTAGCCAGTGATCTATATTGACACTGGCTGAAAGGTTAAGTTTCGGCAATTACGTACACCTGTATTAAACCTGAACCTAACGGAATGACGTATATATGTAGAGATCAAGCCGACACTGACTAAAGTTCATAGGTGTCGGCCTTAAGAATACAGGTCTTACTGTACAATATCAGAGAGGTTGTACATGACGTGAACGGCAAACAACAATATTAAACAATACTAAACTTCTAGCTGACTACTTTTAGCTGTTGATTGTGCCTAAAATTGAGTGAAAAGTCAGTTTAATTTTTTTTCGTATGCCGTAATCGTGTACGTCATGCTCGAACTCGCTGTTACTAGCAATGTGATAGATCTAATGATCAGGAATTTATCCAGTGAACGAGAATGCAAGAGGTACTTTCGAGAGATCCTTGATCACTCATCGAAACGGAACCAAGAGTTTCCTTAGATCAAAGGGAAACCGCGAGAAAAATGCGGAAATGTTTCATTGCGTGTAAAACTACTGCCTTGATATACAGTTATAACCGGCCCAAAAATCAAAACAAACCCCTCAGAAATGTCATTTGAGATTCTAGGAGTAATATATATAGATTGTAAATCGTGCTATTATGAAAAAAATGCTTTGTCACGAGAGCTGCGATGCGCATTAGGCGTTTGGATCATTCCAGACTCTGCTGAAACAGGACAAGCAAACAGATACCATCAAATATAATCACTGTGAACCACCGTGATCTATGAAGGTTCGTCACACTAACCCACTGGGTCAGGGGATTTTTGCATGAATTGTTGAAGTAAGGGCTAAGCTCATTCTTCACTCTAGCTGCTACATATTTCCTTGTAAATTAGATCAAGACAGCAAGTCCTACCTGATAAGTTTGATTCTTCTCGTTACCTGTTTGCTGGATGATGAATGGAAATTATAAGGAGAAGTAATAGGCTAATCTCTTTTGGGATTTTAAGGGTTAAAATTAAATAATTTCGTAGGTGCGAGCGCAATAGTAAAATTGACATTTAATTTGATATAACAATTAGTAGGATTAAAATGGACGAAAGTTTAGATGATTGATAGTTTCAGGTCTGGGTGAGAAAATTCACCTTTCTGATCATGCTACAGAAAATCGACAGCAAAAGCGAGGAGGCTTGCCTTCCAATCGTAATCATGATTCAAGATCAATGTAATGCTTTCGTAATGATATTTGCAAGTCGAAATATCGACCCCAAAGCCCATTATCAACGTTGTTTAATCAACCTTTCCGTTCCGTTTTTTTCTTAACAGTTATTTATACCGGACGTAATTTCTATAACGCTATTGTTAGTCTAGGAAAATTTAAAAAGTGTGGCATAACATTTCAATCCCTTTAGCTATGCGTATAGTTCCACATTTTTAAATCAAGTGCTATATGATAAAATTGTGAATTAATATCGGAGGCAATCGAACAATTCAGATGCCCATCACCAGACAATGTGCGCCTGAGTAAAAAAACCCTCGCGGTAAGAGTGACAAAACGTGAACAGTAGCATGAGAGAGCTGTGTTCCTATTTCAAAAAAGGCTTTGTCGTCGAAAATTTTTCTGAGGAAAGTTCTGTAACGGACAGGGGCCAATTGTTTTTTAAAACTTAGGTTATCCTGGACGTTAAAATGGGTTTATTTTAGGATGGGCGCTGTCCAAATCGACGAGTTCACTAACATCGCGTATCTGTTTAGGTTATATATAAACCAGTTCAGAACATCCGAAATAAACTGTACCACGCGTTTTTGAACTCACGCTGCTGTAGATCGGGTTTCATATGGGTTTCTTTGAGGTTTCACTGAATTATATCCGGTACAAAGCAGTAAAACACGAACGACAAATAACGTTGTACTTTGTACTTCAAGTGAATGACTGTCTGATGTTTCAACCACGGATCTTCACCTCTACAGCGACAAAATGTATTTTACGAGCACTACAGACATTCTGTAAGTATAATTGAACCTCAAATTCTAAAAGAGCTTTGTCGTGTTATAGAAATGTCTTAGAGATGTCTAAAAAAAGACTGATATAACAAAACGGAAAAACGATTAAGAAGCAAAAATTAACCAAGAAGGAATTAAGATAACTTCGGACTAGGAAAAATTGAAGTGGAAAGCAATTCACGAGAACTGGGAGAAATTAGGCTAACTGATTTTTTCATGATACACAATTCGTCGACAAATGAATAACTCCTTTGTCACTGTAAGCACACTCAAGGCTCCGTAGTTTAGGCGTTTTTTGTCATCTCATACTTGCAATAAATGCTTGTATACATCGGGGTATACTTCAAGGTTTCTTTGTAACTGTTGTTACTGCTCATAACCAGCCAACAGAAGATCGTGAAATTCTTTAAAGAGATTACGGTAAAACTGACCTGTATACTGAAATGATCTATTTTGAAAAAAAAAAATTAAAAAAAACGAAGCAAGACTGAAACAATTTGAGAAATCTCAGCCTTAACCCTTTTACTAATTACAGTTTTTTTCGTATTTTCGCTTCTATAATTAAATTCATTCTAGTAAAAAGACTCGAATTACCATATAATTTTTCGGTAACTACACAGAACAGTGCGTGTGAATGCCTTCTGACGTGGGCGTAACGACAATGATTTTATTTACTTTAATTGCGACGGTTCGTGATTCAAGTATGCATGCAGGAATAGAGAAATATCAAATCTTTTTCTAGTAGCAACTTCAACCATTGGCATGACGCCAGATGGGCGGTATGGTTTTTTATATGTGGGTACGGAAAAGGGGCTACGACCGAGTTTACTAGTTAATCCATTTTATAAATATGCTTATTTACTGGAAGGTTGCCGAGACTAAAGAAGTTTCCTTGTGAACTCGACCCTTTTTTCACCTTAATTCATCATGGACGGCAAAATGAAAGAAAGCGAAGGGTTTTTGCTGTAGAATGTTTAAGGCACTTCTTACCTCTACATCCGTTCAGGAAATTGTTAGATTACGTGGGTAGGAGCAAAGTTATGAAGGAATCGGGCTTAAGTCATGCTAACTTCCAATGTCGCCCACAAAAATGACCGAAAAAGGACTGGTGCTTGCGGCCAGGTCAAAAAAACATATCGTGCTAGAAATCTACGGGAGCAATATGCCTCAATTAGAACGTAATAAAAAATACTTGAAGAAGACGTAACTAAATGCTGAGTCAGAGTTGATGCCCTTTATAATCGAAACCGTCTTTGTGGGCTTTAAATAAAATCAGTCTTGAAAAGATTTTAACCACGGACGAGAACTGAAAAAACTGAGGAGAGCTTTCAGGTGTACTCGACTCGAAGGTAAAATATGCGTTATAATCGCAAACTCTATAGGGACGCTAAGAGGGTAGCGTTTGAGGAATACTGTGATTTATCTTTCAGAGTTTTCATAGATGGCTTTATTTCATTGCAAGAAAGGCTAAGCGACATATTTTAGAACGAGATCAGCAAATGGCAAAGTTTGAACTTTTTCTCTGTCTTTCAGACGTTCACTGAGTAAAGTGAAAATGCTTGCATTTTATGCGAAATGAGGTAGTTTTGTATTCCTCTTTGACACCTGCTTAGGCAGCTTGGTTAAAAGTAAGGGAAAATACAGAAATTTTGATATTTGGGTTTGCCATACAACGGTTATTTTCAAATATACTATTTGTTTATGTTCGTGCATTGGTTTCACATTATACAGTATTAATTCATAACGCAACACTTTGAACTTTGATAAGGGAGGCGAAATTTAGAAAATACTCAGTTCCTTTTTTAAAAATTCCCAAAGCAACTTCTAGCATCGTTATCAGGGAACAACAAGCTTTATTTTCGTACACTCTACTAAAGTAGAGTTGACATCATCCAAGGATGAAGGTTGCAGCTATTCAACAAACTTCCCGAGTCTGAGGTCAGAGTCCTCATTAAAACGATCTGGCTTTCGAATTTATCTCGGTGCTCGAAGTTACCTCGTTTTTGTAAAGAGCTAGTTATCAAAGGCTCTCGTTTTATAATCATTGATAACATTGCTGAAACTTTGTAGGAATAATTCACTGGAAAAATTCTTAGAATGGCGAAAGCCGCCACTTGGACATAACTCAAAAGAATCTCTTTATCAGTTGCCTGTTCAGTTGAGTTAATCACGGCAAGTACTAATAATTAGGTTTGGGCAGGATATACTAAGATTTTAAGCTCCATTATCCTCCAAGAATTAAGGTTGAATATTTTGAAAAGTTGTGTTTAGTCATCGCGGTGAATTCACTTGATGATAGGGTTAATAATTTTTTGTCTGACAATGCAATCTCTCTCGATGCGGATTGAAATGCTGCGACTGTATTTTGCTGGTCTTCTTCTCTCGCGAGAAAGATCAGACTTGCAGTCTGTCTCTTTCGATGAGTGCTTCTCATTGAAAGAGGCAGACGACAACATTTCATTAGTTTAACTTCTAGTGACCTTTAGAGCTGA